ATATATATATATATATATATATATATATATATATATATATATATATATATACATATACATTATTTAATTTTATTATTTTACATTTTGTACAGGTCACCCAACCCGTTTACAGGAACAAACAGTGGCCCAAGTCAGCACCAGGCCCAAACCCACGTGCATATCAGCTCTCAAGCCAAACCTAGGGTTTTCAGGAACCTTAGCGCCGCATGCCCCTTCCTCGTTCTAGCGCCGTTTCCACTACAGACTCCTCCGCACCGAAGACTCCGCCGGTCGTTTCGCTCGTCACCAACACGTGAAACGCAAAGCAACGCCGTGTGTTAGTCAACAATAAGAAACCGAGTTTCACTCGGAATCAAATAGGCTAAACTTAAGGTATTTTTGTACTATAAATAGAACACATAAATGGTTGTAAAAGGGGGGACAGAGAGGATTAGGCACAAGAATACAAGCAAACAAATCGACCAAAGGCTAAAATACTTGTACTCGTTGAAACGATAAATAAAAGAGAAAGGTATTTTTTTTACCTTCGTTTTTAGTTGGCTTTCGTTGCATGCTTGATGTTTTCATTTCATTTGAAACCAAAGAAAACACCTCCAAGGAGGCTCGGCCGATGAACTCTAGAGGAAGGTTCGGGGTTTTAAAACCCAGATCTAGTCTCCTCTGAGGCCATTTTGCAAAAACAATGTTTATTTTTGAAACCGGGGGGGGGTCGAAAGCTTTTGGAAAAAGCCTACCTTTTTGTGTTTTGCCGCTGATGACTGGAGGCCGACGTCGATCGACGACGACGACGAGGCGGCGCTGCGATGGCCGGATTCTGGGTTCATCAAGAACCCAGGCGACCGTTCATCCTTGGATGAACACAGAACAGAGAAATGAATGAAAAAGGGGGGAGCATACGGTTTGCAAGTAAGAGAAATAAGAAACATAAAAATGTTTTAAGTTTTATAGCAGGCCCGAATTTGTCCATGATCCGACCCATAGCACCCAGATCCACACGTTTTCAAGATTAAATGAGTAAACTACGCATTTAGTCCCCCTGGCTCCTCAAACCTCTATTTTGATCCCACAATTGACTTTAAAACCCGAATCATCTTTATATTGGTCCCTAAATTTAGTTTTTTTTCGTTTTAGTCCCTTATTATATATTTAATTTTACCTTTTATTATTTTGTCATTATTATTTTATTATCTTTTATTATTATTTTCCATTTCTTGTTATTCTTACTGTTTTATTATTTGTTTTTTTATTTTATAGTTTGTTTTCTTTCTTTCATATTTATGTTATATATATATTTAGATATATTTTTCTATTTATATTCTTATATTTCCTTACTTATTTATTTTTCCCTTTCCCTTATTCGTTTTATTTAATATATATATATATATATATATTATTTCTTTCTTTTTTATTATCGATATTATTTACATATATATATATTTACTATTTTAATTTTATTTTTTAATATTTATTTATTTTTTATTTTTATTCACCTATTTATTATATTATTCTTATGTCCTTCATTTGATATGTTTTCTTTGTCATCGCATCTTTGTTTTTATTTCCCTTTCCTTCAATTTTTGTCTTACTTCGTTGTCTCCTTTATTTTCTATATCGTAGTTATTTCCATCGCCTTTTTATCTAATACGTTTCTTGACACTTTTTTAAGGGATGATTTCAAATCAATCTAAGGTAAGCAATTCGGATCGCTATTTTACCTTTTAAGTTAAACTTTAAATTCTCTTAATTAAAGACAACTGGAAACTACGCAGTACCGAAAGGGCAGTACAAGGGTGCTAACCCTTCCTTGACTGTAACCGACTCCCGAATCCGACATATCACTGGTAAGACGCAGATCAGGTAAGGAATAAGGTATCCGATCAACCCATTTGTTTTAAAATAAATGATCGGTGGCGACTCCTAACCCATTCATTCAAGTCGAAGCCCAATTCCGGGTCCAACCGAAAGACGGTTCCGACAGTATGCATATAATGTATATGGAGGAGAGGTCAGATTGCTCCATCATTGCCTCAATGATCAGATAATAGTAAAAAATACTATCTGTAGGAGTCTAGTTCGAGAGGGCTCGAACGTATTTAAATATGGATTAAATGAGCAATTTTATATTAAAAACCTCAAATAAATAATTATTTAAATAAATAGCACCCTCCATAAATTATTTGAAATAATAATCCCTAAATTGTCCACATCATACGACCTCGCGACCTGCAAATCACGTGTTAAATCCTCACACCCTCCAACACGCGAGATACGCACTTTCTAGTTAAGTTAATAAAACAATTGAATAAAATGACATTACGCATTGCGAAGCGCGATATAGCGCCTCTATGATCCAAAATATCACGAGATTTGTGGGGATCTTGCAGATTGCAAAGCGCGAGGTTCTTTCGAATTCGGCATAGCAACCTAATTTGAAAAATAGAAATTAAATGAATATAATAAATAAATATAATAATATTAATTATTAAATATAATAATTAATTAAAATATAATAATATATAAATATAGTAATTAAAATAAATATTTTATTAAAAAAATTATAAATTTTGAAATAATGAAAAATTATATGTGTAAAATATTAAATATAACAAATAACTAATAATATTATAATTATAATATATTTTGAAATTTAAAAGATAAAAGTTGGTAGTAATCTCGCGTCTTGCAAACAACGAGGTATTGGGAACGAAATAAATTTCGTGTAACTCGCATCTTGCAGGACGCGAGTTGCAATTAAAACCGCGCTTCCCCAGATACGAGAAGGGTTATAAATATGACCCTCAACTACTATTCATCACCACACCCATCCCTTTCATATATTTAAAGATTCAAATATTTCATATAATTTCCATAGGCTTAGAAATGATGTTTGAAAAGTTCTACAAGCTCTAGAAAGTTATTTGGTTCATTTTGTAATTTTATGAAAGTTGGGGGACCTGTTTGAAAATTATGAAAAAAATATGGCGTTTATGTGCAAATGTTAGAAAGATGATGTATTATGCTGGAATTGAAAGTTATAATATTGAATTTGATGTTAGAATGTGAAATTTGACTATTTTGGAAAGTTGGAAAAGTTTGAGTACTAAATGGAAAATATTGAGAAAGTTAGTGACTTAAGTGGTAAATGTGGAGTTATTGAGGTATTGGGTTAAAAATTAGATGCTGAAATTTTATTTAAGTTGTTTAAAACTTGAATTAAAGCTAAAAAAACAAAGGATTATTTAGAATAAAATGGAAAGTTTAGATGGATTCTAAAAGAATTCATAAATGATAGTTAAAATGAAAAGTTGAAAAATATTATGTGAAGTTTGGGTGAATTTGGATAAAAAGGGATTTATTGGTCAATTTGAAGTTTTAATGTCAACATTGATGATGTGATATGAAATTCATATCGAATGAGCATCGAAAGGTTTTTTTAGGAGTTTATTTTATGTTGTGTGCCTATGTTAGTAAGAATCTAACATATATGGTTTGAAATGTGTATGTTTTGTAAATGTTGTTCATTTAGATTATGATTAAAATCAAGATCAAGCAATGTTAAAGTTAAGGAGAACCTTAAGGACGTAATGTGAAGTGCTAGGAAGGTTTACAAGCTAAGGACACTTGGTGAGTGCATATTTAATTCGTATTTGTGTTATCGAACAAACATTGGCTTATGATGAGCCAGTGACGGAATTACTATGGTAAGAATCAACTTCTAACTATTACGTGAATTGTGATTCATACATATATGTTCAGTTAATATGCTAACAGAATTAGTGAATAAGTTGAAAATATGTCTCAAACCCCGTGAATCTCGTCTGAAACGTTTCGGCTTCCTCACTCTCAATATCTAATTCGTGAACTTCGGAGTAAATTCCGACAAAATAAAGACCTAATTCGAACCCAGGGGGTCGATACGAACCGACCTATGAAATTTGAGACCAAACGACCACCATCTACTACAGTCATCAGCGGCCGAAGGTGGTGTTCGGTCACCTTATGTTTTTTAAATAATTAATCTTATATAACCGAATCATAACTTGTCGAACTTTGAACCGAGACCCATCCTTGATGACAAGCGAGCGAGAGTATTGTGAAATGTGAGATGACATTAACATATCCTAAGGAGAATAGTAAAGGCAGAAGGGTCCCCCTTGACCTTGAAACCGAACGGAATCCAGCAGCTGGGCAGATCAGCTCTGCATGCATCCATCTACGTCTACCAGAAGGAATTTTGGACGAGACCTTTGCTTACCACTCTGCACCTCTTTAAATGCCCATTTGCCCCTTTCTTTGGATATACATATCCACCCCCAAAAACACACACAATATATATATATATATATATATATATATATATATATATATATATATATTTATATTTCATATACAATTTAATCAATAATTATTTAGGGTAAAACACATATTTAGTGCATAAATTATCAGTTTTAATTCATTTTACATATTTAATATCTAAATTATCAATTTTTGTCCATTTTAATACTTAGATTTCAATTTTTTTCAAAAACATACTTAAAGTTTAATTTTTGTTTCATTTTAATACGCCACAGTTAAAAACTTTAACTTTTGTTTAATTTTAATACCCCGTTCAAAATTCAACGTTAAGTTTAAAATTTTAAGTACTAAAACGAATCAAAAGTGATAATTTAAATACTAAATATATAATTTATCATTTTTAACTTATCAAGGCTTCTCGATGATTAAATAGAGTATTAGTCAATTTGGGCATATAATTTATCTTATAATTATCGTAGACTATTCGATAAATAAATAAATAAATTTACTCTTGAACTGTATTCAAAGTCATTCTGAACAAATTAATCGGCTTACGTATAGAAAGTCAAATTAAGAATAAGCTATACTTAATTTGTATATAAAACCTCAAAATCTTTACTGCATCAGATATAAAATCAACACTTTATCTCGAAAGCACTTCTTACATTGATGCTAAACACTAAATTCAGTTGCACTTTTCAAAAACGCCAAGGATATGTATTTCAGTCTTCAGTATGAACTAAATTTTGTTTGACCTTCAGTTTATACGAGGCTTTTACGCATACTAAGACTTGAAGGCTGTTCATTCCATACAGGAAGCCGACAGGATGATCTTATTCAGAATCCGCAGCAGCCTAAAATTTATTAAATTCTGGTTGTCGAGAGTAGTAGGGTTTTATTTGGAGGAGAGAGAGCATCGATTTTGTGTTCGATGTGCGCTTCATGGTCCTCCAGACGAGCTGCGACGGCTTGATTCTTCGAATCCCAGAGAATCAAAGTCGGGACTCCGGTTAGCTTGAATATCGAGTCGACCCGCCATGGATGCTGAGGGTTCCTCCATGTTGGCCTGTCACCGACGTAAGCTCTCAGCAGCGCAACATCCCCGTCCGTTGCTTCGAGCTTCTTGTATATATCAGGTTCAGCTCTTACACAGTCTAAAAACAAAAATAAACAATCTCAAAATTAGAATACTTCACCAATCCCCATTGCATAACCATAGGCTGCCATAGCCGTATTGCGAAAGATTAATAAACAGCAAGGAGAAGTGTACCGGGACACCAACTAAGAGAGGTAGACGGGTCTTTATCGGCCAAGAAAAGGATGAAATTGGCTCTGTTGTTGGGCGAATCCAATTTGAATTTCTCAAAGATGCTGTCAAAGGTTGAAACCGTCGAGTCCACCACTTTCATCGGCATTCTTTTTACTACCAGTGTTTCTTTCTCCTAAAGATTGTGTAATTCAATAACCGGAAATCTTTCTCAACACTCACCATTAGTGTCGTCTCATTAACAAGCATTCAGTAAGAACAAATCCAAGCAGAAAACATACAACCACAACCACAACAATTGTTGACTATAAAGATAACACATTTTGCTCTCCAACCTCCGATAGTATGCCGTTTTAATCTATTCGAACAGCAATAGACCAACGATAGGCTAACTGTAATTTATCTTTAAAGCATTAAACTGTAGTACGGAATACAAACCTCAAACTGTAATTTCAATTGTCGTCTTTGTTGACTCTATTTGAACTTTCCAAAAACTCGAATGATGATAGATTACAAATAGTGCATCTGCAATGACCTAGATCAAGTACTCCATGGTTTATATTTTACTTCTCTTTTCTACTCTACTAATGTAACTCTGTTTCTTTGCTAGATGTTTAAGTAGGAGCGAACAATCGGTTTTTACATCCGGTTCGGCCGGTTTTTCACACATAACCGACTTAACCTACCGACCTATCTAGGTTTTAACCGACCTAACCGAACCCCATGGTTTACCTTTTGGGTCTTAATCAAGCTTGAAGATTGAATTAGTTAAACATTTGCGGAAGATCTAGGAATCAATGTTCTAAGCATCGGAGGCCATCAATCGAGAGAGAATGGAGCTGACTGATCCAGTAATAATCGAAGTTTCATTTAAACAATTGACTTACCTTTACCCTAAAACAGATTATCTATCAGACTTTATTCAAAAGATAAACTATTTCAATATTGTAAAGTAAGCCCTTCAAAGGAAGCAATTGAAATGTAGAGTCTTTGGAAACAAGCGTACACTTTTGCAACATAGAATTAAAAAAACGCCCTCTTTATTACAAGGTAAAAGATTGAAATTTCAAACAAACCTGGAGGGGATGTGAAAAGGAAGATGAGTAATACACGATAAGGAAAAGGGAGGCTGAAAGGGAAGCAACCAGTAGCGGCGGCGACAATCTGAAAGAGTAATCATGTTTTAGTTGTTTAGGCCTTAAGGTTTTCAATACCATGTCTTTCTAAAAATAAAAATCGTCATTTATTTGTTGAAATGTTATAAAATAGGGTAAAGTATATAAATAATCGCCCAACTGTAGAGTGTTACTTTGTTGAGTCATCTGATTATTAAAAGTTATATAATAGTCTTCCAACTATAAGATATTATTTTATTGAGTCCCCCAACTATTAAAAGTTATAAAATGATCAATTCATATGTTCTAAATTCGTCTTTTTTTCGTTAAAAGAATGACAGGCCTCTAAACTGAATGTTAACCTACTGATTAGGAAATGATAAAATATGATCCTAGAACCATTTGAGTTGTAATTTGTCGATAATATTTTATAATATCCTATTTATTAGATCAATATCCAGCACAGGCGATCGTCAATTTTTTTAACAAAAAATGACGAATTTAGAACATATGAACAGTCGGGTGACAATTTATAATGTTTAATAATCTAGGACTAAAAAAAGTAACACCATATGCTTGAGGGTCATATTGTAACTTTTAATAGTCAAGGAACTCAACAAAGTAACATTCTATAATGAGAGACCATTTGTATACTAAACCCTATAAAATAATCATTTTAACTTTATAAAATTATCATTAAATTTAATGAACCGATATAAATAGTTAATTATTTTTTATCAAATTACGAAATGATCATTAAATTTATCTAAATAGTTACAAAATAATCATTAAATTATATAACTTTATGATCATAGAAACATCATGATACTATTCTCTAACAATTCGATAAAATCATTTTATAGCTATTAAAAGATTAATGACCCAAAAGTTTCATTTCAGCATAGTTTAGGACCTATGGTGTACTTCATCCAAGAAGTGCTTACCCGACTCGGATCCTAATTTGGTTGGTTAAACGGGTTGGAAACGAATCTGACCCGGCTAAGCCTAGTTCTCACCTTCTCATTCAATTCCTTTCTCACTTTGATCGGCCTCGAACGCCAAACCTGCTATTGAACTACCCAGGATGCAGGGGAAATGGAGGTCGAGTTCAACAATTCTACGGTATAAAGAATATAATATAACGTTGAAAAAAATGACAAAGAATAGCAAGGGCTAGAAAGCAATTAACCCAAAGAGCTTATGCAGATTAGATCTAAAACAATATGAACAGAATAGAAATTACCCAGAAGCATACCCTATTTCCAGTAGAAATTTAGTTTAATCACGACATGAACAAGCCATACAAGATTAAATCATGAATATAAAACAGAAACGAAATCACACAAGCTTTCACGCCATTAACTGTATCATCTTGATGTCAAAGAATCCATTGAGTAACATACAAACAAAGTTTAAAAGAAGAAGAAGAAGAAGAAGCAAACTTACAATACCAATCAATAGCTTTCTTCTTCCTCTCCTTTCCTCTCTCTTTCTCCGTTATCCAATATGGGCGTATTACGGTTTTTGCCCTTGTTCCTTCTTTCTTGGTAAAATGTGGGCCTGAATTTGAATATTTATTGGACTAAAAAAGCCATTATGGCCCAATACTAATTATTTAGTCTAGTATGACACCGGATTTTATTATTTAAAAAAATACAATATTTGTTACAGTGACTTAGAGTTCATCGTATAGATATGATGAGTTTCAAAACAAATATTTTTTATTGAAATTTATCACTCCGACGCGATAAAATATAGGAAAAATTATATATTATTAAAACTTGTCACTTCAACCTGACGAGTTTAAATAAAAAAATATTATTTAAATAAATTCACCAGGTATGAAGAATTTATCTTATACTATAATATTTATCATAAATTTCAAATTAATTTTAGAGACAGTGTAATGAGTTAATTTTTCAGACCGATTTTACCCTAAAAAGATGACATGAAAATAAAACAAAAGCCCAACGGTTCTAAAGATAAAATGGGCTAATATAAAAACAAACTGAAAATCCACAAAACGACGGCGTCTGTTAACTGAAGCAGGAAATTTCGTGCCTTTTTCATTTTCCAGAGCTCATTTCTCTTCCCTGATCTCATAAGATCCACTCAAAGATATCAGATAATCAGATCAAGCTGTAAAGCAAATTAACAGAAAAAAATGGCTGATTCAAGTTCCTGGTCCACTGCTCTCATCAAGATTTCGCCTTATACTTTCTCCGCCATCGGCATCGCCATTGCCATCGGCGTATCTGTCCTCGGCGCCGCCTGGTACCCTTCTTCTTCTTCTTCTTTATTTGTCCTTTCCCTTTTTCTATAACTCTTAGGTTTAATTTTATGAAATACGTATTAATTTTTTTTTGTATATATTTGTAGGGGAATTTACATAACTGGAAGTAGCTTGATCGGTGCCGCTATTAAAGCTCCTCGTATCACTTCCAAGAATCTCATTAGGTAATTTTTTATCTTTTGGTTTTTTCATTTATTGCGTCATTTGATCTGGAAATGCATCGATTTCTTATTATCCATAAACACTAATTATTAATTTAGTTTGTTCTACAGTTCACAAATACATTAAATTTTGTTACTGGCATTTGAAAATCAGATGTTTGATTGAAACCACTGAGCTTGCATATATTCTAGGCCCTGGATCTATAGGACGTGGATTGGTTGGAAAATCAAATTGGGTTATAAGGCAAAAAGAAGGGCGGGCATTTACTGTCTGTGTCCGTTGGATGAGTTATAAATTAGAGTGGATGGCTTCATGAGACACGAATTGAATCGAAGATACTAAAAATGTCCACACTTTTCAGCTCGACGTTTTCAATTGGATGATTTCTTAAATATGTTTTTATTGGGTTAATTAAACTTTTTTTACTCAATACTGTTCTCACTGCAGCGTAATCTTCTGTGAAGCTGTTGCTATCTATGGTGTTATTGTGGCAATTATTTTACAAACGAAGTTAGAGAGTGTTCCATCATCACAAATATATGCACCAGAAGCTCTTAGAGCTGGATATGCAATCTTTGCTTCTGGAATTATTGTTGGCTTTGCGAACCTTGTTTGCGGGTTAGCCTCCTTATCCTTTTCTACCTCTTAAATATTTTTAAAAAATGGTATCTAAATAAATATTTTGCTTATTTCTGTGTACCTTGTTTTGGGGACAGATTGTGTGTTGGAATAATTGGAAGCAGCTGTGCATTGTCTGATGCTCAAAACTCCTCACTTTTTGTGAAGATTCTTGTGATTGAGATTTTTGGCAGTGCACTTGGACTGTTCGGAGTGATTGTGGGTATAATCATGTCGGCTCAAGCAACATGGCCTGCAAAATCAGTGTAATTTCATGATCTTAGAAGAAAATAGCGATTCGATTATGTGAGAATGCAACCTGTTTCATATGTCAGTTATCCAAAATGAGCTTCACCTTTTTTTTTTTTTTTGTTATCAGTAGTAATGTATGTAGAAACTTGCCCGGAAGTGTCTCCCCCTATTTTTTGTTTGAACACATTTGTCGAATGAGAAATAAAATTTTCTGTGAAAGCCATGGTTTATTATGGTTAAGTAGTGGCACTGGAATTTTGTCAGTTCTTTTATTCATAATTTGTATGCATTTATATGAAAACTTGCTTGGAGATTTGTCTTTCTTTGATTCTGTAATACTGCACATGTGCTAATGAAGTTTGTTCCGTCATCATTTTTCTGGTTCCACCTTGTTGTATGCTCTGTTGATTTCTTTCATTGCCATTCACATTTTGAAGACAGATGCATAATAAATGAGACATAATTTGTCAGTGCATACGGAAAATGTTCCGTTTGTGTAATTTGATGACCATGGTGAACAAAGCAACAAGCAGGTAAGGATTGGGAAGTTTGACTTGCCAAACAAGTTAACTTTATATATCGATTTTTATTTTTCATATTCGTAGAAACAAACAGTGTAAGCCTGCAAGATTGGATCAAATAATTAATGATTAATCGTGAAGAATGGCATGTTCTTCTGTTGAAGATCTCTGAGATCCTCCGGACTTGCTTTCTTTGGATCAAACAGCTCTTGATCGGGGAGAGGCAAGCCTTGCTTAATCTGACCCAGCCACCGTGAGTGCAACACTTGTTTAGAGGTAACAGGGAACGTAGTGGACTGATATTCTTCCAGAGCTGATCGTAAATTTTCCACTCCCCAGTTCTCGAGGCATTTGCCAAGAACTGCTGCATCTACTATCGTCATGTTCGTGCTTCTTAGACCATGAGGAGTTGTTGGGTGAGCAGCATCTCCGATCAACACTACATTGTCCCAATAAATCTTCCTTAGAGGATCACAATCATATATGGCATTTAAGAAAGGGTCTTTTGTCTCCTTCATGACTTTTACGAGCTCCGGAACCCAAGTTTTCTCGGCTTCTTTGATCATCTCATCGATCATTCCTTCACTCACTTTCATGGTAACTGAATTTCTCTGTACACACAGGAAAGAAAAAAAAGATGCAAAAAAGTATCCGACTTCAGATATCCCCGAAACATCATTGATAACATGTAATTGCTGTGTAAGAAGTAGAATGTAAGAGATTTAGAGCAGCAAGAACCTTTATCTCAGGCTCGGGTTGGTTGACATAAATGATCCAATTGAGCCTTTTGTTGAGCAGTTCATAAAGCACAGCATGTGTTCCAGAGCCAAGGTCGAAATACAAGCATTTTCCAAGGTCAGGGTATGCTTTCCAGATGCCTTTAATGGTGTCTGAATCTTCCTTTCCTGAGAAATCAAGAACCCCTCTCCATGCACAGTAACCTGAATACCTGCAATGAACATGATTCATTGTTCGCCTTTTCAACGAAGAAGGTTGCTCTACACATGAATACGATCATAGAATCTCCACTGTTGTCACACACAGACCCATATTCGACTCTTACACCCGAATCTAACTAGCATTCACTATGGACTTAGAACTGAGTAACACCTGTATACATTGAAATACCTCAATTTAAGGTCAGGGAGAAAATGCTGGCGGATTAAAGAGAGACACCCATCTGCTGCAATGAGTAAATCGCCATCTATCTCGACGATATTATCGTTTCGAATAAGTTTAGCCTTAACTTTGACCTGGGATTTGTCATCAGAGATGGTGAAAGAGATAAATTGATGACCCCATAAGAATACATCAGGTGACAATGCATTGTATAGAAGGCCATGGAGATCAGCCCAATGCGCTGCTCTAAAATTGAATTCCTCATCTCTTGTCAGTGTCCAGCTCTCCTTTGTAACACCATCTGTTGCTTGGTTCTGTTTAAGAACCCATTTCCAGAACAAATGAAATGTCAATTATTGACATCCCCAATCATAAAAAAAAGCACACCAAAAGTGTAAATTTCACATGGTACCTGATCGATAGTGAGGGGCAAGGTGGCCTGCTGGAGGAGCTGGGGGTTGCCGAGCCATGAAGTAATGAGCGTTTGAGACAAAGGGTCGAGCCCCAGTCCGGCACCGGTTGGGCTGCCGGTTGGGGGAGCGCCGGTTTTCTCGAGCACAACGACTTCCCATCCTATTGAAGAGAGGGCATGGGCGCATGAGACCCCGGCTATACTCCCTCCTACTATGATTGCTTTAGCTTTCTTCTTCTGATGCTGATCCTCAACCATTTCCAATTTTCCAGAGCTTTCGACCAACGAATTCTGTGGAGAAGGAAAGGTAGATGCTGATGACAATAGAATCTTCTCATTGCAGATGCGGACACGTGACAAAAATATGTAGTACTCCGCTAGTCCGCTTGGAGCATCCTGAGAGGTGAGATGGGCCTCCAATCATCATGCTCACAAATATATATATATATATATATACAAATAAGTATACTGTATATAAAATGTACTATCTTTTTCATTTAAATACGTTAAGTATTATTTAACAAATAAGTATTTAAAATATATTATTTTTATTTAAGTATTTAAAGTATTTTTTGCTCAAAATAAATACAGAAAGTTATTTTTTTTTGTCAAAGTAGATACATATAATATTTTTTTGATTAAAACAGATACCTGAAGTATTAAAAAATTTTCATCTAAGTACTTAAAGTATCTTTAAATAATGTCACATGTTAATTTTTTTAGAACTTAGATGAAAAAGTTCGAATAATTTAAGTACCCATTTTGACATAAAATATTTTAGGTACTTATTTTGACTAAAAAGATAACTTTAGGTATTTATTTTGACAAAAAATATTTTATTTACTTAAGTGAAAAATAGAGTATATTTTACGTACTTATTTGTGAAATAAGCCTTTATATATAGAGAACGAATAATTATTATTTTTGAACTTTTTGTAATTTAGGATAAAATAAAAAATGTTATCATTCAATTTTTATCTCACTCTTATTTTAATCACTAAAGTTTATAAAATTTATATTTACTCTTATTTTGGTCTTTCTGACCTTAAGTTATGATTACAAATTTTTCTCTTAAAAATTATGAAACGACCTCAACTTTATTTTCTTGTGAAAGAATCCTTAATTTTGAATTCCATTCGATTTCTTAATGACGAAGGACCCTCTTCTAAATTTTAACGGTGGGAAAGGTGAAGAAGAAGGAAAGAAAAACATCGAAATGGTGTGTCGTCTGGTGCTAATGAGGAGGAAGAGCGTTAATGGAAACAAGATTCCAGCTTTACGTATCCATGTATGGGATTCAAATAGAGGTCCATTATCGGAATAGCAACCATTATACAACGGTAAACGTGTCCTTCACAACTATTATTTCAAAATTGCAATACCTACAATGACCGCAATACACCTGTTATTATCACAGTCGCGATAAACGCAACCGGAACGGCAATTTAAATCTGAGCGATGTCACTCCAAAAGATATCAGAAGATACACAAATTAGAATTGTAAACTTCGAAATGGCCTTGAAAGCACAGATTCCACAAATGATGCATGCAATGCCTTCAAGTACTCTCTTCAAATATATAAGAATAAAAAACCATATCAACATCCTTGAATTGTTAACAGTTCTTTCTCAAATATATGGATGAGGTTTTCTTCATACAGACACACTGTGCTCAACAGTTCTTATCCAGAGAAAATTTCATTTGAGCAGTGGGATCTATCTTGTTTTAGAGAAAATTTCATAAAGGTAAAGTAGGGCTGAAAAAAACAAATCATAGTTTATCTCATGAATGCATGGCAACATCTTTTGTCATCAAAAGGAACCCCAAAGTACAAGAATTTATAAAACTCGATAACACAATGACCGGCAACTACCGAGAACCTGTTCTAGCTTTGAACTGTTATTTTTTCACTGGAGATTGAGTGATGAACTTGGAGAGAACAAAGCAGTCAGGAGGGTCAATGTTTTTGTAATAGTTATTGACCGTCTCGGTGATTTCGAACCCGAATTTCTTGTAGAAGTTGACGGCATCATCGTTGTTTGTCTGAACATGCAAGTAAATTTCTTGTATGTTTTGCTTCGAACAGAGATCGATAACATGGTTCAATAGCCTTGTGCCTGCATAAATGCAGATTTTAAGCAAACTTTCATACAAACGAGAAACATGAAGGTGCAAGGTTCTTAAATAACTACGCTTTTCTATTCGGACTCGGGGGGAACAAAATTTCAGTGACAGGTTACTTGCATTTCACTCTTTGATTCTTCAATGTTAACCTCATCAGAGAATGCTCTCAGCCATCAGGTTCGAATATTCTTTCGTGATAGTTGGGTAATACTTGGACCGAATTAATAACCAATAATCATGAATCAAGAATTGATAACCAATAATCATGAATCAAGGTTATTAATTCCTTGCAAGACCTATGCCAGGAACAATAATACTGTCTACTTACCAATGCCTACCCCACGATATGGAGCTAAAACACCCAATGTCATGATGTACACACGGACGGCCCTACTTTCCTTCTTCTCCAGCCGGCAAGCAATCGATCCAACACATATGTCACTGTAATATGCTGAATTAGAAAGAAAAAAGAGTCATTGTTAAAATAAACATGACAACATTGGATAGTATTGCTCATGGTTTAAGCATTCATCAAATTTCAGCCATGACATATATATATATATATATATAATGCTATGTGTACGTTATCCCTACAAAATTGGTTTTCAGAAACCATCAAATAGCAATACAAGGTCATTATCGATGCACCGTGATAAAACCAACAGATCAACATGATCCATACAACATATCGCAGATGTTCTCTGCACATTTATAAGATGATAAAGACAAGACCGAGCACGACTTAAGTATTAAAGAAAACTTAAAAAGAATATAGTTATCACAACAGATGGAAATGATATGGTAATTCTTCTTCAAAAAGGAACAGGTTAACACTGCCACAAACCAGCTACCTAGTACTAGAAACAGGCAAAGCAGGATTACAGGATTAAGAGAAGTTAACATTCCATAACATTCCACAAACCAAGACTGCCAATTTCGTCACTTAATAACCACTTTTCAATCATACGTATATCGCATATCTATCGTATACAAAACAAACTGACCGAGTAAATCTGACATTTTTCCAATGCAAAGAGAAAACCAACAGATCAACAAAAGATCCCCATAATATGACAAAAAACACATATGAAGCGGGGAAACAGCGACCATAAATCACCCAATAGATGGAATACAATAATAAACATTAAAGAGAAACCCAGATTGTAAAGAAAGACCTAAACAACATGTCATAAACAAAGAGAACTGAGCATTGATTTTTTAACCAAAATAAGGAAAACCCAGAAAAGAATGGAGAAAAAAAGGGAGCAGACCAAGCTTGGTGAAATCGCCAGAAGCGAGAGCATCCGCGTAGTACTTGTCGTTATAACGAACGGGGAAGAGAACAGTGTTGAGCTTCTTCAGCTGCATCACGTTCTTGTCCCTCACTCCATCTAATGATATTGAAACTTCCCGGCCACCACCCATTTTCTTCTTCACAAATTAAAACAAAAAGAACTTCACCGGTGGAAGAAAATAGAAGTTTTTTTTTTTGCTGCGACAATAGAGGGAATGGTATGGTCAAAACTGGAATCCTCTTGTATGTACGACGATGGTGGGCTTTTATAGCAAGACAAAAACGGGAGGGGGATTGCTTTCCTTCGAAGAAATTTTGGGTTTTCTTCATGCTCTATAATTCTTGTTTGTTTGTTTGTTTCCCACGACTTTACATGGTTTTGTTTTCTTTATCATTGCGCATAGATTTGAAATTTGATTCCAAACACACGATCATAGAATGAGAATTTGGATTTTTTTGCCCTAATCGGGAAAATAGTTTTATTATTTAGTCCAATGGGATATATTGATTACTGAATTTTATTCTTACATTACTCTGATCTCTTTTCACATCGACATGATGAGTTTTAATATAAAATATTTTTTATTTAAATTTTATATTTTTATATAATAAAAATTTAATTAAAAAATATATTTTATTCAAACTCATCACATCAAAATAACGAATTTTCATACATCGTAACATTTATCATAGATCTCAAATTAATTTTCAAGATATCCTAATGGGTTAAGTTTTTAATCTGAATGGCCTATTGGACCAATTTTGCCTGAGAATTTATGGGTTACAACATTTAATATTTACTGGTCAAATTTAATAAATGTCTATAATAGTTCGAAATTGACATGTTTGTCTATAAACTTCTCAAATCCTATATTATTTAAATACAATTTTTTTCAAATATTTAAATATAATCTTATAAATATACACCACTAAATAATTATTGATAAATTTAATATTTGTTTATTGTGGTTATTTTTCAACTTGTACAAATATGTATCTTTAATTTAAATCATAAACATTTATTCTTTTTAAACAAAATTTTTATATAATATATATATATTTTTTATTATTGTCTCGTAGATAGATACACTTATATGATACGCTTTCAAAGCTACAATTTTATTTTTATAAGAAGAAAAATAATTTCTAGGGTAAAATATATAGATGGCCCTAATTATAAAATATTATTTTATTAAATCCATAAATTATTAAAAGTTATAATTGAGTCGCTCTATCACGTCCTCAACTAATAATATTTATTTATTTTATTTTTTTAAAGATTAATTTTCATCTCTTTTTATACGTAAATAAAAAGTAAATAATTATTTTAAAATTAATGATTTTCATTCACTAAAACTACAAATGAATCGAATTTATTCAATACTTTCTCCACAAGTACCTACTAAAGTACCTACAAATCAGTGTCCCCTCACGTGATATGTTCCTCCTACTCATCATCCCATGGATTGTCTCATGAAAGCAGATTAATATACGGTGTTACCGAATATATTAAAAGATATTTAATAAATTTAGTTTAGCGTTATCGGAAATGTTGAGTAATAATAATATAGTAGATCTAAGTCATGAAGAAATATTAAAAAATTTGGCAACCAGCAAACTTAACTTGTCGGTTTGTGTCGATCCAAATTAAAAATGTATCGATCCATATCAATATAACATGTAAAAATATGATAAAACCGGTCACGAAAAGACAATACTGGTAAAGCCCTATCGGATATATTGAATATGTCGATACTTTAATATAATGATCGACAGTTTGTGAATTTAAAAGAGAAGCAATTTTAACGCCTATAAAGTGTCAATACTTTATAAAAATGTATCGATCCACAACGATATAACAAGTAAAAATATGACAAAACCGGTAAAGCGCTACCGGATATATTTAAAGTGTCGGTACTTTAATATAAGTATCGACACTTTGTGAATTTAAAAGAGAAACAGTTTTAGAACCTATAAAGTGTCGATACTTTATAAAAATGTATCGATCCACAACGATATAACGGTAAAAATATGATAAAATCGGTATCAAAATGATAAAACCGATAAAGCGCTATTGAATATATTGAAAGTGTCAATACTTTAATAAGTACTTGTAATAAATTATCGATACTTTCAAAGAAATATGTAATTATCCTTTCGAAAGTATCAACATCTGACATAAAAGTATCAACACTTTGGTAGTTGTATCGATTAAATATAAATAACATATCCGATGAAAATATAAAGGCCATAGCTAAATATCCTCTAAAAATAGATAGAACGGACGAGTTTTTAAAATCGAAGAGTAATGATATAATATTACCGGTCAAAATTTTAACTGATCACTTATTTAACCGATCACGTCGTTTTTTAACCGTCGCACAACATAACTTCATCATCCCCTGCATTTTTTCCTATTCTAATTAACGTCTTTTGTATTTTACTTAATACAATACACATGGATATATTATATTAAGTGAATAATCCTAATTTGCTGGTTCGAATCCGGTAGGTAGGGTATTTTTCAAATTTTCTGTCAACTTTTTTCTCTGAAATTGTTTGTCTTTCCTCTTTCCCTTGTTTCAATAGTGACCATTATCGCTTGGAGGTTTGATTCTATGATTTGTACAAGCAACTGAGCAAGCAAGCTTTGAATTTCCGACACTTCAAACAGCTTTAACTGTAGACTTTTAGCAATTTTCTTCCCCGGGAGGAGAGTTTTCCGAGAAGACCCCATAGTCAGATTGCACATGAATGTCAAACAAGTTGTTCGACTATGGACTTTTAAAAGGTGTGATCATGGACTTTTGAAACCTAAACCCACTTTGCTCCATAGAAACTATCAAACTTGAGTTCTGCCATGATAGAGTGTCTCTTCTGTTTTTTATTTTGCAGCAATGGAAAAACACCCAAAGCCTCTCTCGTTTGTTCTTACGCTCATAGCCATGTTTTCTCAGCCTGTTTCATCGGTTGATTTTGTGTTCAATGGCTTCAACTCAACTGATGTTTTACTCTGTGGTCATGCCAGCATAAATTCCAGAATTCTTACACTCGCAGATGAAACATCTTCCGTCGCTAGTCGAGCATTTTACAGATCGAAAATACCGACAAAGATTCCAGATTCATCTCGTGTACTTCCTTTTTCAACATCTTTTATCTTCTCCGCGCCCCCTTCCAAGTATTCATCCAACGTAGCTTTTTTCTTTACACCAAATACAGACACCCGTGGAACAAACTCTGACCTTCATATCCATTTCTCCTACCGTGTCGTAATATACTCTAACAACCTCGTATCAGGAAGCTACTCCCACACTGCAGGTTATTGGTTAACCGGTGATTTTGGTGATCGGAATTTTGAGGAATTGAATCTTAATAATGGTGAGAACTATCAACTTTGGATTGACTATGCAGATTCCGTTCTTAATGTTACTATGGCTCCTATAGGAATCAGGAGGCCTAAACGTCCATTGTTGAACGTTTCCTTCAATTTATCTGATGTTTTTGAGGATGAAATGTATGTTGGATTCATTTCACCACCAACTGGGGGTCGAAGTCCAAGGATTTTGGCCTGGAGTTTTAGTAACTCGAATTTCGGATTAAGTGAAAGCTTGATCACCGTCGGACTACCGTCATTTAATATCCATGAGGTTCCGTTTTATAGGCATAGATCGTTTCCTGCAGGAGCAACAGTAGCAATTTTATTTGTTCTTGTTTTGGCTGCTATGTTTTACATGTGTTTGATTAAGAGAGAAAGGAGAAAAGCTAGGGAGAAAGCGGCAATGGAAGACTGGGAATTCGAGTATTGGCCACATAAGATGACATATCAAGAAATCGATGCGGCCACCAACGGACTTTCGGATGAAAACGTGATCGGATTTGGAGGAAATGGTAAGGTCTACAAGGGTGTTTTACGAGGAGGAACAGAGATTGCTGTGAAACGCATTTCACATGAAAGCAACGGAAGGAGAGAGTTCTTGGCCGAGATTTCGAGCCTCGGTCGGTTAAAACACCGGCATCTCGTCGGTTTGAAAGGCTGGTGCAAGAAACAAGGAGCATTCATGTTGATCTATGATTATATGGAAAATGGGAGTTTGGACAAAAGGGTCTATTATGACTTTGATGAGAGCAAGATGTTGAGTTGTGATGATAGAATTAGAATCTTGAAGGATGTTGCCTCTGCTATATTGTATTTGCATGAAGGATGGGAAGCTAAGGTCTTACATAGGGACATCAAGGCAAGCAATGTATTGCTTGATAAGTATATGAACGGAAGGTTAGGGGATTTCGGGTTAGCCCGGATGGACGGGCAAGGCCAAGTTGCTAACACGACGCATATGGTTGGAACCGTAGGTTACTTGGCCCCTGAGGTGCTTATAGGGAGACGAACATCGACCCGAACCGATGTATTCAGTTTTGGGATCTTAATCTTGGAGGTCATGTGTGGGAGAAGACCAGTAGAAGAAGGGAAACCAGCTTTGGTGGAATGGGTATGGCAGCTGAAGAAGAAACATGAACTACTCGCTGCAGTCGATGCACGGTTGACAAGTAACAGAGGATTCGACGAGGAAGAGGTGGAGAATGTTCTGCATTTAGGTTTGTGGTGCTCATGTCCTAGTCCTGATTCCAGACCAACAATGAGACAAGTAGTTAAGGTCTTGGAAGGGAAGAATGAGCATTACGAACTAGAGACTCGCCCCACAATCGACAGTATTCAACAGTTACATTTGTGTTCCATGTCATTCTCCTGGGCTAACAGCAGTGTGGAAGGTAGGTAAATCATGCATCATGGCCAAAATGATAGCCACCTTTCGCGGTTTGCTTTGCCGAAACTAAATTTTGCTGTTATTTTCTTTTATCATCTTAGCAATAAGAGTGTAAGACATGAAAGCCTTTAGTGTAGGATTTCAATAAGCATGGTCTAACCCCTTGCAAAAATCAAGGCTTCCAGCATTACCCCATTGTTCCCAAGCACACAAGCTATATAAGAGAAAGGGAAGTGCCCGAGAAGAGGCAGTGAACTCATTTTCTTCTTTAAGTATTACAACAGTATCGGTACAGTAGGGCAAATACACTGTTACTAATCTGGATTGATCCGGGTCGCACATCTGGTTTTGGTGAGTGAATCTCCCAACGGAATTTTCTGCATACACAAGAACTCGAACTTAAGACATTACTTAAACGATATCTAACTACTTACCACTTGAACCAACCCGTTGATGATCTTGCTTTGCTTGCTACATTCCATAAGATAATTCTACCATTAAAAATATTATAATTAATGTTACAATAATGTAATAAGATGGCATCATCTTACTAATAGTTTTTTAAATTATATGAACTAAATTTTTAACGAAGTGACGCACAAAATAAGTTTATACTACATGGTATGCGTATTAGCTATAAACATGGAGAATTCGCTTACACTAATATTATAAAATTAAATTATTTTTTTAAACTTCTTTAACATTTAATAACATATTATTTATATAAAAACCGTAAAAACTAAGTTTTCTCTCTTTAGCATACGCTCGTATCTTTTTTTCGTCTTTGTTGATCATACGCTCGTATCTTTCTTTTTCGTCTTTGTTGATCATACGCTCGTATTTTTTTTTCATCTTTATTGATCGCGGTGGTATCAACTTTAATGTTGATTGTCGACTGTCTGTATTCTTTATTTTCTTTTGTATTTTGATTTTCAATAAGTCTGCATGTATTACATGTTTTCATCTACGTTTATGACACGTTTTCTTATGCTTTTTGGCATGTTTTTCGATTATTTGGTCGTTTTTTATTTATCTTTTTTCTAAGGATTGATTTGACATTGTCACGACTAATTAAGATGAGACTTATCTGATATCTTGTGATCTTGACCATCGGATTAGATTTGGATACTTGATTTGCATTCGTGGGTAGCTTTTGACGTCGTTCGAGTCTAATTTATGATTTGTCGGTAGTCTTTCAATAGTTTGATTTCGTTTTGTAGTTCGTTTACCGATATAATCATATTTGTTTGTATCTATCTTTGTTTGAGTTTATTGATTAGATTTAATCTTTTCATGTATGATACTTATATGTCTTAAGTTAGTTTTATTTCAATGAAATGAGCTGGTGTTCTCTCGTGTTACCCAAACAACCATGACGACTTTCTAGCGCAGTCTTAGCTGGACCAAATGCTTCGATAATATTGCTTATAGAGATACCGGCAACCAGAATTTTTCTCTGAACATTGCAGGTTGGGTCAAGCCTCCCACGGGATGGTTTTGTTTAAACACCGATGGTGCCGTTTCCTCTGTTACTGGTTCAAGCTCGATCGGGGGAGCTATCCGTGTCTCGTCTGGAGATTGGGTAACCGGCTTTAGCAAAAAATATTGGCGTTAGCTCGGTTCTCCAAGCTGAACTGTGGGGGATCTATGAAGGCCTCCTGCTCGCTCGAACTCAGGGTCTCTGTAACCTCATTGTTCAGTCCGACAGCTCCCAGGTGGTGAAAATGTTGAATACCGTCGCTGCTGGCCATCACCATATCCCGCTGGTCCGAGCGATCATCAGGCTTTGCTCACCTTCTTGGGTGGTTCGTTTTCAATGGGTTTCTCGTCACCAAAACAGGGTTGCGGATCAGTAGCCAAACTAGCCTTGAAGGATCACTTTGATCTTGTTCAGCATGCCTTTCCCCCTCCGGTGGCCAGGCCCCTCCTTACTCGAGATATCACCCCAACTACTTTGGATTATGGAAACCCAGTTTAGCTTAATGCTTTAGTTTCATTTTCCATTAAAAAATAAGGTAACTTTTCTAATAAATCACCGGTGATCGGTATATTTATCGATATAACACCGGTCAGATTATATTTTTCGATCTAACACCCGTAGCAGTAAAGCGCGCCCCCTGAACCGCGCTATACGCTGATTTGGCACCACGTGGGTAGTGCGCCCCATGCCCCGCGATATACGATGATCTGGCACCACGTGAGTATAGCGCGCCCCTTGATCCGTGCTATATCTGGGTATCTGATACGTGGGGTATAGCGCGGTATAGGGGACGCGCTATACCCCTAAATACCCGACCCTTCACGACCCATCCTCCCTATAAATACCTCCATCCTCAATCACTTTTATCACACTAAATTCTCTCAAATTCTCTAAATTTCTTTCAAATACTCTATCTTTTTAAGGTATATTTTATAATATTTTTACTATTATGTATTTACTTTATTTAATATTTTACTAATATAATTCTTTTGCAAATATATAATGGAAGACAATCTACTTCGCTCGGATAGAAATCATATATCTCTACACTTTACTAATACGATAACATTTTAACGTTTTAATTTAATTTAAATTATTAGTAATATTTAGTTGATTTATTTAATGCATGATTATTAGATTAAGAATTAAATATCTCGACACTTTGCTGATACGGTAACATTTTAACATTTTTATTTAATTTAAATTATTAGTAATAATTAGTTGATTTATTTAATGCATGATTATTAGATTAAGAATTAATTTTTGTAATTATTTATTTTTAGGAGAAGGACTGTGTATTAGATCCTTTTATTAGGAATCTTAATTAGTGATACCCAGCCGTGTCTTGTCGTATTTAGTAGAGGCTGGATTCGGTTATATATGTAGATATCAGGGTCACTGTAAGATAGAGCCAGACTTGATTTCTGCCTTAGTAGAGCGACGGAGGCCGGAGACCCACACATTCCATCTTCCGTGCGGAGAGTGCACGATCACGCTTGAGGATGTTTTTATGCACCTGGGGCTTCCGGTGGATGGAGATGTGATATCGGGGATAGCTTCTGGTTCTTGGACTACTTTGTGTCGAGATAGTCTAGGATGTGTCCCGGAAAAATTTATCGGATGTAAGATACCGTTAAATTGGTTAGATGCCAATTTTCGGGAGTTGAGCGCAAATGTCTTTGAGGATAAGGTTAAGATGTATGCACAAGCATACATACTGCAGCTGATAGGAGGGTTGCTGATGCCGGACAAATCGCGCAACCTAGTTCACTGCATGTGGTTGCGACATCTTAGCGACTTTTGTCTCGTCGGATCATTCAGTTGGGGCTTGGCAGTTTTGACTTTGTTGTACAGGGAGATGTGTGGAGCCATTGACTACAGACGTAATGCTATCGGCGGATGTCTCTTGCTGCTGCAGTATTGGGCATGGTATCGATTGCCCATTTTATGTCCCGTTGTGAAGAACCCATTCGTATTTCCACTACTTCTGAGGTAATTATAAAACTGATTTTGTATATTAATAATTTTATACAGCGTATAACAATTTTTTTTCCTTGAATAGGTGGTATACTGATAGGAAAAATCATCAGGAGCTACCTGATGATTTAGAAAAAATTAGGGTGCTAATCGATCAGAAGGCTGGCACACAGGTATGAATTTTAATGTTTAAAAATCGATTTTAGATTATAGTTATATAATTAGATTATTATTTTGATAAAAATTATATATTATGTTTTTTAGTTTGAATGGGTGCCATATTCTACTGATGATGTGAGGGCGGTGATCCCACATGAGTTGAGGGGTCCATCAGATGTTTGGATCACGATGATCCCTCTGATATGTTATGCGACCGTCGAGTGGCACTCCACTAATCGCGTGCTCCGACAGTTTGGTTGTTTTCAACCAATTCCGGAAGCACCTCTCAATATGGACGAGTTGCATAGCTTAGATAGACGCGGCAAGACATATACAGATTGGCTGGTGAGGCATCATGGGTGGGTCGTGTTATGGGAGGATCGACATCGGCGCCTTCCCCGTAGAGAGCCCATTTTCGATGACCTCTTGATGTATGCTGAGGATTATTATGAGTGGTTCAACAGTAACGGGAAACTGTTTCTACTTCCGAGGATGTACGAGGGCAGACCTTTCCACGACGTCGACAGAGACGTTCACCGACACAGCACCATCGTCCCCCGACTCGTGGATGGAGAGCAGGTGCTTCTGGTTCATCCTCAACTGCACCAGTAGGACCTTCCCAGCAGCCACCGCAACCATATATGATGTCGCAGCCATATATGATGCCGTCATCGCCTTTGCATTACCAGATGCCGCCGCCGCCGCCTTTACCTGGTTTTATGACCCCGCCACCTGCACCGTCACAGATGACCCCTCCTAGAGGCTATTATGGGTCTATGTTTGCAGATTTGACTTAGGGTTCATATGCTGGATATTTGGCGGGTTTAGCCTTATCACCCATGGCCGCAGCACAGACACCTCATGTACAGTTTTCACACTCAGCGATGTCTGGGTTTTCCCAGTTTTCGCAGGCCGGTGGGATAGTTAGTCATACACCTCCAGGGTCCTTATTCTATGGAGGTGCTTCATCGTCATCAGCTCCTCATCAACCTAATGTACATGCTCAGGACGACGACGACGATGACGATGGTGACGACGACGATGATGATGACGGCGATGAGTCAAAACCAGTGATAAGAAGAAATCCTCCTCGAGACCGACAGCCACCGCCCTGCGGAACACATTCGCGACGCAGGCATCGATATATATTTTTTATTATATTTGTATTTACTTTATTTTGTTTAATTGTAATTTTTTATTATTTCTCATTTAATACTTATTTTATTTTGTTAAATTTTTTGGACTTTTTTAAAATATATTTCAGTTAATTTTGTTTATTACCATTTAATATCAGTTATTGTAATTTGGTTATCATTTACCATTTAATTCTTATTGTAAGTTTGTTGTATTTAAATACCAAATTGTTATTAGTTTGATAAAATTTAATGATTGTGTTCGTTTTTTTAATCTTCATCAGCTATTATCGAATGACATTAACTTGAAGTAAATGAAAATTAAAATACAAGAATTATTATTTGATAAACAAATACATCATTTCCTCATCAATTGTTACTTGATGACAACATAATTGGACATGTTTTTCTAGTGTGTCCTGGGTTTCTACAATGGCCACATCTTCTGTCTTGTCTAGATCTTTCTCGAATATCCATATCGCAATAAATTCGATTGGATTTTGGACGACCACGCTCCCTCAATAAATTCGGATTTGGTACAATCGGAAGCCAATCTTGAACCTCATCAGAGTCTTTGTCATTACCTATGGGGGGAAACTCAAATTTGTATACCTTAAAAACTTCATATAGTAGGTATACGGGATCCACAAAATGATTATAGTCTTGACGTGTATGCGAGCAAGCTGTTATCACATGAGAGCATGGATACTTCAGAGCTTGAAAAAACCCGCAGTCGCACGTTCTGTCCCTTAGATTTACTCTTAACGACACAGCTTCAATCCCTTGAAGAGGTTGCGACAACTCTGTGACACGAAACATTTCATGCCTTCTAGAGAAGCTTGTTACAGACATTTCATTTGATGCATCAATTTTTTTCTGTAGATCTGCAACTAATCTAGGGTGATAGACATGACCGTCTTGCATCCAGGTTTGATCTTGTCCCCCGAGCTTCAGCCAAACGAAAATATGTAGTTTTTACCAAAGCCGCTACAGGTAAGTGACGTGCACCCTTTAAGGTTGAATTGATTGCCTCAGCCAAGTTGGTCGTCATGTGTCCATATCGATATCCACCATCATATGCGTTCGTCCATATTTCTTTATCGATGAGGCTGATGTAATCGTATCCTTTCTCGTTCTTCGCCCACAAATCTTGAAGCATTGATTCAAACGTTCGAGGAAGTAGTTCGTGACCTTATCAAAAAATGTATAACTTACTAACTTGCTTTCTTTGCAAAATTAAAATGATCAAAAAATGTATAACTTACTAACTTGCTTTCACTTACCCATGCGCACAATTAATTGACGCTTATCATTCTTCTTGTACCTTCCATTATAGTTCGCAGCAATGTGTCGGAGACAATACCTATGTTGGACAAAGGGTGGTTGCCACATTGGACCCAAAGACTCTATTGCTGCTTTGATCCCAGCTCCGCGATCTGAAATGACACAGGTTTTTTCCCTCGTGATAACATGTTCACGTAAATTTCGAAGGAAAAAAGCCCAAGAATCTGTATCCTCTCATTCGACAAGAGAAAAAGCAACTGGAATAATGTTGCGATTGCCATCTTGGACAACTGCCAATAATAAAACTTGTTTGTATTTTCCATACAAGAAAGTCTCGTCGATCTGGACCACAGGCTTACAGTATTTGGCAGCATTAACGCACTGTGGGTAACTCCAAAAAACCCGGTAGAATTGGCATCGATCGCAAAGAACTCGATCATTATGGTATGCATAGGAGGTTTCGAAGTCCACAATTGTCTCAGGATTCAACGTCTGCACCAGCCTAAACCAACCTGGAAGTTCATTGTAAGATGCATCCCATTCGCCATGAAGTTTGACAATGGCATTTTGTTTTGCCAACCAAGCTTTTTTATAGTAGACGGTGTACCCATACTGCGATTGTATAGCTGAAATCAACACTGCAACAGCTATATGAGAGCTTGCTTTTACCATGGGCATGATGGCTTGACATATCACTTCAGAGTCCAAGTTGGGATGATCTTGGTTGACTCCTCCTGCACAACATGTGTGAGGACCGTTGTATACTGTTAGTTCCCATATGTTGATTTTCCTCTTCATTTTCGATACGCGAACCATCCAATTGCATCCGTTTTTGAGTCGGGCACAGCAGCATACATATTTTTCGGTCGTCGATCGGTTGACTCTGGACTGAACAGAATTACGGATATTGTAATTTTTGATAGCCATCATCGCTTCTTCTTTGCTTGAAAACTCCATGCCTAAAGATAACTCACCATTATTTATTGATGAGTAATATCCATAGTCACCGAGATGAGGAATATTCGCAAATTCTGGCCCATACATTGCACCATAATCAGCTTCATACATGTGTGTAGGAGGGTCAGTTTGTGCCACATTTCCTGGAATTTCATCATCATCGGAGTTGAATTGTGGTGATTCTGAGTGAATGAATAGTCCAGTCTCAGTACCATCCGCACCAGGCTAACGAAGCGGTTCTTCTGGTGGAGATGATGGTTCCTCCACGCTCTCCATATTTAGGTCGAAGAACCTACTACTTGCACGCCTTCCCCTTGAACTGGAAGGCATATCGACATTGAGATCGAAAAAGCTCGCAGTCGAATGCCTCCCCCTGGAGCTTGAAGTCATCGTTTCAAATGGAAACTACACAGATGGTTGCGTCGATGGCATCTCCATATGGTCAAAGAAATTTGCAGATGAATGTCTTCCCCTTGAACTGGACGCGGTGTTGTCATACGGATTGTTCGTGGACCCACCTTAGTACATATCGTAAGGAGTTGCGGATGAATGTCTCCCCATTATGGCATTAAAATCATTACACATTACTGTAGTCGGGCTGTCAACTTGTTCAGCCAGCCCTTAGTGTGAGCTTAAAGATTGACCCCAAACAGCACGCACTTGAACAAAATATGCATACATCTCAATAGCGGCGTCTGAATAATTACTTTGAGCTTCAACCATCATTTGAACATCATCATTGTTCGAAAGTTCGAACGTTGTATAAGTTAATGTCAACAATGATGTTGGAAATCTGTACTGCAACGACGACATTATTCTGTTACTTCCAACATGAATCTTCCTCGAAATCTTCGTTATCAACTCCTCAAGAGTTATGTTTCTCTTGACTGATATTTTAACATGCTCATTTGATACGAAAACAACGCCGGTTTCATCTTCTCGAATTTCACCATCATAATAAACAATAGCTGAAAGTCGCGCCATTCTTTGAGTTTAAAAGTGCGACAATATTATATCTGCAAAAAAATAACTTAAACAAACATGATTAAATAAATTATATATGAACGAAAATATAACACAAAAATTTTTTTACACATCAACGTAAATAATTTAAATAATATAATTTTATATTATCACCTGTACCGCAAAACTATTTCGACGTATGCTTCCGCTTTTCAATTTTACAAACATAAAAGTTAATTAAAAATAATTAGTATAATTTTTTTTCAAATAATGATAATAAACAATAAGTATAATTAAATAATTATAACAAAATTACCTTACAACGAAAAATCGCACGAACTTCTAAATCAAATATAAGAAGATTGCCAGAATTATTACTCGTTGACGGAATTGTTGTATTAATTTATAAGAGAAGAGAGATGCGAGGAGATGTGAGGAGAGATGCGAGAACCGGAGGTATTTATAAACATATAAGGCGCGGTACCTGCACCGCGTTATATGTAATTATTACATAGCGCAGATCAGGGACCACGTTAAATATAATTTTGATACGACGTATAGCGCGGCCCCTGATCCACGAGTAATCCAGTCAGCGTATAGCGCGGTACAGAGGGCGCGCTATACTCCACGTGATGCCAAATCAGCATATAGCGCGGTTCAGGAGGCGCGCTTTACTGCTACGGGTGTTAGATCGAGAAATATAATCTGACCGGTGTTAGATTGGTATATATACCGATCACCGGTGATTTTTGGGGAAAATCGCCCAAAAATAATAATAATTAGATATCACATAATTATTAAAATAATTAGATATCACATAATTATTAAAATAATTTAATAAAAATTGAAATTAAAAATTATTAATAATTTTTGAAAAAAAATAAGACCTCTTTAAAATTTCAAGTAGAATATTTTTGTTTTTTCTATTCAAATTAAATTATATTAATAATTTTTATTATTATTATTGTTTTTAATTGTAATTTCTTTCAATAAAAAACAATTTGACAGAGATCAGAGATATAATTTTTTTTTTTTTTGCTATTGCTACCAAAGTTAAGCTCTGACCTTTGTCACGTGATATTGTTTTTAATTATTATGGGTCACTTATATTATGAGAAATTACGAAGCAGAGAAAGAAAAGAAAAGCCCCAATAAGAAAATAGCAAAATAAACTAATTGTAACTTGACTAGAAATTTTACTGTATGACAGTCTTAATATACGATTAAAGAAATACGTTATTGGCTTTGTTATTATTTTTTTAACAAAATCGATAAAAAAGTTACCAAAAATTTACTATTTCTACCTAAAACATAAGTGTTTTTTAACATTTCCGGTAAAATGCCTAATAATAATAAAACTTATAGAAAAAATAACAAAACTGGTAGCGCTTTACCAGATATGTTAACAAAATCGATAAAACACCCAATAATAACAAAACTGGTGGAAGTAATAATGTTTTCGCTAATTTTTTATCGGTTTGTTAAAAAAATAATAACAAAACCGATAACATCTTTCCTTAACAATATATTAAGGCTGCCGCACGTGGGCTGAAATGCCATGAAAATAAAGCTTTGGGATAAAAGATATAAAAAGCTTTAGCCACGTGATCTATGCATGAACTTAAACCAGATTTGATACCATAGGAAAGGAATTAAGCTTTTAAAAATTATATTCTCTACTTCACCAATCAACGTTAAGCATATATAGCAACGTATTATTTAATTTTAGAGCGAAGGCTAAACTATGCGTTTAGTATCTAAATTATTCAGTTATAATATGTTTTAATATTTAAGCTTTCAATTTTTTTAACTTAAAAAGTTTTGTTTTTATTTCATTTTAGTATACATCGTTAAAAACTTTTGGGATTTTTTCATTTTAGTATTCCCTTCAAAATTAACGTTAAGTTTTGAAAAATAAATAAATAAATAAAAGTTTAGGTATTAAAACGGACTAAAATTGATAGTTTAGGTACTAAAAGCATTAAGTTTTTAACAGCGGGACACTAAAATGAAATAAAAACTAAACTTTAGGTATGATTTTGAAAAATCGAAAGTGTAGGTACTAAAACAGACTAAAATTGATAATTTAAATACTAAACGTGTATTTTACCCAAAAAAATAAAGATTGTAGTATGAACAAAGAAAAGGCAAAGTAGAAAGAAAAGAAGGAAAGAAAGGGAAATCAGTTTTGTTTGTTCCACACCAGGTTGATTCCATATAGACGTATGTAAGAAAGCTGAAAAGCTTAAACCCATCTTTTTTCTACTTTTTCAACTCAGTGTTTCCATTTTCATTACATCTTTTCTCACTATATTCGACAAAGTTGACATCTTTATTGGTACATATATGTGTCATGATGATGTTATGTTATCGAGTGCTTCTTTTCACTTTGATTCCCACTGCTCTTAGGTATTGGATTCTTTGTTTCTGTTTTTGCATTGAAATTTTGCAATGTCAAAGGTTCTCTGTTAAACTCATTCTCTTTCGTCTGTTGATGGATTCTCTCGGTGCCTTCACTTTCTGGCATTGCGTGAAAATTTTAAATTCTCGTATAATTTTGATATTTTTTATAATTTTTATTGATGATATGTTTCTGTAGGCAGTGTTTAACCGTTCTTTTACTCATGTCCCTTTCGAGTTTATCACAGTAGAAGCCTAGTGTAGTTGCATTTGCCCCACATCGATTCGATTCCGTACGGCCCGTGATCTTTTCGTTTGAGTCGTGTCTCTCCGTTTAATCGGTTTTAGGTTCGATGCTAAACACGAACAGTAGAAGTGGCTGATGTTGATTGGTGGTATGCTTTCACATGTCCACCCAACACTATGGTTATAAATACAGATGGTCACTTCCTTCTTGTTTTCATTGCAGGCATTCAGTCTAAACCATTGTACCTAGAAAATTAGCAAGGATCTGCAATTCTACCATGAGCTCGGGTCAGAAACTTTTCATGTATTTGATATATTGCATTCTGAAATCTTTTGTTGTTTAACATTTTGGTTGCAATATTTCCAGGCAGCAGAACTAACCGAACATTCGAGTTCGGGAGGACTCATGTGGTCAGGCCTAGAGGAAATCACCAAGCTACAATAGTTTGGCTTCATGGTCTTGGTGACAAGGGCTCAAGGTATAGATGCTAGACTCTGATGATGTTTGCCATTTCCTGCAGTAGTTTTTCTTCGATTGTGGTTTTAAGATCGAACATTAACTAAAGGTTTCGTTCCGAGCTGGAAAAGAAAAGCTAGGTCCCTCTGGAACTATTTGGTTCTGGTAATCAGCAGTTCCTGGGACATGCATGGATCAACAATTTCCATGACTAAGAGTGTGAACCAACAGTTATCATCTGCATTGTTGTGTTTACTTCATATTCTTTCCTAGGCATATGCGTTGTTCGAGAATAACGAACTTAATTTTGTCTCGGAAAGAAAAAGAAAAGGAGACACAGAATGTCAACATGTTGTCAAGTTCTCTGTTTGATGGGAGACACCATTGTTGGTTTGGACAACCTTTAATTTAAAAGTTCATGCATATGCAAAGCTTAGGTCTGAGAATAGGGGACCGATTGTTAGACTACTTATTCTAATATGTATTTGTTGTCACTTATCATGAAGCCTCCCACTATTCATAAGGTTTTTTGCTCAGTTCTGAACTCGGGTTTGGGTATGTTGTTCCATACTGTTAAAGAATTCTTTCTTTTTGAGGGTATCGATCGGTGACTAAGATGGATATCTCCCCTTTTTCTTTTGGTTCTGCAGCTGGTCTCAGCTTTTGGAAAGCCTTCCCCTTCCGAATGTAAGTTAAACCATCTTTTTGCATCGCCCGACAGCTTTTATATATATATATGCAGATGGAACTTGCTTATCGGCTACCCTAACCGCCGAGTGGCTAGACCGTTTTTACTTGGTAGACAACTTAGATATGTCTCAGCTGAAATTCATTGTTGCAGATTAAGTGGATTTGTCCAACTGCTCCTACTAGGCCAGTGGCAATGTTTGGTGGATACCCTTGCACTGCATGTAAGATTTCTATTCCTTTCAACAACTAAGGTCTTTGTTTTTTTCTAAAATTAAGCTGACAAGTGCACTGTGTCTGAAAGAAACTCAAGTGTTTTCGAACATTACCGCGAGGATGATAAATGCAGCCTTATGTAATGTGTACAGGGTTTGATGTCGGAGATCTTTCGGGAGATGGTCCTGATGATTTGGAGGGTTTAGATGCTTCAGCAGCCCATGTTGCCAACCTGTTGTCCGGAGAGCCTGCGAATAGTATGTTTCTATCCGTAGCAACCTTCTAAAATCTTAAACCTATAATCCCATATTTCAAGAGGGCCTGAAAATATTTATGATGTGCAGTTAAACTCGGAATCGGCGGGTTTAGTATGGGTGCCGCAACTGCTCTCTACTCAGCCACGTGCCATGTATTAGGGAAATACAGCAATGGAAATTTGTACCCGGTTAACTTAAGTGCAGTGGTTGGTTTAAGTGGTTGGCTTCCATGTTCAAGGTTTGAAACTGTCTACCCAGATATACCTATACCCTATAGAACCTCATTTACACTCATTTATACCGTGTTACAAAATGGAACTTTGGTAGCTTGCATTCATGCAATTTATTCGTCTTTATAACTGCTAACTTCAGGACCTTGAGGAACAGGATGGAAAGATCGATCCAGGCAGTGAGGCGTGCAGCATCCTTGCCTGTTCTACTATGTCATGGCTTAGGTACTCAAAACTCTCTGAAATGAATGCTTCAATAACATATCTGTTAATAGCATGGAGAAAGATGTAGGAGTCCATATAATGATTCATTCTTCTGCTATAATAAGTTCATTCTTTTACCTTAATTTGCTTCCTCCAGAGTAGTTCACGTTTATTTTCTTCCTGCTGCAGGTGATGATGTGGTTGCATATACACATGGAGAGAGATCAGCTCAGGCCCTGAATTCAGTTGGATTCCGGGATCTTACATTCAGAACCTATAATGGGTATTTAATCATTTTCACCTTCATCACAAACCGTAGAAACACTCTCGAACAACTTCTTTACTAAAGAGTTTTAACTAAAACCATATTGCAATGCAGGCTCGGTCACTATACAGTACCTGAAGAAACAGATGAAGTCTGCCAATGGCTAACTGCTAGGTTAGGTCTTCAAGGATCACAGTCATAATACCGATCATTAAATTCACTGATTTGATAACGAGATAGAGAAGAATGAACTTAATCAGACTTATATGTGTGGACTAGAGACGGATGATAGAGAGAGAAGATGTTGGACATGGGGTATATGTTGCCTATCAGTCATTTTATTTACAGAATAAACTTTCTTGCAATGAATTCATTTTGGTTTACAGTCTGCTAGGGGTTTGTTGAATAGATTAATGATGGAACGGAAGGGATTTCAACTGCCATTCTTCGGGTCTAAGAAATTCTGGGTTGGTTGACTTATGTAAACTCAATTTACTTATAAAATACTACGAAGATTAAGATTCAAACTCCGAATGTTATCTCCTATAAATAGCAACATGAACCATCTGAACTAAACTTTTAATAACACGGTATATACCCCTTGGAGGAGAGACTCAAAGCAAAATTGTGATGCTCAAATCAGTGCCAATTATGGCAAGTAATCTACCAATGGAAAAAAATCATAATGAAAATGAAGCATTATTCAACATTAGATTTAATATCTCAAAAAAGAAGCAAGAAAAGAGGTTTGGACTTCGGATAAACTAAAATTTTATTTAGCATGGTTGAGCAGCAGTATGTTTGATGAGTCCCTCCTCTAATCAAAGAGGAATGACAACTGCTTTGCTTGCATTAGAAAATACATCTTAAATGAAAAATCATAACATTGACAAGGAAATGAAACAAATAGAGAAAGAAACAGAGAATACGGATCGGGAGGCAGAAGCATTTCTGCGAATTTGTCCACTATTATTATGTGGCCACTTTAACACCCGCATTTCAGAAAAGTGGGGGGAAAGGAATAGCATCAAATCATGCATATGAATGGCAGAATGCTATGTAAGTTAATATAGACCATAGGCAAAACCTTAAAGGTCTAAGTTTTTAAGAGCAAGGTAATCACCACTCTCTGGAGCCCGAATACATCCATCATGAAAATACCTGATGCAACATACTGCATAATATTGCAAAAAGTAGAATGAGTCAGTATTTGGTTACAACATTCACATGATAAAAGGACAACAAAATGGGGAACAACTTACTTAAAAATGCAGGTTCGATAATCAATCATTGCTACTATTTTCTTGCAAATTGTTTCCACTGTGAGTATTGCCACCTTTTGAATCAATGCAAGGAGTAAGAGGTGGGAAAGAAGGCACAGCTTTTAGTATGAATTTGCGGCCACTTCTTAATGGTCCTGAAGAGCTTGATCCAAGATGGTGCAAATTGTGAGGAGGTGAAACTCGCTTGCCATTTGGGGAACCTGCTTTCACAGGCTTAATGGCCATAGAAGTTTCTTTCAATATATCCGGCATACCATCCTCCAAAATGTCATAAAGCCCGTCATCAGCAGAGTCAAGCCCCTGAAGGTTTTTATTCTCATCTGATGGAGAGACTGGTGTAATAGGTGAACTATGCCAACAAAGGGAACCCCTTGAAGTGAGAGAACCACTTCTACGGTCCAATTGTAACCGTGAAAGGTTTGTCAATTCCTTTACTTTGGATGATGATGAGCCAATAACGATTGAAGGATGATTGGGCAATGGAGTGTGATGGAATTCTTCAGCAAGCACAACTGCCTTGTTGTAGCTGATTCCCTCACAATAAGATTCAGTATCCAAATTTTCTTTATTTGTTTCCAGAAGCATGTCATTGCTATCAGAAGTTCTAGGAGATCTTGGAGACTTTGCATAAGATAAGATGGTAAGATCAGAGTCAGGGGAAGGAAGGCATCTCCTAGAAAGATGTCTGGATATGGATGCTTTCTTTCCATGGCTGAAAAAAAAAATGGAAGTAATCAGCAATAAAGAAGTTGAATTGGTATTATTTAGCTTTTTCTTGAAGAAATTAGGAGGCCATAATTGTAAATCTTACTCTGAGCACTGGAAAGCAGGTGTCAAAGGTGTAAGATGGTGTGGATCACACAATTCAGAATGCAAGAAATCCTTTTTTGGTTTAACAGTCACTCTACTTTCCAATCTCTCTCCACCACTTCTGTTGATCATTTCTTCAGTCACACGACAATCTAGAAATTCAGCAATAAGGATTAAGGAGCATATTGATTCTCAATTCTTAATTACCAAAAGATGCTAATTTCAGCCAAAAGTAAACCCCAAAATGATGTTGGGAGGAGAGAGCATATTTCTTTAATTTCTAGTATTGCAAATGATGACTAGAATGCACAGGAAGACAAAATTCATGGTGATATTTCTTGAAACTCACCTTCCTTCTTGCCATAAACATTTCTACACCCCTCACATCGACATCCAATAGAGCAACCAACATTAGCCTTTTTGATATAAAAAGAAGATTCATGAGTCCAACAACAATATACTAAAAGAGAATACATAGAAAGCATGAAGATGATTCAGGCAGCCATGTATTTCACCTGGTAGCATTCACAATATTTTTTCAGACACATTGACCTTTTGCAATTGCACCCTTGTTTGTGTCTTGCTGAGGATGGTGTTTTCCGATTTCCATCTTCCTATTAAGGGAAATATGATCGTGAAATTACTAATAGGGAAAAGAAAAGTAAAGCAAAAGGATTTGGGCTTCACAAATTGTATTATACCATGTTGCTTAAAGGAAACTCAGTGAAAGGTTGCACAATCTTGGGAGCAAACGCTAGCGGATTACGTGATTCAATTTGTTTACGTGTTTCAAGAACTGTATCTTCATATTCAGGTCTGTTGAAGCAACCTTGGCAGCAACAAGGTTCAGCACAATAGATTCCAGCGGCAAAACAATCACAATAGCTGAGGAGGAGAAAATTAGCACATATTGTTGGTCAAACACATATAACTGGACTTCAACCAAGTAAAACAGAATTCACTTACAGTTTCAAACATTTGGTCTTTTTGCAATTGCAATGCTTGCAACCCTCACCCTCTGTGTTGTTTGATAGTTTCTTCCTATGGAAGCATAAACTATTAATGATCCTAATTATTAAGAGAAAGTCATAATTGTTAATGAACAAGAAGTATCAGAACAATTTGCCTTTTCACTTTGGGGCTTTGTTGGTCAAACACTTCATCACTATCTCTATCCTCTGAGCTAAACTTCCTCTTTGTATTTAGAGTCATGTTACATTCGATTGATTCCATGGCACTGAGTGATTCTGAAACAGCCGAATCTGCAATTGTACAAACTTTCACTTCAAGTGTTCCATCTCGAGGAGGAGCTGATACTTTCTCAAATGCATCGGAGCAGTTGTTCATGTTTTCAGTTGACTGACATGTTGATCTTACAGCCGGTGCCAGTTTCATGCTTGCACTTCCACCTTGAGCCATTGGTATAGCATTAACAATGCTGTTTAGGTGTAAGCCAATACCTGATGGCTTGGGAACAGTTAAGGAAGACTTTTCACCATAACACTGGGGAATCATGCTTATTGCTAACTGGGACAAGTTAACCAGTTGCTGTGTTCTAGATGCAACACTTAAATCAAGATGAGATGAACCCAAACCCTCAGTTTCTGAAGTTGTAGGAAATGATGTTGAAGAGCTAATATTATTTGCTAGATTTGTAGAAATGCAGCAGTTTGCTCTAGCTTCTGGTTGAGCTTCTCCAAATTGAAGGCAGCGCCTACTCATGCTGCGTTGGAGTTCACTAGCCTACATTAACCGTTGAAATTATTCTATAGCAAAAGGAAAATCTTGCAGCATTTAATAACCAAAAAAAGTAAAAGGGAAAAAAAGTTTCAAGAGAAATATGAATCCAGTAATCTATTTTTGATATCTCTATATCACGGCCACTTCAAATCCTTTTATACCTCGAGATCATGTGTCATGCTATGCACTGCAACATCTATATCCTCACCAACATTTTCAGCAAAATCTTCATATGACTGAACCCCCTGTAGTGATCCAGGCAGCTGTTGAAGGAAACCATTGCATCCATCGCCACAGTCCTCTACTACTTTCTGGCAAAAAAAAATATTGAGACATTATTCTATCTCCTAATATACATTGTACTATTTCCCAATTGGATGGGGGAAGATAGAAACAACTATTACCTGAGGACACAAGTTTTTAAACTCTTTTTCCTCATAGGAAAGATCAAATGAATCAGACTCAAACTTTTGGAATTCATCGGATATCCCTTGAACAGCACCTTGCTCGTTTTCAATCTTCAATGATTTGTCATCACAAGTTGACTTTCTTTCAATGCTTTCTTTACTCTGCCCAGACAATAATAGAGCTGCCTCAACCTCCCTCACCGCATTATTTTTGTTGCCAATTTTAATATTCTTTGAGTCCGCTAAACCATCAACTGATGATTGAAGCACATTACTAGATTGTTTCACATTTGAATTGATCGCATATGCAGAGTTCACACAGTCTGCTTCCACGGGGTCAGCCAAGTATTCATCAACACATCCAGAGGAGCTACTGGGTTGGACTGACACATTATCCTTGTTATCATCCTCCTTCTTAATATCAATGGCCAACCTTTCTTGCAATTCAGTAACAGATCTTTCTAAAATACAAGACTGGTCAGTTCTTTTCTTGTCCCTTTCACCATTTTGAGATACTTCCACCCTGGATGGCAGAGGCCTGGAAATAAGGTTTCAAGCAATCAGAACTCAAGAAAGAAGCACTCTAAATGGAAAATGATAAAGCCAAAATACAAAGGTGGGCAAACCTTCCAAGTGTGTTTATAGGAGGAGATGTAAATACGAGAGGGGGAGAATTGAGCCCAAGAAACCCTTGTGCTACATGAGGTGCTTTGTCATGTTTTATAGGAGACAGATTGCTAATGTAATTCGAAAAAGGGGACTCCTGAAATCAAAGTGGAAACTGAAAAATAAGAAATCTAATCATTCATGATAAAGGGGAATGACATCCATCCTTTCCTAAAAGTTATGCAGTTATCACAACATGAACTCGGAGAGAAGGTGCAGTTGCGAAGTACTGGATCTTAAAGAAAATCAGTTCTGAAGATGGCTTCATTAACTAAACAAATCATGAACTAGAAACAAAACAAAACACGACATTGTCACCTTATGCAAAACTTAGAACAACAAAATGTTAAACATTCAAGCATCATTTACTCATCAAAGAAACTTTCTTCTTTCAGACACCTCCAGTGACGGAAAAGCATCAATGAGGACAAATATAAATCTACTCCAAATATAAAACATCATCAAATTAAAGAACAATCAAGTCCTTGTAAAAGTTTTAGTTTCCCCCGACTCATTGAACCAAACCTCCCAATACCTCTAAATGATATATTTGGGGGGGGGGGGGATACTGACAAATACCCATTAAATCAGTGGAATCCTAGTCAACACACACAACCGATCACAACTCCGCCAACAAAATTAAAGTTCCACACTTAAACTACACATTTAACCACATTCAGTAAGCAAATCAAACCTCCCCAAACACAAATCTAAAACTTAGACCAATAAACAAAAACCACATAAAAATAAAAGCCAGAAGAAGATGTAAAAGATGAACTTGAAAGATCTCAAAATACATGAAATGTTAAGTAAAATAATCAACATCCATTATTTAAAAAAAAAAGAAAAAAAAAGCAAAGACAAATTACTTGAACTGGAGAAGAAGATGAAGTGGATGCTAAAGCAGAAGAAGAGGGAATTGGGGATTTAGAAGGTTTAGGAGAATCCATGCTTTGAAACCCTATTCCAAGATAGTCTCTGCATTTCTTCTTCTTTTTTCCCCCTTTTTTTCTTTTTAACCTCCAGATTTTATTATGATTTTAACGTTGAAAATTGGTTTTTATGATTTTTTTTTAGTTTTATACAATTTACCATCTAAAATCGAGGGTTTGTCAGCGAGACGTAGGCAAAGGGGGACAGAGGCGGGCATTCAAAATCCGAGCGGGAAACACAACAAACAAACATCTCCTCCTCGGCCCTTTTTAATTCTCTGGGCCTAACATTAATTCCTAATCCGCTCCATTGGGCATTCCTCTTGGGCCCCTCTAGATTTTAAAATTTGATAAATTGATCCTCAGAAAAGAGATGAGCAATTCAATCCCTATCAATTTCGAGAATGATAAATCAAAGAAAGTTGATAATGATTTTTATGTTTTCCTTCAATTTTGTATCACTTTGACTGACAATAATAATAAAATTAACCTTTGGCGTTTACATATTGTATTAATTTATACCGATTTCAAAATATTCAACGTATTTTTACCCAAAAAAACTTCAATATATAGGTTACATTTTCATAAATTTTGAGGCTAAATTTATTATTATGTTAATACTATATTATTACATTTTTTCCTTTTGACCAAAACTTATTGAACGATCTCAGTGATAAAATTAACCTTCTTTCGATTACCAATTCTAATGCTTCCAACACTTTTATTCTTCTCGTCGACCCTCTTTTAAGATCGTCGCCTTTTCGGCACCAACAAAAAGTTTTAGGTTGCTTGGAGGCGAGTATCTGAAAGTTTCAAATCTTGAATCATGTGAAGTACTTGCCAATTATCAATGCTGTTGTACACCCTTAATCTTCTGAAATTAACAATGACTGGTAAAATGGCTACCTAAACATCATAAAGGTTTTGATGAGGTGCTCTTTGGACCGAAACTAATCCCGTGTAGAAAGAAGGCGTTTCCTCGATACATAATCGACCTCTCCTCGTGCCCTACGCACCACAAGTGGCCTTGCAACTCCAGAATCCCTTTCATACCTGCTGTTTCCCACACAAACTTAAATAAGCCCAGAGCCCTTTCCAATTGCTTAACCCCACTCCAAACTGTCTTCTCCTCGTTTGAAGTTAGAATTCTTCCCGTGTACTAGGTAAGCTTATTCTCGGAACCATTCCCTTAAACAGCTCCACACAAATCCACTTCGAGATCTCTAACCTGGCCATAGAGGTAATACAATAAAAGTGTGAATAAGCACTGTGATGAGTGTCCCAATGTCTTAGTCAACTTCTTCTGTATGAGGCTTTCTTGGTGCCTAGCATCCTTATATCCAATACTATTATCAACTAACACATCCCTAATCTGAGAGACACCTCCTTTCATTACCTCGATCTTTTTCAAATGGTAAAGCCGGTCCTTTTCACTCTTAAAACAGTTAATGAGATCGTTAAACATCTCGAAAACATCCTCCCATTTACGTGGAGAGTCGACAACTTTTGCAGGCGAAAGCCGAATCCATGAAGCGGAATCAGGGTCACAAGAACCAGCTGATTCGTCCAAGAACTTAAGGCAACTAGAAACTATCTGCTGACCCATCTTAGTTCCTTCACTTGGGAATTGGCAATTCAACAAACCAATCTCTGTTTTCAATTCGTTCAATATTTTCTCAAGGGCACCCGTCCATATCTTGTGTTGTGTAACCTGTGGACATATCGTTAGACGCACCGACTTCCTCTGTTGAGCAGTAACATTCAAAACATTGCTCACCGTCGTTAATGAATTCACAATCATGGGCTCCCTTTCACTAGGTTTACCGAAACAGTCAAATGCAGGGATTTGTTTCTTTAGCATTAGTTGAACTTGATAGGGATCCGATTAAAGACCCTCATAACCGACTTGAAAGTATTCATCCTACGTTCAATGAGATCATCACCGATGATTGAATCGTCATTCACATTCACAAGCCGTCCATCAACTAAATCCACATCTTCTAACAAGTGGGTTAATCTTGTCAACTTCGGAAATGCTTTTTCATACCATTCATAAGGCAACAACCTCTTCGTTCGAATCACCAGTGCAGTGATATAACATTGCATTAAAATGCAGAGCACCTTTTAGCTTCATTTCGCAATACTTTGCATTTTGGAGAACCCTCTGAACAACCTTAAATGTCCTCATCAGTTAGCGAAATCTTTACTGTGATATATCTAAAAACCCGAACCTCAAAACCACTGATACTAAAACAACACAAGTACATCACCCACCAACATCAGCATTAGTTCTGACTTGCCATAGCTTCTTCTCAATGCTTTTCTTCCTCATTCACTGTTACATCCCTATAGATTTCACAACTCTTGCTATAAACAAAAAGAAACAACTAAAAACAGAAACCAGTATAGCTAAAAGAGTACAAACAAAACAATATCAGTTGAGCAACAAATCATCCTCAAAAAGCAAAAAATTGAAACAGTGAAAACCCAGATGGTAAAACATGAGAATAGTAAAATCTAAGCACCAACCAAACTGAGAACATTTGTTCAACAATAAAATAAAAAATAAACCACAATTTTAATCCCCTAATTATAAGATGTATTTTCTGTTACAGCTCATAGGAGTGACGTAATAATAAAACTCGTATTTTTTTACATTTTATTTTAATATAATCACAATGTTATAAAATTAACTCGAAAAATTATTATCTTATTTTAATTTATTCTTTCTATAATTTTTTTTTTAACTTCCCTATCATTAATCTTCGCACTAGGGTTTTATTTGTAGTTATGATCGTAACTGTATGTTTGTGATATTCGTAATTACTATAATAATATTTATTATATTTACAATCACAATAAATAAAACTTATAAAAAACGTAATTGCAATCGTAATTTAAATCTATGTCGGCTATAAACACCTATAATTGGACGTAAAAGATCACTTTTTCGCCATTTGTTTGATTATAACTAGGGGAGAGCGTTTGATCGTGACAAGTCGAGTCGAGTCAAAAAAATTTAAGTTATTCGAGTGGATGAGTTTTATTTTAGAACTCGAAGTTGACTTTAATTTTTTTCATGTCGTGTCAAGTCGAATCGAATTTTCGAGTCTCTGTTAAATCTAATTGTAAATGTTTATAATATTATATGATTCAAATTTAAATGATTTTTTGTAACCATATACAATACATATATATTTATCCATTTTTTTCGTGTGTAATGTGCATACATCATATAAAGTTGATAGACTCGACTTAAACTTGAAAATCAATTCACTAATTACTAAATATTTTGAGTTTTTTGAATTGTATATTATAGCTCGATTTGAACCTGAATTTTTTTAATCGAGTCAAGTTTATTAAATTACAACTCGGAGTTAATTCGAGTCGAGTTTTACTCATTTTTTTATTAATCTATGATAAATATACAATAGTACTTATTAAAAATAATTCTCAATATTTTGACACGTAATATTTATAATACTCGAATCTAAATCTTTAAGAGATAATAATGTTTATTTTATCACATAAGTTGAAATGATCGTCCAGCTCAGTTGGTAGAACACAAAGTTTTTAATTTTGGGGTCGTGGGATCGAGTCCCACGGAGGACATTTTATAATTCAGAGGTCTCTTACGAAAGCTACTCTCAACCTGGCGTTGGGGGTAACCTACTATCCTACCTCCCCTTATCGTATTACATATGAGAATAAAACTCGGCTAATTTTTTATTTTATCACATAAGTCACTCAAAAAAGGTACAAATGTCCTAGGAAAGCAAAGTGGTAGTTGGAACAAGTGAAAAGCAGAATCAGACACGTACACGGAGCGGGATCATGAACGAGCAATGGAGACGAGAAAGGCGTGCTCGAATTAGGTGGAGAGCACAGTTAAGCGAAACTTTGAACTTCCACGTTGCACGACGAGAGAATAAAGTTCATCGTCGCCGCTTTCATGGAATGGAAGCAATGAATCATCAATAATGTTTACTTCTTAAGCATTTCGAGTTAGTGATTTAATATTAACATCACTAAGTGAGTGATTTGGTGCCTTTGAAATACCTTTAAAATCCGTCCCTAAATTTATTTACATTTAATATCTCAACTGTTAATTTTATTCCGTTTTGGTCATTTAAATAAATCGTACATAACGTTACGTTTTGATTTTTTTTTATAAATTGTCATTAAAAATAAGAAAAACATTTTCTTGGAAGTTTCAATAATGACATGCTATTATCTCACAGCGATACATCAATATTACTATTAATTTTTCAACGACGGGTGATCAAAATAAAATCAGGAGGTAACATTATGTATGATTTTGAATCAAAAAACATAACGACCAAGACAAAATAAAAGCGATAGTTGGAGAGCTAAACATGTAATTTACCCATAATCTTATTATTTGATTTCTATTTTAGTAATAATGTTTCGACGACGGGAAGTATAAGGGACAAAACCTAACATAAGATTAAAAAAAACAATTTTATGTGCAAATGAAAATACGATAAAAAACATAATATTTTAGGTTAAATGTAATCTAAAATATTATCTTATTCGTAATATTTTTAATTCAACTAAAAATATTATATTTTTTAATAACATTTTAGACTGATAACAAAAAATATTACATTTTTCGTAATATATTAAATTCAAAAAAAAATATTAAAATATTATAATATTTTATATTATGTTTAACCTAAAATATTATAATTTTTATCATATTTTCACTTATAATCAAAAGATATTTTTTTAACTTTATGTTACACAATAGAATCATCTTTATCAAGATGTTTGATTAGACCTTAAAAATTTAAGAACAAAAAATGTGATTATACCTAAAAATATATATTTAATCTAAAATGGAGATATTATAAGTCTACCGACTGCCACTGCCACTGCCACTGCAACAGGTGCGGCAGATGGGAAGTACCGGCAATAGCCGGTAATTTTAAGAACAGGCTGTAACCAACAACAAAAGAGGACACGTTTAGAATGTCTTGTTAATTTAATATATATATTTTTAAATTGTCCTTTCCGTTTCCAAAGAAAGAGGAGGTCTCATCTGCATTAATCTTAATATACGATTAAAATAATATACTATCGAAATATTTTTATTATTTTAGTATTTCAGTAAATTATTACTTAAAATATTTTTTTACATAAAATATTAATATTAAACACTACTGAAAATATTAAAATAATAATATTTTCGATAAAATATTTCCTTAACAACATAACTATCCAAGATACCGGATAACGAGCAGTGGTCAACACGGAGTTAAGACTGTTTTCTTTGAGTAGCCAATGGAAGTTTGACATGTCATCGAGAGCACTTAAGCACGCTCGAAACTCCTTCCACGAACGTGGCAAATTTATTTTAATATATCTTAATATTTTAGTAATCGAGTAACAAATATAGCTATATAAATTATATTACCTGAAAATAAAATAATAATTATAATTTATAAGAAACTAATTATTCTTCAATTTAAAATTATAATTATATTTGAAAGTAATACATTTGTATGATTATTATAATAATTAGTTATAATATACAATGATTAAATTATATAGAATTGGAGAGTAGAGGGGCTCTTTTTTTATCAAATATACTTAAAAATCATTAAAATAACAGTCATTCACAATTGACTGTCGCTATCATATTCTGTTAGCCGAAACAAATTTTTATAAATTAATGTTTTTTTTAAAATTACAAGTTTAATTCGTAATACCTAAATAGATTATTTTAAAAATGTATTTTTTTATAATATCAATTTTAATGTTTGTTATCGACCGTCAATGATTATTATTTCGTTTATTTTATATTACACCTTTTGTCTTTCTTTTATTTTTTAGTTTTTTTTTTCAATTTTGAATAAAAATTTCTATCTTTGTAACGTGTTTTCCATTGCGCTTCTGACACCTTTTTTAATGACTTTTGGTACATTTTTCTCACACCTTTGCAATCGTTTTGGTGCTCACAAAAGACATTCATAATATTATTTTTTGATTGATTTATCGGTGATCATGTATAGTCAGATCCCCTATTTGGTAAAATATTATTTGTCGATATAATCAGAATTCTATAGCGAAGTAGCCTGCCATATAGTATGGTTCACTCACCACTCTTTTATCACATTAAAACGTCTCGCTCGGTAAAGACAACGAGTTTTATGAAATGCTACTATTTTTTTTTGCATTGGACGTCATTTTCAAGGGGAAAAATCTTTTTTTTTTTTATATTTGAGTTTAATATTTTTAGTTTATATATGAGTTTTTTTTGCGACTATTGTCCTCATTTCTCTCTATACTTGAGTGTATTATAATTATGATTTCTTCCATTGTTTTTTATTAATGAAATCTACTTGCCATTGTTAAAAAAACATAATTTTAATTTTAAGACCTAAAAAACTAGTAGAACTAATGACACGTTAGTGAAAGGATCAAATAAAATGATAATTATAATTTGGCGACTAATATATAAAATATTAAAATTAAGGAAACAATTTAGAATGGGTTCATAGTTTAGAGATTAATATAGAATATTTTAAAGTTCAAGGATCAATTTAGAATGTAGATTATAGTTTGGAGACATCCTATGCAATTAACCCTTTATATAAAAAAGGACAAAAGGCTAAAAGCTGAGCTAGCCAGAGCAACTGGTTCAACCGGTGGAAATCCTTACATCAATAATAAATAAATAAAAGAATATAAAATAATCACACAAAAAAAAGCGATAAATTGACAAGCCATTGAGCCCAAAGATCGAGAGAGCATTGTACGAAGACATAGCTGAAATGAATACTTGAATAGAGAGAAGCAGGGATATGGCGTCTTGAAAGGGAGAAGCTTGTCTTTTCTCAACCCTCGCCTTACTTACATTCTTTGATCAGAAACTCTTAATCTGTTGATCCTCGAAAGAAACGAAAAAAAAGACATGGAAGCAAGTGCCGGAATGGTGGCCGGGTCTCACCGGAGGAACGAATTGGTTCGGATTCGCCATGATTCTGATAGCGGGGTTTGTATTTTAAGTTTTTTCAGTTTTAATATCTTTATTTGATTATAATTTTGGAGCCAAAATATCCGAGTTTGTTATCAGCGAAGTGATTTTCCAGTTGAAAATTTTAGACCATTTCATTGATTTGGAAAATGGGTAGTGATTGTTTTGATCTAAATGTTTGGTAGGTTGAAGTTACTTTCAGTCTTGACTTGGTGTTTTTTTAAACCCTCTGTTGACTGAGTTGCTGAAGAAGTGGGTACTGGGTAGTGATATTTGATTCTGATTTTTAGAGTAGAAACACATACGATAATTGTGCACTTGATATTATGTTTAAGCTGATGAGTTAATTTGGGCGCTCAATTGTTCAGAAGATTTCTAAACAGTGTTCATTATCCTTTTAAAATGCAGCCTAAACCGCTAAAGAATTTGAATGAACAAACATGTCAAATCTGTGGAGATAACGTAGGACTCACTGCTGCTGGTGATATCTTTGTTGCTTGTAATGAGTGTGCTTTCCCAGTTTGCCGGCCTTGTTACGAGTATGAACGAAAAGATGGAACTCAGTGCTGCCCCCAGTGCAAGACTAGATATAAGAGGCAGAAAGGTTTCTGCTTGTTTAGTTGTTTCTTTTTTGAAATCCCATTTTATGATTTCGCTTCTATGTTTCTATATCACTGGGTGACGAAGTAAGTAATATCTGAATATTCCAGGGAGTCCACGAGTGGAGGGAGATGATGATGAAGAAGATATTGATGATCTGGAAAATGAGTTTGATTATGCTCAAGGACACGGTATAACAAGAAGACAATGGCAGGGTGAAGATGTGTATCTTTCATCATCTTCTAGACTTGAATCTCAACAACCAGTACCCCTTCTCACCAGTGGCCATGTGGTAGGCATTTACATAGTTAGCTCCATTTTCAGGGTGGCCATGTTACAAATTTGCATGGAGCTTCCTCAGATGCTTATTTGTTTCATCTTTTATTACCCTATTTAAGGGGTAGTTGAACACTGCTGTTTTGATTCCTGTGTTCTCCAAGTTCTAAAAATCAAGTCATACAATGTGGTTTCTCCTAGTCAGATTTCAACTGACGAAACCAGTTCATGCTTTCTTGTTTTGTAGGATTTATTGCCATCACTAAATTTCCTGAAAAACTTTTCACATCTTCACTGCAGTTATATACTTTTCAATCTCACTATTTCTTTTCTGTCATTTTGTAATTTTCTACTTAGTGCTCATTTCTTCTTACTGATGGGCCATTTTTTTAGGTTTCTGGAGAAATTCCATGTGCTACACCAGACAATCAATCTGTGCGAACAACATCAGGTCCTTTGGGCCCTTCTGAAAAGAATGTTAGTTCATCGCCTTATATTGATCCAAGGCAGCCAGGTGAAATATTTATTGAGTTTATCTACAACCCCTTTTCTCATTCTTTTGAACGGGTTTATGATCTCATTTGATAATGTAATCTGTTTTTATAGTCCCGGTCAGAATTGTGGACCCAACAAAGGACTTGAATTCTTATGGGCTTGGAAACGTGGACTGGAAGGAAAGGGTTGAAAGTTGGAAACTCAAACAGGATAAAAATGGGATGCAAACAACTAATAGATACCCTGAAGGGAAGGGAGATATAGAAGTAACTGGTTCAAATGGGGAGGAACTGCAAATGTGGGTATATCTTGTGTGAAATAAAACAAAAATTGATTTACTCTGATCCCAGAGTGCTTTTCTGTATCTTTATGACTGTGTAAATTACATAAAGTTAATATTTCTTCATCTTAATTGCCCCCTAATTTTTGGTTAAAATTTGACTTTGCAGTATTACCATTTATTATATTTCTACCTCTAAAGGCATGTATAGGTTCTGCATAAAGAACATGATTTTTGCTCTCTTGCTCTCTTCTATGCATTCCATGCGTGCATTTGTTTTTGGAGTTTGATAGTTCTCCTACCACAGGGCTGATGATGCTCGTCTACCTTTGAGTCGTGTGGTGCCAATTTCTTCATCTCACTTGACCCCTTATCGTGTTGTGATCATTCTTCGGCTTATCATTTTGGGCTTTTTCTTGCAATATCGTGCGACTCATCCAGTAAAAGATGCATATCCATTGTGGCTAACATCTGTTATCTGTGAGATTTGGTTCGCTTTGTCTTGGCTTCTGGATCAGTTTCCAAAATGGTATCCCATCAACCGCGAGACCTTCCTTGACAGACTAGCCTTGAGGTCTGTCCTATTACTTATCTAAAATGTTTGTTTTTTTTCTGGACGAAACACTCTCTTCCTCTCTCTATGCCTGTGTGTGTTGGTGGCGCTGTTGATTGTTATCATACCAGTAACAGTGGTTGGCTTTATTTTATAGATATGACCGGGAAGGGGAACCATCACAGCTAGCCCCTGTAGATGTTTTTGTCAGTACAGTGGATCCTCTCAAAGAGCCTCCGCTTATCACAGCAAACACTGTCTTGTCAATCCTTGCAGTGGATTATCCTGTGGACAAAGTAGCTTGCTACGTTTCAGATGATGGTTCTGCTATGCTGACTTTTGAAGCCCTCTCTGAAACTGCAGAGTTTGCAAGGAAGTGGGTGCCCTTCTGCAAGAAGCACATCATTGAGCCAAGAGCTCCTGAGTTTTATTTTGCTCAAAAGATTGATTACCTAAAGGACAAGATACAGCCTTCTTTTGTGAAGGAGCGTCGTGGGATGAAGGTTGGTGTAAAGGTGCATTATTATGTTTGTTGTGTGTTATGTTGTTGAATATATAAAAGGTATGCCAAAGAAGTTCTTTAAATCAATAAGTTGACACCTTTTGATTTTATAAAATTTTATTTGATGTTTTTGGTTTGGCTGTTGACAAAAACCATTTAGGTTAAATCTGGGTATCTATCCTAGAATTAGATTTTCCTCTAGACGATACAAGTGTGGTTTATATCTTGAAATGATTGAATTTGTAAATAGAAGAATATTTTAATTGGAGATAACAAAGGGAAGAAAATACATTAGTTGAATCTTAGTACCTTATGAAACATGATTTCATGGACAGGCTAAAATAGTGTCGCGTTTATTAACATATTTAACATGGAGAAGCTGAAAATTTCTTTCTACAGAGAGAATATGAAGAATTCAAGGTGCGGATCAACGCCCTTGTTGCCAAAGCTCAGAAAATGCCCGAAGAAGGTTGGACAATGCAAGATGGTACACCATGGCCCGGAAATAATCCAAGAGATCATCCAGGAATGATCCAGGTAATCCTGCTATCAAGTTGTATTTGTTAAAATGGTCAAAGAAGGTTAACCCCCATTTCTTATTTATGATATTTTTTTGTGGAACACCAGGTATTTTTAGGTCATAGTGGGGGCCTTGATACCGATGGAAATGAGCTACCTCGTCTTATCTATGTTTCTCGTGAGAAGCGACCTGGCTTCCAACACCACAAGAAAGCTGGAGCTATGAATGCTTTGGTAGTGCCCATTCTCAGCATTTTTTTGGTTTCACAAAGTTCCCCTTTAGTTTTCATATATGTCCTCTGGTTTTTCTGGATCACTCTATAGAGCAGTGAATATCATAAATGTATCATGTGGAAGTGCTATAGAGCAGATCTTTATGATCGCATGCATAACTTTGCAATGGTCCTACTATTGTCTATGCTAGATATTCCTTACTGAGGAGTGGCAAATGTCTCACATAGATGTGGTCACAATTTCATCAGTAATACCTGCACAGATCTTCGACACATGCAAGTTCGTAGAGGTAGAACCATTTTCATCTTCTAAACTTTTTTATCTTCTGATTGCAGATTCGAGTTTCAGCTGTGCTTACCAATGGGGCATTTTTGTTGAATGTTGATTGTGATCACTACTTCAATAACAGTAAAGCTCTTAAAGAAGCAATGTGTTTCTTGATGGATCCTGTCCTTGGAAAGAAGACATGCTATGTGCAGTTCCCTCAACGTTTTGATGGCATTGACTTGCACGATCGATATGCCAATAGGAATATTGTGTTCTTTGATGTATGGCCCAATTGAGTCGTCTTCAGGATAACATTTCTTTTCATTTATTAATTTGTTAATGGGGACCTGTAGTTCATTTTGTACTATTATTTTGCAGATTAACTTGAAAGGTTTAGATGGTATCCAAGGCCCAGTCTATGTCGGAACTGGTTGCTGTTTCAACAGGCAGGCTCTGTATGGGTATGATCCAGTTTTGACTGAAGCTGATTTGGAGCCAAATATCATCATTAAGAGTTGTTGTGGTTCAAGAAAGAAGGGAAAGAATGAGAATAAAAAGTACATTGACAAGAAAAGGGCAGCCAAGAGAACTGAATCCACCATCCCTATATTTAATATGGAAGACATTGAGGAGGGTGTTGAAGGTATGCTTGCACAAAAATCCTTTTTTTTCTTTCTATTATTGCTTCTAATTGGTCTTTTTTGCTCTGTAAAGCACTAGATCCGATCAAGTTGGCTTATTCATGAAATTTATCTTTTCCAGCATCCATATTGTACATGTTCACTGAGAAACTGATTAGTATAAAAATAATAGGACCCTGGATGTTTCATTTTGAGTAATTTGAGTGTTAATTCATTGTGTTCTGTAGGATATGACGAGGAAAGGTCTCTTATCATGTCGCAGAAGAGTTTGGAGAAGCGGTTTGGTCAGTCCCCAGTATTTATTGCAGCTACCTTCATGGAACTAGGAGGCATTCCGCCATCAACCAATCTTGCAAGTCTTTTAAAAGAAGCAATCCATGTTATAAGTTGTGGCTACGAGGACAAGACTGAATGGGGCAAAGAGGTCTGTTTCATACCCTTTAGTAGTATCTAAGCCAATGTCCCTTTTTATATGCATTAACATAGGATGCTTTTTTTTCCTGTTACCAGATCGGATGGATTTATGGTTCTGTTACTGAAGATATTTTGACTGGGTTTAAGATGCATGCTCGTGGGTGGATATCAATCTATTGCATGCCTCCTCGTCCGGCATTTAAGGGGTCTGCCCCTATCAATCTTTCTGACCGTTTGAACCAGGTTCTTCGATGGGCCTTGGGTTCAATTGAGATTTTGCTGAGCAGGCATTGCCCCATATGGTATGGTTACAATGGAAGATTGAAGCCTCTGGAGAGATTAGCATACATTAACACCATTGTTTACCCCCTTACCTCTATTCCTTTGCTTGCTTACTGTACACTTCCGGCCTTTTGCCTCCTGACAGGAAAGTTTATCATTCCGGAGGTAAACGATTACCATGTCTTTACTTTTTGCTTATGACATACCTTTGTCTTAGACCCGTAACCCTGCAATCCTCTAAAAACGTTTTCCCGTATTTTAAGGATGCCACAGGCTCTGATGCTTTTCCTCCAAATTTTATGCAGATAAGCAACTTTGCTAGTATGTGGTTCATTCTCCTTTTTGTCTCCATTTTCGCTACTGGGATACTTGAGCTTAGATGGAGTGGTGTCAGTATTGAAGATTGGTGGAGAAATGAACAATTCTGGGTCATTGGTGGGACATCAGCTCATCTTTTTGCTGTCTTCCAGGGTCTTCTGAAAGTGTTTGCGGGAATTGATACCAACTTTACCGTCACTTCGAAGGCATCTGATGAAGACGGCGAATTTGCAGAACTCTACGTTTTTAAATGGACATCACTTCTCATCCCTCCTACCACAGTACTCATTGTGAACCTGGTTGGTATTGTGGCTGGTGTATCTTACGCAATAAACAGCGGTTACCAAACATGGGGTCCTCTTTTCGGCAAGCTTTTCTTTGCCATTTGGGTTATCGCCCATCTCTATCCTTTCTTGAAGGGTCTGGTGGGTCGTCAAAATCGTACGCCTACAATCGTCATTGTGTGGTCCATTCTTCTTGCTTCCATCTTCTCCCTACTGTGGGTGCGCATCGACCCCTTTACCACCGATGCTACAAAAGCTGCTGCTAACGGTCAATGCGGCGTCAACTGTTAGTTACATTTTCGGATCTTTGTGCAGCGGGAAATGCTTCCTCTCCTTCTAGTTGGCTACCATGTATATAACAAAAGAAGATGAAGAGGTTACAGCCATATGCATGATATTAGTTATGACTGTATGTGTGTGTGTATGTATGTATATACATGTATGTATCTGTAAAATCATATACGGGATGGCAGATGGAGACCTAAGACCAAGGACATCTTAATCTTGTTCACTACAAGGTGGTATTGATGGTCTAAACATGTTTTGATGTTATTGTTATGTTCATGAATCGGCGCACTCTTAGATTTTTTAAATTTTCTTTTATCTTAGATTTTTTTTTTGTATTTTCTATTACCATCTAATTTCGTATCTCTTAAAATTTTATAATTTCGCACCTCTAAAATTTTTTAATACAACCTTTTAAGTTTGTACTTTGACATAAATTTTTGCATCTGTTTTTGGTTATGTCGTATGTGTTATTGTTTCATTTCATTTTCATTAAGGAGCATATACAGGGATGGGATCAAGATGAGATATTAGTAGAGATTGAAATATTTAATTTTTTAAGAAAAATAGGATTATTAGGTATTAAACCTTTAAAATTCATAAAATATCTAATTTATTTAATATTTAAATTTAAATTGTTATTAGGCTAAAAAAAATTGAGAATATTGAATTATCCTTCTTTTGTTCTTCTTTTATTTTAATAATTTTTATATTTTTAGTTTAAATACTTATTTTAAAAGAACTAAAGTAAAATTTATAGGGGTCGGATCCCTTTGGACTCTAAGAAAACTCCATCTCTGAGCATATAGAGATAATTATAAAAGATATGAGATTTTTCTAATAAAAGTCTAAATAATTGATAAATTATTTAATAAAAAATTCAATTTATCAATATAGCCTCATAGATATATTCCTTGTATATAATATGAATTTTATAAATTTATTTTTTTTCTAGAGAGATAAAAGGGGCGGTAATCAGTGCAGGGCTGCAGGCCTAAGAAGTTATAATCTGAAGCAAATGAAACGGTGACGTTTAGCGCGCAAAACGACGAGTAATACAATAGTGCGAGGTGAGTGAGAGTTGAATTCAAGGGTTTTGGAATCTCGCAGGCTCGCAGCTAAGAGCGCCCACTCAAATTCCTCCATTTCGCCTTCGTTGGTGAGAGCAGAGCAAAGAAGAGAAGAATGGAGGGGATAACGGAGGGAGTGAACAACTTGAATATCACGGACTCATCAGCCTCCAACAACAAGAAGAACCGTATCCAAGTCTCCAATACCAAAAAACCCCTCTTCTTCTACGTTAATCTCGCCAAGGTTCCCTCCTCCTTTCCTTATCATTTCTGGGGTTCTCCCAAATCTCTCTCTTTTTCATCTGTTTTCTTAGTTAAGCATTTTAATTTTGGCAGAGGTACATGCAGCAATACGATGAGGTGGAACTCTCTGCTCTTGGAATGGGTATTCCCTCTTTCACCATGCTGCTCTAATTTCTCACTACTTGCCTCTTTACTTTTCTTTTCTGTATTTTTTCCTATGGGTACTAAAATGACAATTTGCTGTTGACGAGCTTGAGATATTTTTATTGGATGTTATGTATTAGCTTTTGGGGGGATGAAATTTGTCATATTCAAATTAATAGCTTCATCTTTGTTCATCTTTGTGTGTGTGTATTTAAATGACAATTTGCTTTTGATGCACTTGGGATTTTTAGTTAGTCGTTATCTGTTAGCTTCTGAGGGATGAAATTTTTCGTTTATATTGGTAGCTTCTGTACTTTGTGTGTCTAACGCATCGTTGGTGTTCACATACTGTCTTAATTCTTGTTTATCTTTACTATTGCAATGTTAACCAAAAGAACAAGGTGAACATTTTTCCTAAAGAGCACTTGAGTAGAAATAGAACAGATTACCTTGACATACAGAGACGCGTGTTCATCTTTCGTGGCATGAGATTTTATGGATGTGTTTTCAATACAAACCATTCGCAAGTTTGCCTGCTTGGAAAATCGTAATACTGCTTTTCTTGATTGTCATTACCGCTTGCTTTCAAATGCTGTTCAGCCATTGCTACTGTTGTTACCATTGCTGAGATATTGAAGAACAATGGGCTTGCTGTCGAGAAGAGTGAGATTCCTATCCTTAACAAATATTCCTGTTAGATTCCATCTATTGTTGATAATTCAAACTTACTATTGTGTTATCTATAAAAACATTACCAGAAATCACGACTTCTACAGTTGACATGAGGGAGGAATATGGGGAACGGCCAGTTCAAAAAGCAAAAGTAAGTTGCAAATGCAATATAGATTAATTTACTTAAGTTACTTCATCGTATGGCTCACGTTACATGAACCTCAATGCTTTCATGAACTAGAGTTTTATTAGATATGCCGAAGTGATTTAAAAACATAATATCCGTCGATTTATTTTGTCACGTTTCCTTATTTCAGACTGACTAAATGGTGTAACGTTAACATTAGGAGTTGGAATGTGTTGTTCAAGGCACCCTTGGGAATCGGAATTGTAAAATCTCTCGTAACCTACAATGAAACTCATGATGTTTATCAGTTTCATCAAATTAAAAGTTTTGTCCTTAATGGTTGGAATAGATTCTATCAATATGAATGCATATCATGTTGTTGACATCCAGACTAGTAGAAAAAGGTGCTTTCATCATTTAACTTGCTTTGTTTAGTCATTAGCTTACACGCTTGGAGTTATGTTTATAGTAACAGTCATTGAGTCCATAGGTAATCATATAGCTGTCTTATATTGCATGAAATGGTTTAAGCCAGTAATGTTGAGTGCTTGACAGCATGTAGTTTATTATTTTGTAGATTGAAATAGTGCTGGGCAAATCAGATAAGTTCGAAGAGTTGATGGAAGCTGCTGCCGAGGATGTTATAGATAATGACGGGCAGAGCTGAGATATTACTCCCTTAATTTAAGCTTGTGTTACTTGATCTTGGACCGCTTTAACCGTTAGTTTCTTGTTTGGCCATACAGAATTGGAGCCTGTTCACTGAGATTTCATCATTTGGAATTTTTCGTAAAATACAATGGCCCCTTTGTTTCAAGATTTGTTTCTAATTCATTCTTGCTAATTCATTCTTGCTTACATGATCGAATATTCGCTTCGTATACATAGATGTTTATTTTATGAATAGATGATGCCAGAAAGAAGCAAAGATTTGTATCATAATTGCTAATAAGACTGGTTGATCAGGGTGTGAGCATCGAGTCAGTTGACATTCATGAATACATATATATGAAAGAAAGAAGACATTAATATATTTCGAGGCAGCTAAAGGTAATAAGTCTTACATTCTTTAAATGTATGCGTTGCAAACTACATCATTTCTTACCTTCCACTCACAGCTGCCGCCACCCGAACTGAGCCCTCAACAAACAAAATTCAGAAGGATAAACCTAAAATGTATGGTAGCTTGTTCCCCAAAAGATGAGTATCTTCCCTTCACCGGGAAAACCTAAGATTCTTCATCTTCGTTTACCAGTATCCTCTTGCACGCTTCGTAGCACATGAAAGAAATCCCAGCAGCAGGTATCAATTTCATGCAACTAGGGCCCAAACCTTTATACAGACCATGAATTCCTTCTTGTTCGAGAATGCTCGACAGTGCGTGCAACACATGCTTGTAGACATGTCTTCCATTGAGAGCCCCGACCTGCATGTGCTTGCGAGCCACCTCGAGTGGGAAGGTTGCACTGCTTGAAATAGCCCCCGCTAGTGATCCTATTAAAAGGGTTTCAATATTGCCGATTTTCTCCTCCGACGAAACTTTACGATACGCCTTACGTAAAGTGTCATATGCAAAATAATTTGTGGCAGCATATGGAATTACTCCGATGAGACTCGGAGCAAGGCCTCTATAAAGTTCGGCAGGGCCCTCCTTTTGCAGTATTTTTAAGAAAGCATCAAATATACCATCGTACATGTTTTTCTGCAAGATTAACAAATCTCAGATATAAGTGAAAACATATTTTTTACCTGCAGAAGTTACAAATATTTAGAATGTGTTTACCTCAATGGTTAATCGAGTCTTGACTAACTCAAGAGGATAGGTCAACAACGTTGAGCTGACTCCAGCACAAGCTCCTGCAACTAATGAAGCCGGAATCGGAATCTTTGGTTCTTCCCCGGGTTTCGGTGATAACTGCTTATTCACGGTATCGAAAGCAAATAGCTGCAGTACATGATGAATCAGTATTTAAGGTAAGAATATTTACGTTGGCTTTAACAAATAACCATATGAAACTAACTGCAGAAAGTCAATTTGCGAGCAAACAAGGTATACACATAGACCCAGTAAACACAGTGAAAAGCTGCATCAAAACCATAAACATTTGATTAACCAGCAGCATACAGCATTCATAAACTTATCAAATTCGGGGAATTAATACCTCGATCGCCTTGCTCGGAGCGACTCGAATCACGTTAACAAGATTACCCCTAAACAATCCTTTCCATCCATCGGTCTGCATAATATTACCGAACACTTCAGCAGTAGAACTCCCACGACTCCCCACCATCAAATGCGTCCTTATAGTCTCCAAGGGAGCAACGCAAGTCCTCGAGATCGCACCGGCAACAGCCCCGCTCATTAACCTCCTCAAGGAAGGATTAGACACCTTCATTTTCAGTTTTAATCCAACTTTTTTCTTCGTCCTCGAAGCAGCTTCACCTTCTGGTACCCCAACAACTCGGATTTCATCTTGTGATGGTAAGTATTTGAGAAACAAATCGATGAACGGTGCTTTGATTCCACCATCGTTATGCTGATTCGGGGGGTTGGGTCCAAATCCTATTCCCATTTGACCAACGCTCGCAAACAAGCCACCATGATGAAAATCATTCTGTTGGAGACTCCATTGAGACCCCAAACCACGTATAGAGAAAACCCCACTTTTCTTATCATCGAACACCTGAACACCTCTCTCGCTCATGATTGAAAAAATATTTTTTTTTATAAAACAAAGGCCTTCTTCTAGGGTTTAAAGAACACCCAAATCCGTGGTTTTCATTGTTTTAAGAGAACATAGCGTGTTTGTGAAGCAAAGGTTCGGTTTTGAACAAATGGGTGCATAAAAAACTCCATTTTTGAGAAAATGGTGCAATAAAAAATCAAAATTTTTAAACAATTTAAATAGAAGAGACGAATGGAAAAATTAGAATCGTTAAAAAGAGAAGAAAATGGGAGACAGGAGAGAGTAGAATAGGTTAATGAATCTCTCTCTCTCTCTCTAACAAGAGAATGGAACGAGCACACAGAGGGGATATAATATAAATATACTTAAGGATTTGGATTTGGGTTGGTGGGATTACTGTACTGGAGGAAGGTGTTTGCTCTACTTTCAATCCATCAAGCAGAGTGGATATAAATAGGGATTTTATACTACTCACAATAAACGATTATCCGGTTCTAAAATACAGACAAATTCATAGCTGATTTCACTTCTTTTCCAGCTACCACACGTGTATATACATGTACTTTCAATCTAGAATGATTTTTGATTCCATAGGCAGCCATCAACTACCAAGTCTGAATATCTTCATGTTGTTGAAAAATAATAGGTCCTCTTCTTTTGGTTCTTTATTTGTTTTCTGTGCCTGCTGGTCAACTTGACGTGACCCTTTAGAGCGTAACTCTAAGAATGAACTTTAAATGCAACAGTAAAAATTAATAATAATTGTAAAAATTTTTAACAACATTACTACTCTACTTCCTCCTTATCCCATTGCATATGAAAATAGGATTTTGTTGTTGTTACTCTTTAAAGATATCTAGGTAATATTTTAAGTTAAAATTGAAAATATTACATTTTGCATAATAAATAATCTAACTGCACATTCTACAGCAGCTGAAAGTGTTGAAGCAGTCATGGATTCATTTAAAGCCATACACACCCAAATAAGTAAAGGCAGTGATGGAGTTTTTCACTTGCATTGCTGCAAAATGTAAAACAACTCAAAACCATTTATGGGACTCAAAGTTCAACAAGCTAAATTACTCGGTCAAAAAGGAAAAAAAAACAACTAATCCAATACAAAAGCAACCGACCCCTTAAAGGGTGACAACATTCTGCCCGAGAATTTCAGCATTTATTAGCCACACTCGATGGCAAAATCCTTTTTCTCAATGGCAAACCACTATTATCTCGGGTAGAAATACACAGCTCAATAAAAAATTTACCTGTCCTTCACAGCTCCACTTTTTGAAATAATACACGTTGCTTGCCTCAAAAATAGTGGGGTGGACTAGTATTGAAGTGGTGATGAGCAGAACTGCGTTAGCCATCGTGCGTACACTGACATTAAAAGGGGCATGCAAAAATCAGAATAGACTCTGACAGGCCTTGACCTCAGATGCCTGAGCTTCCAACAGAGCTTGTCCTGAAGGATCTGAGCTAACAATCCGGATTGCTGCATCAAATACAAATTTTTGGTACATGTTGTCTTCCAACTTCTTAAGGACTTCCTTCACTACATTAAAGTCTAATCCCCCAGCCAAAATAAGTTTTCCGGTTATTTCTCCAAAATTATTCGGTGCTTTTGGTAAATCGATGCCAATATCATCCAAAAGAGCACCGTAGAGTAGGCATCCAGTCCCTATGTCTCTAGCTGTAAGAACTTTCTTGATAAACAAGTATTCTATAAGCTTTGAAACTGGCTCAACACAAGGTGGAATTTTCTCCAAGGCAATGGAGATAGCTTCTTTCACAACCTCAGGATGGTGTGACGGAGATCCTAGTTCCTCCACACACTGCAAAGCTTCATCCAGAAGCCTAACACTGAAAAATTCCTCCAATAGGGCCCGTGTTTTTCTACTAAGGTCAGCTGGATTGAGTTTTGAAGCTGGTGTGAGTGGTTTCTCCAAAACTGCAGACGCAATAGCCACAGGAACAGATTTGCCAGGAAGAGAAGGTTGTGCCACAGGCTCAGCACCCAAAATCGGGTTGGATGGCTTAGCCGGTGGGATTGAACTTCCCTGCAACAGGGCACTTGTCTTACCACTCATTAGGCCACCACTACCTTGAGGCAACATCCTTGGATTGACTGAAGTTGACTTATTGATTAATGATGAAGGAACTCGCCCTCCAGGTTGTGTACCTGGTCCGTCACCCCTTGGCATTGACCTTGTTCTAAGACCATCCCAGTTATCATTGTCCATTCCCGGCATTCCAGGCATCCTCCGAGTTCCAGGCATTCCAGGCATCAGACCCCCAGTACCAGGACGAGTGATAGGAAACCCCCCAGGACCAGAACTCGTTGGACCACCAGAAACAGGTTTATTTCTAATACTAGCAGTAGCACCTGGACGCAGCCCAAGGGTTTTTTCAGCTTCAGAATGGATTTCAGTAATTGTTTTGGCTTTCACCTGCAAATTTAGTACAAGATGTCAATATCAAAACCCATTTAAATCAATATGTCAACATCTTTCTAATCTTTCTAACCCAGAAATTGATGGCACTTAGGATTGTTACCTCTTCACGCCGGGGAACCCAATTGTTAGTGCGCAGATCAAGAACATCACGAACCATAAATTTCAGTCTTGAAGCAAGCTGGGGATTTGTGACCAAGTCCTTCATTCTACTGAAGTAGACATCATTTATGCGCCGTGATTTTGGGCTCTCATCAAGTTGCTTACCAATAGTATTGAAGAACTGACAAATAGCTTCAAGATTCTCCTCCACAGGGCAAGCTTTAGTATCATGGCCCAAAAGTTCCTGAAGGGAAAACAGAAAAAAATATGATTTAGCATAACTTACTAAAATCTGATTTGCATGGGTAAGAAAAGAAGTATTGGCAATAACCTGCACAATGTGATGAACTATCTTCTCAGGTACCATTTTTTGCTTCAGAAGCTCACCAATTAAACGAATGTTACCTAAAGTACGGAGCTTAACCAACCTTTCTTTATCTCTCCGCTCCATCTCTTGCTCAGGGGCAGTCATCTGCGACACCTCTTCCCTAAGCTTGTCAGCTCCCTCAAATTCCTCCTGGCAGTTATTCAAGAGGACGCGCTTAAATGTAATGTCTTTTCCACCAGGTTCATCGGATGGGAAAGAGGGGAGCTTATCATTAAGATCAGAACATAAAAGAGCATACATAGGGCAAAATGTGGGTTCCAAAACAGCCTTCTCAAATATTAGACTGATAACATCCTGTAAAGATGTCAAAGATATCCCATTAGTAATGTGTATAAAAGCATGTAAATTTCTTAATACAATCACAGACCTAGAAAATTGTACAAGAGGTATGTAGTGATGCCAGAAAGAATAATGGAAATGCGAAAAGTGCTAACCTTCAAGATATCAGCTGATGTAATACCAGAATCAAGAAGTTGACCCTTCAAAAGATCATACTTTTCAGGGGTCAGCTTGTTCAGTATCCTGCACAGAGAAAATAACCATTCAGAATAACCAATAAGCCATACTTGTGCAATCTGGACAACAATGCACTTAGCAAGTTCCCTAAAAATGGAAGCCATCTTGTATTCATCAACTTCCAAAACTAAAACCATACTAAAGAAACCTATATTCTCTATGAATTTAAGAACTTGACCATGATATTCCAATCTTAGGAAGTTCACAGAAACGCCTTTGGTTCAATAACTTGAAACAAAAGAAAATGTTCTAACATAGATTTACTATAAAGGTTATCGGCATGCATCATGCTTAATAGATAAGATAAATAAAAGGCTTTTTTTATGGTAGGTTGATAGAAATAGAAGAGGCATATATAATGTGTAAAACCTGCTTTTATGATTTCTCAGCAGGAAGTGGTGACATATATGAGCAATAAACATATTTTGAATATGATTACCCTTTTACAGTCTTTAGAACACACGGTCCTTCTCGGAAAGATCCCCCCTTCTAGCAGACCATGGCACCTCAGCCTTGACCAAAGCGGGAGTTTGTCCCCCCTAGTTCAACACACAACCAAATGTTAATGCCAAAGACAAATGACAGGCATATCTTGCAGCACAGATAAACTTGCTACTTACAGGAATAAGTACAAAGCTAATATGAAGAAACTATAAGTTGAAGGGTTCCTTGAATTTTATCATTATGGAAAACAAAAAAAAAATGGAATTTGTGTAAGGAACAATTACAAACAACTGATATGCTTTGTAACGTGTGGAATAATGCAAGGGACCAGAAGCAAATGAGTTAATAAATGAAAAAAATAAAATCCTAAATGTAAGGTTCCTGCGGGTGTTGAACCATCTCACGAGTCATGATTATAAATAAAACAAAATTAAAGAAAATTAAGAGCAATAAGATGCAACTTCTTGAACAATTGCTCCCAGAATGATATAAAATACTGGTGGTTTAAGACGTTAAGTGGATCTGCCGATTCAAGGACTAAATCCTAACATATAAATTCAACAATAATTGTTTTAAATACCTGCACCACCCCTAAGAACTTGAAAATTCTAGCAAAAGCCAATAAAAACAATAAACATACCAGAAATCTTACATAAAGAGAAAGAGTTCATATTGTGTTATGTCAATTACCATTTGGTTAGAAGAGATTTGTGCCCTCGAGAACTGAGAGTTGAGTTGATCTTGATGATTAAATTGACTAGCTTCTAGATGTCTGGAGTCATTTCCCAATTCTCTATCATGAAGAGACTCCCAGGACCTATCCCCTCCATCAGGAGGTGCTGAACGGTTACGCCAGTCACGATTGTCAGGTTCAGAGTAACGGTTGTGACCCTGAATTTGTTTTGGTGGCTGGAAGAAGTAAAGGATGAAGAACAAGCTTTAACAAATAATTATTGCTTGACAGCAATATTAAAAAATTATGGTATTTCATCTAGGTAATTAGTTTATAGCAAAATAAATCAATTGAACAGTAAGAGCAAAAGACCACTTAGAGCTCACATTGCTTTCTCCACGACTCCAGTTCTGCTCTTCACCAAAGAGTTCCACCTCAATTTCTCGTTTGATGTTAAGAATATCGTCAGCAACTTCTACCACCTAAAAAGGCAAGCAGAACAATCAGATATTATATCAAACAGTAGTCAAAGTGCAATTGAATTTAATAATTGAAACAAATTATGAACAACGGTGGAAAACTTATTTGCCTGATCAACTTAATATAAGTGAAACAGGGTACTGAAAATGTTGAATAACTTCCTTAGATGCAAACAAAATAGCATAATTGTTATTTTCTAGATGATTTGCGGAAGTAAAATGCTACAAATAGTTCTCTGATGCACAGATGAAGCATATTACATGCACAAATTCGTAACATTACCTCCCTAAGCTGAAGAAGCTGGTCCCTAGTGTATCGCACTCGTTCACGACTCTCAAATCGCGAGTCTCCAGCCTACAACAGTAAAGCAATTGATAACTTCATATTTTGGAAACCATTTTATTGTTTACTTGTTCTTCCACAGACAATATATCAACAATATGCTCACAATATTTAAAAGACAACTAAGAGGATTGACACAATTAGAAAAAGTTCATCGACTCTTTTATCAATGGAACACCTCTACCTCTATCATATAAGATTCTAATTGGTTTTAGGTCCTTTATGGGTAATCAATAGCTCATAGACTTAGGCACCTGTTTACAGCAAGCACATGTACTATATGTGCCCAAAGAAGAATTACAACTAATCACATTTGCACATTTTTTATGGCCTAATAATATGCTCGTAAATTCAAAAGGCAATAGGGAAAATACCAAATTTGCGACTGAGAGCTCAATGGAAAACATAAGTCTTTCAGACGAATAAAGATCAATGTTGCAAGGATAAAACCAAATCTACTAGCTAAGATCCAATATTGCAAGCAGAGTTTCCTCACATATACGAAACTAACAATTTAAAAAGAAGCCCCATTTAAATCCAATAGCAAAACATCTAAAAAGACCAACCCATACCAAATCAATCAAAAACCAATAAAAGAAGACATTACGAGGTTAGATCCAGAAAAACTGAGATATGGGTTTTGAAAATAAATGGATAAAAGATAGAACCTTAATAGAAGAACCTCCGTGAGGACGAAAGAGAGGAAGATCGGAAGAAAGAGAACCAAAAGCTAACAGAGAAGAAGAGGAGGATGAAGATGAAGAAGGACCACCAAAAAGCCTGCCTCCTCGACCACCACCAGGTCTTAAGCTCAACACCGACTGATCACCTTGCTGCATACCTCTTTGACGTGAAATTCAATCTCCGGCGTCCGATCAGAAACAAGAAAACTTCAAAAAGAAAAGAGAATAAAACGCTGAATCTGAATATGAATATAAAGAGATTGGGGGAAAAAAGATTTGGAATTTAGAGAGATGAAATGAAAATAAGATATATTCCCTCTCTTCTGCGGGAGAGCAAGGGGAAGAGAGAAATGAAGTGTATGTGAGGACGGCAGACACCAAAAACAAACCCTTATTTTGGAGAGAGAGTATTTGTTTTCCTTTTTCTACAACTAGTCCTTTTACTTTTGGTAATTTCAAAATCTAATCCCTCTTCTTTCAATTCTGATTTTGTCTCCCCATTGGTCTGCCTTAAAAAAATAGAATATAATTAATAACGCTGTTAATGAACTTCCGTTATATTTCGATATTTTAAAAAAGGATTTAAAATATTTTTTAATAAAAATATATTTTTACCATTAATATTCAAATTTTAGCTATTGTTGAATGGACTTAAGATTTTATATGGTTAAATTAATTAGCAGTTGATGAAATTAAATTTATTGGAAATATGTATTCAAATTTAATAGAATTCAATTGATAATATTATCAATTATACTTTAATTTTTAAATCAAATAAATATAAATCAAATTCTTAATAATAAAAATAAAAGATCAAATCTTAAAAGTTCAAAGAGAAAAGAGGCCGAAAGCATAATTAAATCATTTCGAAAATGCACTATCAATTATACTATCAGTTTCTCTTAATTTTGGAATTATGCGGATTAGTCCCTCTCAATAAAGATCAATTCAGTCCTAAAAGTTTTGGAAGTGAGTAATTAAAGATAATTAATCATGGCTTTAGTTTTCTTTTATCAATATTATTTAATTTTTGTTGGCATAATAAAAAATTTAGTCTTTAATACAAGTAATAATGTTAGTTTGATCATAGATTTTAAAAAATACAACACAGTTTACACATTTTGTAGATATTGACGACTAAATTCATTGATTTTCTAAATTATGGTGGAAAATTAGTGTTGTGATTAATCCCTTACTTTATTGGTTTATTATATTTTGGTCATTAAATTGTTAATTTCTGTTAATTTGACGGTTTAATATATCTTGATCATTAGACCGTTAATTTTTGTTAGTTTGATGACAACTATATTTGTTACTGACATTGAATAGATTTTAAATTTACATTCATGGCAAGTACATATGTATTGTAAATATATCAGATTGTCAAAATATCAATTGTACAAAGAATTAAAGTAGTTTTTGTAATAAACCAACCTCCAGTTGGTCTAGTAGTAGGCACTAGATTCCTTAAGTAATGTCAGGGGTTCGAATCATAGCGTTTGTGAATTGAACAAACTGGGTTAGAAGGGTCGCCTTCGCCATTGTAGTACATAATCTGAATTAGTCGGTCAATAATAATCTCCAGTTGGGAGGGTCGTCCTCGCCATTGTAGTATCCGATCTGAATTAGTCGGTCAATAACAAGCGATTAATTAAAAAAAAAGTAGTTTTGTAATAATGTAAGTGAATTCTTCTACTACATAAATGTATACATATGCATATAATATTTCCTGAAACATCCTCAACTTGCATCAATATATGACAGTTGACGACAATGCTTCTAAGCTTTGCCTCTACATTGAATTTCAAATCCCTTTTTTCCTTTGAATTTTCATTTTACACGTGATAAAAAATTACAGGAAGAGAAAACAGAGCGAGTAGCTCCATCTTTTTAAGTGGAGAAAAGAAATTAACAGGGAAATGATTTACAATTACAGGGAAGAGCAGATTCACTTACATGATAATATCGGCATTAGCGGCCGGTCACGGCCACGGAAATGCTTTGGCTGCCCTGGTTGGCTGCTTACTCTTCTTCAAAGGTTGTTTTGTTTGCGTTAGATGAGCCATGAGGCTGCATTCTTCCAACTGTTCAATAACCAAAGATATTGTCAAAGATTGATATAATAGAAGTGAAAAAGTGAAATATCCGAAAAAAGAAACAAAGCTTTGCACTTGCAATATCCATTGGATAACGATGGCACGGGTTGGTCACTTTTGTACCGATCGAGTCGAAAAAGGACTAGTGCATAATTGAAGAAAGGATGGTAGCATTTACAGACAGCATTCATCGGATCAGATTGGTGCAGAATTTATTTCAGGTTAACGCGAACTCACTTGCATAGCTGCTGTTGAAGACAACAGCGCTTCGCATTGGTCGAGCATGTTTTTCTCTTGTGCACCAATTGCAGCAAGCTCAGAAACCCTATAGTTTACCCCTTCCACCTATATCAGATAAAACATTGAAATGGTCAAGCATCCGGAATTAATTTCAAATGTAAAAAGACATCAGGCAATAAAACTGCAAGCTAAAAGTATCAGAATCCAAGTCGTAAACGTGAAATTTTGAGTCATTAGAAGGTATATATGATCATCAGATATTTATAATCCATGATGAAATTGAGAGAGGCTCAACACCTGTGAAATAAACAGAAATAAACCTTTTCTACATGTACCAAAATTGAATTTTCTAGGGAAGTATACTAGTAGTAAGCATCTTAAATTTCATTATCAAATGATAGAAAACATCAAATCATTCAAGGACTAAGCAAAAGGAAGAAGAAGCGAGATTCAGAGTCACTATGACATGGTAGATAATGAATCATAAATTGTAGTGGGATGTAAAGACTAACATTTTGATATTTCTTCTAACCGCTTACGACGTGAGCATTTATGTCAAAATAAAAGCAAAATGGTGGCTTGTTAAGATAAATACCTTTGGGAGTAAAGAACAAATGGAGGATCCCATAGCCTGCATCACGTCAACAGCAGAGCAAATAGCATATTTCAATGATTCAATATCTGCCTGGTGAGTACAAAGTCCAGTATCGATGTCAAGATCTCTCTTTTCAGACATCAGTCCATAGTACTTGTCTAAACTAACTTACCTTTGCCCCACCAGTTATGGGAATACGGAGGGTGCTTGCCTCTAGATCTTCTTCTGCTCCAGCTAAGGAACTTAAATGATCTCTCTCAAGTAATGCCCAGTCATCGAGGTATGCCATCTGCATGAATCATTTAATAAACATATACTTAGATAATGGAAATTCTATTGGCTGACAAAAGATGCCTACAAATGGGTATTCAAAAGCATGGCTGAAAATTGAATATAATTTTGGGTAAACAGGCATGTCTGATTGTCTAGGCACCAGATGCAGACTAGTCATCTGGTGTTCTTTTATACCCTCCATGATTACACGTGATAGGTCCCTGATAGCTTTCTCCTGTACTTTTTATGTTTTAAGTTTATAGCTACAGTAATGGAACTTTGTGAATAATCATCGTAAATTTGGGGACGTGGAATACTTGAATCTAATGAAGTTCCTAGCACCAACCCAGACGGGAAAGTTCAAACATTATTTGAGTCAATCAAACTGGAATTATTTGTCAGGAATAAGCAACAGGTCTTTCTTCTGATACGATCAATTATGGATAGGATCCTGATGTATTAAACCCTCTAAGTCCTAAAATGCTGAAGCTTGGGGCAAAGCATCCTGCAGAATGTACCTAGTCATGGCTTTTCACATAACTGTTATATTTGACCTTCTTCATTCGGTTAGAAGGTTAGCACAACTAGAAGATTATTAATTACAATCCTGCAAGACCTCTAAATTCATTTAATGAGCATCTCATAAAATATAAAAAGCATGGAGGCCCATACCAATGCTTCCAAAATAAAGTAGCCCCCTACTGATCAAGATATTTTTCCGAAAGCCATGTTAGTGGATACATATTCTATTGATAATAAATTCAGACCTACAGTGGAGCAAGGCGTAGCTTAGTGTTATTCAACTTTCCCCTAAAAGGAAGTTCCCTAAGATGTTCATAAACTATTCCTATAATGTCAAAATATAACGGTGGTTCTAGCATCAAGAATGTAAAAGTTCCCTATAGATTAACACTATTGTAGAGAGAGGTATTACTTGATGATTCAAAACAGAGTTCAGCTTGAGCTCTAACTTCAACCGTTGGATATTGATCTTTTCCTTGATCAAAGTGTTGCAGAGATCCCAAGTATCATTCCATACATTGTATAAAGTTTCCTGATATAACAGATCATAACTTTATTTGATAATAGATTTAACATGTCATGTTGAGATGAAATTCACAATCTATGCCATATCTAAGCTCCAAGTAAGCCCATCATATGCATATGAAAGTGTCATGAAATTCCACATAGTAGGAAATGCATGACCAATCTCATATCTAAAGGTCTAGCCCATCATATGCGTACGACACTGTAATGAAGTTCTCCATAGTAGGAAAAAGATAGTTGTGGAACATGATGCAAATAAGCAAACAACCCAGTTTTTCTATTCAATAATTAAAGAACCGCATCACAGAAATAAAACTTTCCCACTCAAATCATTGAAGGTTATCTCCATGAAATTCATGGATAATATTTGCTGACACATATTTGTTCCCTAATAGAAGAAATTTACCTCTGAATTTACTTTCTGAATATCGAATACAGCTTCTGCATGGGCATTAGCAAAACGCCACTGCAGATAGCGATTGTAAAGAAGACGCAGTTGATGAGCATCCTCTATTGAGTTGACACCTTTTCTTCCCTTCTTACAATCTGTGACAAAACTGAGAACTGACATTGAGCTATGGGATTGACTCGATGAGGTGGATGTCCTCATCCGAGTAGGACTGACTACCCTTGGAGTTGGACTGACACCTCTTGAAGTTGAACTAAAACCTGAAGTTGAGCTATGGAACTGACTCGATGAGGTGGATGCTCTCATCCGAGTAGGACTGACTACCCTTGGAGTTGGACTGAAACCTCTTGAATTTGAACCGAGAACTGAAGATGAGCTATGGGATCGACTATGGGTTTTTCTTAATGAGGTGGATGTCCTCGTCCGAGTTGGACTAAGTACTCTTGGAGTTGAGCTGAGGACTGAAGTTGAGCTATGGGATTGACTTGATGAGGTGGATGTCCTCACCCGAATTGGACTAACTACTTTTGGAGTTGAACTGGGAATTGAAGTTGAGAGATGGGATTGACAAGATGAGGTGGATGATGAGGCGGATGTTGAGCTATGGGATTGACTAGATGAGGTAGATGTCCTCATTTGAGGTGGAGTAACTAACTTTGTAGTTGAGCTATGGGATTGACTTTCTGAGCTGGATGCCCTCATCCGAGTAGGACTGACTACTATTGGAGTTGAACTGAGAATTGAAGTTGAGTTATGGGATTGACTGAAAGAGGTGGATGTTGAGCTATGGGATTGATTGGATGAGGTGGATGTCCTCATCCGAGTTGGACTGACAACCCTTGGAGTTGAATTGATAACTGATGTTGAGCTATAGGATAGACTTGATGTGGTGGATGTCCCACTCGTAGTTGGACTGACTACCCTTGGAGTTGGACTGACTCCCCTTGAAGTATGACTGGCTCCTCTTGCAGTTGGAGTTGGACTGGCTCCTCTTGCAGTTGGAGTTGGACTGACTCCCCTTGAAGTATGACCGGCTCCTCTTGCAGTTGGAGTTGGACTGACTCCCCTTGAAGTACTACTGACTTCTCTTGCAGTTGGAGTTGGACTGAGTCCCCTTGAAGTATGACTGGATCCTCTTGCAGTTGGAGTTGGACTGGATTCTCTTACAGTTGGAGTTGGACTGACTCCCCTTGAAGTAAGACTGGCTCCTCTTGCAGTTTTAGTGGAAGGTCTTGGTCGATGTGGACTGATTCCCCTAGAAACAGAGGTCTTACGAGGTGACTGAGATTGTGATCCTGAAGTTGTTAATTTGATTTTGTCCACTGAACTAGCAGAAAGGATGCTGGCAGGAAAAGATGCCCGTCGAGGCTTATCATCAATTGAAGTTGCCTCAAACCCTACTCGACCAATGTCATCAATTGATATTAGCCTTCCAGCATCATTAGAAGATTTCAGCAGAGGTTTACCTGAACTATCAGACACTGGCATTCTCTTCAGTGAAGATACTAATTCTAGATTCGGTGTGGATAAATTTTTTACAATTTTACCCCCCTGGTCCACACTTTTGTTCTGTGAATTGGAAGATAATTTCCCACCAATTCTACCAGGCCATCGATGATGATCTATTAATCGACTAGGCAAACCATCAACAGGTTTTGCATTTTCAGACTGATCAGATGCATTTTTCCCTTCAAGATGACTTCCCTTTCTCTCTGGACTAGGAGAGGTCTCCGATTGTTGTATATGAGTCACATTTGAAGAAGGTCTCAAAGTGCGATCCAAGGAAACATTACTAACCGGCTTTTCTTTTTCCTTTTTGCTAACAGGAGAAAGAGTATCAGACTGAAACGGAACACTAAGATTTCTCATGGTAGAAGGCCATAAACTGTCTGGTATACGTCCAGTTGATAGCCTTCTAGAGGATATTGGCGCAGCTGTTGATGAATCATGAACTGGAGTAGAGGTAATTTGAAATGGAGGTGGTGTTGTGGGACGTTTCCTCTCAGCCGATACAGCTCTCTTTTGCAACCCTGGGGAAGGTGCAGGGGTTGTTCTACTTGGGGTTGGAGATGGACAACGCCTAGGACCAGAAGGTGTTGAAGGAGTGGGTGATTTATGCCTCGAACTAACTTCCCTAGTTCGAGAATGTCTGGTAGTGAGTGGCCCATTGTTCTTTTCAGCAGAAACAAGGGGTGGTCTTGTGGAATCCGCAGCAGCAAGCTTGTGTAATCGTTGCTCTGGTTTGCATACATCCATCCGAACTCTCTGAACAAAACCACATAGATGGGATTTTCCAAAGAAAAAACCTACACTTAAAAGCCTAACTTCTATATGAATCCCACATGTATATAGAATAACACCATCTGTTCAAAAAGAATATACTTTTCCCTGCAAAAAATCTGCCACAAATACACAGACCAAAACTTAGATGCTTACTTACATAATGGCAGAAAGGAATAATTATAAACACCATAGCGGGTTAAAAAAGGCTAAAGGAAATAAATCTTTACAGATTATCACATCTTACTGATGAATAGTTAGAGAACTGCAAGAAATTAACTGAGATGAGTATGTTCATTCATCAAGAAAAGCCCAAATTCATGCAGATCAAATCAAACAACAACAATGAGGCTAACAGCATCAGGTACAATGGGAGATTCTTTAAAATTCCTATACAGGTCTATCCAATCTGTACATCATACTGCAAATGCAAAGTACTAAGGGATCCCCCCCTGGAAATGAGAAACTATACTGTGAATTCCGTACTGGTTATTGTTCCTGGTGGTGAAGATGTAGTTAAGAAGACAGCTAGAATAAAGGTGTGTAGGATAAGTGAGAGTGGGAGAGAGAGAGAGAAGGATTTCTCAGTTGTGCTTCTCATGGGAATGCCATGGTCGGCAGGGAAGGGGAGAAAAGAAAACAATTTCACTGGCAAAAACAAATACACAGCTCCACTCTGGTTCTTCCCTTCCTTCAACACCTTCTCTTTTGCTTTCTATGAAAAGGAATTAGAAAATGATCCCAACAAAGAAAATGCAGCAAAAAATTTTAGAAAAAGAAAAATATTTTCTTTCCATTAAAAATAAAATTCAATTACATGGGAGTTTCACTTTGGATCAGATGTTTAGCATATAACAATTAAAAACTTAAAATACAATTAAATCATAATTATGTAAGTTTGTCGGTTTCTATATTTGTTTAATGCATTTAAAATAATTGCAAAGAAGAACGAGAAAAATTGAAGTTTTGCAGTGCTAATTTCGTTGAAAACATGGGGGCACGAAGGATAAAACATAATAGAAATTCTGAATAGACCTTTTTTTAATTAAACAAGTTCTGAGTTGACCATTTCCCCCCAGATTAAATAGAAGGAAACCCGAGGAACGATGTAAAGCATTTAAATTTTGATTAAAATTGAAATAATTAAGATGCGATTATTATTTTTTTCAATGAAAACTTTCAAATAATTCAGATCATAACAGTGTCTGTATCAAAGAAAGATTTATGTCGCCAAAATTGAAGGGAAAAAAATATTAAATAACAAAACTTCATGTAAATCTCTCGGCAAGAAAGTTGCAGAGACTGTTCATTGAATCCAACTGCTAAAAATATAAATAAAAAGGATTAGTTTAAACTAATCCAATCTAATGTTTTTTTTTTAAATGTCTCATTTTGCTTTTAATTTATCTTAATTCCGTGATCTACGGAGAACGATCAAAACAAAGCAGAAAGCTGAAAATTAATTTCGACATTTATGATACATCTCATAATACAGAAAAAAAGAAGAAGAAAGAACATTGATTTTTAAAAGAAGAAGAAGAAAACTCACCTTCATGGATCTCAACATTCTTCCAAATAATTCAATCACAAAAAAAAAGCTTAAACAATTTGAATTCAAGATAAAATTTGGAATGAATAGAGTGATCGCCGGAGAAGAAGGACAGATCGCCGGAGACTGGTCAGACGCAAGAGATGGACGCCGATTTGCTTTTTTATTTTCTTTTTCTAAGAGAAATGTGAGTGAAGGGAGAAGTAATTTTTATTAGAAAAAAAATGGGAGAAATTGGGAGATATAATTTCGAGGAAGGGAAGAAGAAATAAAGAGAGGAAATTTAAATGGAAAAGAAAACGGTTTTTCAGTTGAGAGGGACTAAGAATGACGTCGTTTTCGCGCCACCTCTTATATTGGGTTTCTGGAGCTTCCTTTCTTACAACTTCCAGGATGAAGACAGGTTTTATTTTTCGTTTTCTTTTTTTAATGTTCACAGTATTAATAGATCGAAATATTAAATTCGACCGTTGGTCATAAAAAAAATATTAGGTGCGTTTGATTCACGGAATGTAAGATTATCAGGGAATAAGATTATTGAGAATGTTGTATTTTGTGTTTGGTTGGTTTAACAGGACTGTAAAAGATTACCGTGTTTGGTTAAAAGAATAAAATATTATTAGAATGTATATTTGACCAAACTGTCTTTATTATATATTTGTTTTTTAACAAGTTGAAATATTTATATATTTTTTATAAAAAAAAATTAAATTCATAAAATTTATATAATTTTTTTTCAAAATTAAAAATATAAAAAGATTTAATGAAAGAGTAAAATTTTATTTTAACACCTGAACTTCATATAAAATTTTAATTATAGATTTTTTTGTAAATCTAAAATAGTTTAAGGATAAATTTGTAATTTAACCTTCGTAAAATTTTTATTATTCAATGACAGAAGAATGATATTTTTTAAAGAAAAATTCTTTTAAGGGCATTTTAGTCCAAAACGTCAATAATTCAACAATACCTAAAGAAATTGAGGTAATGACATTCTCGGTAATATACCCAAAAAATCTACTATTGGTAATCTTACATTACCGGGAATGAGATTTCCGCGCTAACCAAACGGAGAATGTGGATTCCATTCCCATTGGAATCTCACATTCCTCCATCCAAACGCCCTCTTAAGGTAAATTACAAATTTGATAACTGAATTTACTCTCTCCATGTTTTATTCACTATATTTTAAAAATTATTATTATTTTACTGAACTTAATACATTATGTTTTTTTGTTTACTTGACCGTTAAATAGTTAAAAGGCATTAAAATGAGCTGATATGTAGATGTAAAACGACTTCGTTTTGGTAAAAATTTTATTTTGTAAAAGGGCGTCGTTTTTAATACTGTGACCAAAATAAGAGAAAATAAAATTTAGTGCTAAAAAATCTAATATATTAAGTTCAGTGAGAAAATTAAAAACTTTTAAAGTCATTGATGAAATTTATAATTTACCCAAAAAAAAATTAACACATTATAAAATTATGCTTTATGCTTTGATCCACTCAAATGATAAAATTTGAATTTTATCTAAAAAATTATAATATTATAAGTCAATACAATAATAAAATTATATTTTAATTCTCATAAAATTTATAGTAATTTAATTTTAATCCTAAAATTCTTTTTCCCCCTGAATTCGGGACTTCTATAACCGCATTGCACCGATATCACACGTAGAAGATGAATGTGTCCTTAAGGGGCATCATCATGTGGCACATGAACATGAGTCCCTTTTAAGCCTGTAAATGAATCGAACGAATACGAACGAGTGTATATTCATGTTCATTCGTTTAATTTTAACAGAACAAATGAACGAACACGAACATACACGAACAAAAAAGTTCTTGTTCGTGTTCGTTAAGGAATACAACTTATTTGTGTTCGTTCATTTAAATGATAAACAAACACAAGTGAACGAACATAAACTAATGGATGTAAACGAACATAATAAACGAACGTAAACGAATACAAATGAACGAATGTAAACAAACACAATAAATGAACATAAATAAACGTAATCGAATATAAATGAAAATAGACCTTTTTTTTTCTTTCCTAACAATTTTAGGATTATATTTTATTTAATTATTTTCAGCTTTTTTATTTTTATTTAAAATTAATTGAACTTTAAAATATTTATGGATATCAGGTTAAAATTTATTAGACTTTAATATTTTAAATAGATTTAAAGAGATTGAGCTAAACATAAATGAATGCATATAAACGAACATAAACAAACATAAATGAATATAAACAAAATTATTACTGAATGTTCACGAATGTAAATGAACGGACGAACCCTCTGTTTATGTTCGTTCTGTAGACACCCGTTTTTGTCCAGGTATTTTTTTTTATTATTATTTATTATTGTTACATATTTTGTGCAGGCCTTGAAGCCCAATCAAATTACAACAATCATTCAGCAGCCCACTCAGACCCAGGATCCAGACCCAGTATTTAACCCGAACCGGCCCACAAGCATCCCAGATTAGGGTTTCAACCCTAAGCATATCATCCAGCAGCCGCCGCCGCTTCACTGCCACACTCTCCAGCCGACGAGCCATCCCGAAACCGACGCCGTTGAGCCATCAAGCCACCGAATATCTCTCTAATCTATCAAACAGTAACCAACAGTGAGAAAACATCACCAAATCAGATAAAACAGTAGCCTAATCAATCAACCCCATATCAAAATCCCAAAAATTCGGGACTCAATCTGTAAAATCAGTGAGACCCATTTCCCTATTTTTCTAGACATCATCTCATCTTACCATACAGAAAGGAAAAATCAACCATAAATCAAGGGGGAAACAACTATGGAGGGGGCATTCGGGTTTTAGGGAGGAGTTTTCCAGAGCGAAAAAACACGGGATTGGGGGTTAAATAAAAGGAAAATATTGAAAGCGAAAGGAAGAGAGAAAGGTAGTGGCTTACCTTGGTCGAACGTCGCGAGCACTAGGGGTCGCCGGAGTCGAAGAATACGAAGAGTTCCTTGTAGATCTACGACCTTTGAGCCCTTTCCAGGCGAAACCTACCTTGGATCCGTGATCAGAGCGAGGAAACACTTCGGGTCGTACCATTTCCCTCTGCTCTGTCACCGGCGTACGGCGGTGATCGCCGACCAACGGCGGCCGGCACGACGAAGCTTCCTCGGATTCTGGGCTTCGGTTGAAGCTCCAGAGTGCTTCTCTCTTTCTCTTTCTCTCTCTCTGTGAAATGAAAGGGGTGAAGAATGAAAGGAGATGAGGATTCAAACATATTAAGGGGGTATTTAAACGGGTTTCAAAACGGCGTCGTTCTGGTCTCTCTCAAACCGCATCTTTTGGACTTTTGGGGATAATTTTGTTTTTGGTCCAATTTCTTTGTAAGCAGCTGTGAATAAAAATTAATTCCTTTTATTTGAGCTATTTAATATATTTTCAGTTCATTCTAGTCCCCATTTGGTTATTGATGTATTTTTATTTTTTAATTTGGTTAGGCCTTTTTATTAACTTTCATTTTAATCCCTAGTTGTTGCCATGTTACTTTTATTGTTATTTTAATTTGACCACTAATTTATGTTTCTTTCATTTTGGCCACTAGATTTATGGGTTAATCATGATTTAAATACCTAGATCTTTACCATGTTTTTACATAATAGTCACCAGGAGGCTCATGTTCTTTGTTTATTTTGATGTTGACATTCTGTTTCAATTTGGTCATCATGCGTGCTGTTTGATTTATTTTAAAATTGGCCACCGATTTTTATTCTTTTTCATTCTAGTCACTGATTGATTCTGTTTCTTTATTTTACATTGTTGATATAGTATTCTCAATTTATGCAGTTTAGTCACTTGTTTTTAAAGCTTATTTATTTTATGTTATTTGAGTTATGGTATGCCATGTTTGCATGTTTACATTTTAACCCATGTTATAATATTCATGTACATATTATGTTTCAAATATATTGGTACATGTACTAATTTATTTTTATTTTATTTTATTACATACATATGCTATATCATATACCCATATAAATATTTATTAAATTTATTTTTTTACCCTTGTATATTCATATATATATATATATTACTAATGTTTATTCCATTTTATTCCATTTGATTTATTTTAATTTGTAAAATATCTAGTTGTCATTTTAATATTAACTCGAATGTTTTTCAAGAACACCGATTTGTATAATGAGCGTGAAAAGTATCACTTAGTTGAAGTGATGCGATCCGATGCGACATTTTAATAAAAAGTGAACTTGAAATAAATTAATTTTACTTGTGCTCATTAATTCATATTGTATTTTAAATCGAACAATGCAATGTACGTTTCAAAACATCAATTTGTTTATTTTATGCAATTGTCAATATTCATTTTATATTCGATTCGTATATTTATGAGGGTATTCTTTTATTGATAAGAAATAGTCGAGTTAGTTTTCTCGATGGAGGATTTCTAATTTCGAGATTTCCTTTTGAGTTAAGAATTTTTTGTAATTAAATAATCTGAAGCAAACTAAACAATCTAATAAATGAATCATATTTTAATTTCATATTCGATTTATAAGTTCCGCCATTTACGACAACGTGTAAGCGATCCAGTATCAGTTTTTGGGCGCTGTGGGGTGTTAATCCTTCCCCACGCATAACCGACTCCCAAACCCATTTTAATCGAATCTTTGTAAACGTAGACCGGTTTTTTTATTTTAAAAATGATTTTTCTTAAAATTGTTTTAAAAGACGTTTTTAGGTATTCGACCTACCTAACACAAAGGTCAATGACGACTCTATCCAATTTATTCCAAATCAATTCCAAATTCCCTAATTTTTCAAAATTAAAGTCATAATCGTTTTAAAAATAATATTTAATTGTTTTACGAAAAAATGGTTATGACACGTTCATTTAATTAAACGAACACAAAATATTATTCATGTTCATTCATTTAATAAATAAAAGAACATAAATGAATTTCCTGTCGAGCGGTTCAAAAACGATTCGCTGAACATTTGATTCATTTACCGGCCTAGTCGCTCTTACCGTTTGTGAATCATGACCATTGAACTTTCACATTTTGGACCACGGCATTCGGCTGAACACTATTTTCTTATTTTTCCCCCTAATAATTTCATGTATTTTCTTTTTGTCGATTATGATTAAATATTTCGAGGCATGAAATTATTAGCAGAGTTTGCACGTGGTGTGACGATCCTTTCAATATTGTCTCATTAGTTGATACGTAGCTTTCCCTTGCTTTCTCCCTTTTATTATTCTTGTTCTTATTTCATTTTTCTTTTCTTGGTTGTGGTTTCCAAGACAGTTTTATATTGATTAATTCGAATCCACTCGGATCGTAAACTTAATTTTGATGGATGAGTCTCCTAATAGATATTTGCTGCATACAAAGAACTCGGATTCGAGAACTACTTAAGTAATATCAATTTGCTTGCCACTTAAATCAACCTTGTTTGTTATTTTATTTTTCTTATATATGACATTATGTACTGATAGCATAAATTATAGGATAAATCTTTATTAAAAACTACTTAATTAACATTATTTAAATAATTAAATGGTCTAATAAAAAATAATATAAATATAAAATTACAAGGCATAAAGGAACTAGTAAATATAAAATTAAAAAAAATGATGAAATGATCAAAGAAGTTGTCCGGATTGAACCCACCGACACCGCCGATTGTAGTTTTGTTTGATACAAGGGATTTATTAAATGTATTTGGCATAGGATCAGGCCGACCTAAGTGTACTTTAATATTCTAACCAATGGAAAATAAATAAATAAAATAAGGGTTTTAATCATTTCAAAAAACAAATTAATATATTTTTGACCAAGTTAATTAAATAATAACAAATTATAGGATTCCCATTAGGGAGAAGACAGAGAAACTAGAAAGCAGAGAATGTCTTGGGTGAGTTTAGCAGCTACAGACCTGTATTTGCTCTTCCATGGTCAATGTGTTGGGTTAAAATGGAGCAGTGAAGACAAGAAGTGCAACAGATCTTTTGTTAGTACTTCACCACTCCGGCACTCTGGGCCTTTCCCAGAACCGAATCTACGTTGCCGTGAAACAAATCAAATCGTTTTGCCACGGAGAAACCGGTATACATGCCATCGACTGCTGCACTTACAATCCCACCAGCATAACCTGCTCCTTCGCCAGCCGGGTAGAGTCCTCTTAGTGACAAGCTCTCGTAAGTGTCAACGTCGCGCAGGATCTGAATAGGAGAGCTAGTTCTAGTCTGAAAGAAAGAACGACGAAGTAAACTTGGTTTATGATCAGCAATCCAACAACCAATATAGGAGATACATTGATTGTTTAAGGACCTATAGGTTTCAAGTAAACTTGGTTACCTCAACTCCATGAAGAAGAGCCTCCTTTGAAATGAATCCAGGCAGCTGAAAGTTCCATGGGTTGAAGAAGAAGAAAATCCATTTAAGTACAGTTTGGATATTACTAAAAAGAACGGAAAATATAAGGTGAGTGTCAAATGACCTCTTTATCGAACATTGAAATAGAATAGCGTAAAGCATCCGTCATATAACTCGGGAACAATTCATGGAGGCCGGCAGCCTTCACTCCTAGGCGGTAGCTCGAAGGTGGCATAGATGTTACTGCTAAAACAAGGCATGTCTTAGCTAGAATAAAAGTAAAAGCAAAACCAACAAGGAAAAATCTTACCTGAGATTTTATTTTCCATAAAATCAGTTACGGTCTGCACAGGCACTGTAAAATTCCCCCCTCCCATTATAGCTGCTCTTCTCTCGAATTCCCTCTGAATAATGGAAATAATAAAGTGGATTTAAAGAATTTCAATAAAAACCTCAATATTTGTATCAAATATTGTTACACAACAGTCACTATGGTAAGTCCTACCGTACTTTGATTCCTTTCAAGTAACATAGGTAAAATAGAAAGGCTAACCTGAAATTCAATCCCGGCCAGAGGTCCATGGAAATTCAATGCATCAAAATCTTTCATCGAAACGGTCACAACAAGGGCAGCATTTGCCCACTTAGATGCACGGTGAGAAAATGACATCCCATTGATGCAGATCTCTGATGGACTTGTACTAGTGAGAACAACCTGCAACTCCAAACGTAAGTAATTTCACCGGTGGAACGGATACTACAGAGATGTTTCTAATATTTATGATGGCATCCTAAATCTTCTGCCTATATGCGAAACCTATCTAATTAGATTATTCCCGTTAACGCATTTTCGAACTGCATCTTAACACATGTTTAACTAGTGGCGTGTAGGAAAAAATGTTAGATTTTCCCACCCACACACACCCAGGTGTATGTGTACGTGTATGTGTACGTGTACGTGTACGTGTACGTGTACGTGTACGTGTACGTGTACGTGTACGTGTACGTGTACGTGTACGTGTACGTGTACGTGTACGTGTACGTGTACGTGTACGTGTACGTGTACGTGTACGTGTACGTGTACGTGTACGTGTACGTGTACGTGTACGTGTACGTGTACGTGTACGTGTACGTGTACGTGTACGTGTACGTGTACGTGTACGTGTACGTGTACGTGTACGTGTACGTGCATGAAGCTAACAGAATGACATCGATTATGTTCTTTTTAGATAGTGGTATTCATTAGTGAAGGCGGAATAATTATACAGGCTAATGGTTTTCAGGTGAGATAATAAACAACAATGTCATCACTTATAGAGCATTAAAAATAATAAAATATACATTGCAGATTGGATAAACAAAATGAAGAACATACCTGCCCACCAGGGCACATACAGAAAGAATAACAACTACGACTTATAGATTCCGACTTGAGTGGTGAATTCTCATCCTTGTCATTTACATAATGTACAACCTTATAATCTGCCACAGGTACCTTCCCACGTCCTCTGCAAATTTCATTTGCCAATGCAGAATACTGTGCACATGAATTGTTAGGATTTTAGAAATATATGAAGTTTACAAGCAAAAGTCTTCACATTGATACATGATTTTGTTTAATGTTTAATCATACGTGCATTCATTTTTTTATAAACTTCATTAATAAACTATGAAATGGTTTGCTGACAATGAAAAACTCTTAAATTTTATTCTTTTCTTTTCCAATCCACGACAAAAACCGTATATTAAAGAAAAACTTCCACAACAAATCATTTCAAGATTACAAAAATAGAGGCAAAAATAAAAACATGACAATGTGATGCAAAATTGAAGCAGTAATATTGAAGAAAAAAAAACTTTAAATTTGAGCCTCAGACTTTTACAATAGTAAAAACATTTTAAGCATATGTTGAAGTTTATTTTAGTACTTCAGTTAAAGCTATAGGAATTGATAGTTCAACAATCTGTGCTTTTAATGACTAATTCACATAGGACAACTGGAACAAAAATATGTAAATAACCTGTATGTTGTTGATTAGTTCCTGAGGATGCTCTACCCGCAAACCAACCTGTTCCAATATAGCAAGTTACTGAGACAATCAATAATAATAAGCACTCAAACTCAGACTTTTCAAAATGATATTGCTACGACCACTAAAGCAAATCCCAGAACTTATTCGAGTAGAATCCAGCTCTCGGTACCACTGTGGAATAAGAACGTAGATTATCCAGTTTCCACTACACATCAGTGCCAATAGCATATTAACCGTCAAAACTCAGTAGAAAATAAAAAGGAAAAAAAGCAATTGAGCGTTGGAAAGAGAAATAAACAGCCAATAACTCTTCCAAAGCTGTTAAAGAACTACGATTTAGACATGCATCATGTATCTCGATGTCTGTGTTTACATAGGTGAGAATGTCTTCAAGCAAATGAGGATTGGAAAGAAAGAAATGAACAGCCAACAACTCTTCCAAAAACCGTTAACAGAACAGTGTTTTAGACATGCATAATGTGGCTCAATGTCTGTGTTTAATCCAACAACTCTTCCAAAACCGTTAACAGCACAGTGTTTTAGACATGCAAAATGTGGTCAATGTCTGTGTTTAATTATCATTAGATGATTTTTTAAGTTTCTACTTGAACACGCTGCAATTATGTAGGACATTATTTGGAGAACTGAAAGAAGTAAAAGGAAAAAAAAGTTATATATTATAACTTGGTATATAAGTAAAAGATGATAAATGGTAGTGGCTAAGAGATTGGTCCATCCAAATGCCCTACTTTGAGACAAAACAAGTTACCATTGGGAATCAAACTTCCCAGATCTTGATATATTTTGACCAATTAACAGCTTGATTACAATTGATAGCTTGATTATGGGCAGATGGCTAATTAAAAGCTTGATCACAGGCAGCTTCCTAGACATTCAGTTACTAATTTACAGGGATAAAATACATTACAGCTTCCCTAAATTAATTGATGATTTGAATTCACAAGGGAGCATCATTGTTAGTCAGCAAAATTCTCTGAAATCCACAATATAACATACTCATCTTTTTAGCCACTGCAAGTTTAACATGGTTTCACTATGAAATGATGCTCACAGCTGTAGATTTGATGCTTAAGGATTATACTAGCTGAAACTGATGTTTGTTGATGCTAGGGAGCAGTAGTTACAATAAGTGGAAATGCTGGGAAATGAACTTTCAGGCATTGATAGGCTAACAAAGCAAAGTTGAAAAATTAATGAAGAACTTACAGCAAAATCTTTTGGAACCAAATCCACATTATGAGAAAGAAGCATTTGATATATATCTCGTGCAGAATGTCCAACAGCCAGAATAACTGCATCAAAACCCAACTTCTTGCAATCTGACTGCAATTTAGTTGTTGAATCAGAGACTTCCACACCCACAACATGCCCATCCTGTATGAGCAGATCATCTACCCTCATTCCAAAATTGATTTCCACCTAAGATATATAAGAAAAAGAGCAAAATTAGAGTCAAATATGAAATAAAGAAAATGGACTTTATCGGATATATGATATAATTTGGAAGAAGCTATTATGAAACTCACACCAAGTGATTGAAGATGTTGGCGGAAGTTACGGAGTAAAGGAACTAGCCTATCAGTTCCCAAGTGAGGCTTTCCATCTACTAATATACTTTTTGGAGCACCAAACTGAACCAACGTGTTCATGATCTGCAGCAAAAATATTTCAGTTAATCTATTCAGTGATTAATGCATGATTAAAATAGAACCTACAATTACAATCACAGTGCTGCACATAGAAGACAAAGGTTAAATGAAGATGGTTCCTTTTAGTTTTTTTCCCTTATTCAATTGTCCTTTTGGTAGTTTGGTTAATATGCCTACAAACAAATTTACTTCCATCTTTGGAATAAAGACTCCAATTCAATAATGCCTGACAGAGGAATTGACTCTTCTTTTAGCTTAACAACCAGTCCTTGATTATATCAAGCTTATGCAGTTCAAAACTTGATTATAATTGTGCCCAAGTGCAATTGATTGCATGCAGGAAAGTATAAGGCACTGTCAAACTGTATCTTCACCACAGCACTAGCAGGTGGGTTTTGTTAAAAAAGAATATCAATTAACAAATACACACAAGCATGCTCTTGAAAACCAAATATCATCCCAGGAGCAGGGGAAAGCAACTGTACTAGAACAATAAAATGAGAGGCATTACTGGTGCAGACAGATTTTTCTGCCACACTCAGTACTAAACAAGATAGAGCAGCTTTGTTCACGGTTCTTCTGGAAAGGAGCTGACAAATCTGCATCGGGTGCTAGAGTGAGCTGGCAGAATGTATGTCTTCTGAAATCTGAGGGTGGGCTTGGTATTAAAGACTTGAAGTCATGGAACAAAGCTTGTATGATCCACCTAATTAAAAACATTCTAGCAGGTGAAGGCTCTCTATGGGTAGCTTGGATTAAATATTATGTCCTAAAAGACAATGATTTCTGGAGTGTTGCCATTCGACCCTCTTATAGCTGGAGCCTAAGGCGTATCTTTAAACTCATATCTGTGGCCTATCCCATTCTCAATTCTGGAGCAGTGAAAATAAAAGATATTTGGGATGCTCTACGTGATCGACGACCCCATGTTCCATGGCAGAACATTATCTGGTTTCCCCTTCATATCCCCAAATATAGTTTGATTTCTTGGATGGCATTACTTGATAAACTTCCTACAAGAGATAGACTCCATCGAATGGGACTTATCACGGACTGCAAATGCATATTCTGCGATGATCCATGCGAAACCAGGGAACATTTGTTCATCCAATGCCCGGTGGCTGCTCAACCTTGGAATTCTGTTTGCTCCCTCTCTGGTTTTCATTTTACAATCTGCTCTTGGGATGTTCTTATTGCTTGGGCTTGCTCAAACTGGAAGGGAAAATCTCTTCTAACTTCCATCATGAAGCTCGCATTTACTGCTCTTATATATACCATTTGGGATGAACGGAATAAACGTCTGTTTCAAGCAAGAACCAGAAATCCTAAAGATCTTTTTCAAGCAATAAAGGAAGTAGTTGGTAACTTGGTATTCAATTGAGAGATAGAAATATAAATAGGAATGACAGTGTTAATAATTCTCTAGTTGAGCATTGGGACTTGTATTGATTTTGATTCTTTTTGTTAGCAGTTTGTTCTTGTAACTAGTTGATTGTAACAGAACCTGTTCTTGGGTAATAAAAAATGAAATTATCCAAAAAAAAAAAAGAGGCATTTAATAATACTAATCTGGAAAGAAAACAAAAAATGGAGAGAGGAAAGTTAAAATGAGAAGGAATAGGTCTGACCGTCAAAACACAGTCACTGTTTCTTCCAATTCTAGTTATCAGTTTTCCATCACTCCAGGTACCTGCACCACCCTGTCATACATAAGTCCTTAATATGACTTGAAGTGAAACATAAAGAAAAACATTAAATCTCAAAGCCAACAGAGAACAAACTCAAGTTTGTTTCCACAAAAACAGATATAAAACTCAGCATGATCATCTCTCAGCTCAAAGCTCTCGCATGTACATGTGTTCCTTGGAAAAAAGTGGTGGCTCAAGATACATGCTCTTCTATAATCCATACACACATGTGCCACGGTAAAATATTTGCATTCCCAACTAAACAAATCTATCTTTTCCACTTGCTTCTTACATTCTTTATGAACCATGTAATTTTATAGATTCATATGCCGAATCTCGATAAAATACATGCAAAGACAAAAAATGCATATATGAGCATGACCATGAGTCAGAAATGAGAACACATTTTGACTAAAAATTAGTCCTTTTGTAGGCAAAAAAGCATGTAAAAGAACTTCACTCAAGTTGTAAAGCCTACAATAGCCATCGAAGTTATTAGATCTATTTATTTTGCATCTAGGATAAACATTTCTTCCAAATGTGTAACCATGTAATTAAAGCATATCAAAAACAAAACCAGGGGACAACTAGAGTAAATAAAAGAGTGACAGAGATTAAAAGCTTGAGCATCAAAATATGGTTTGTACCTGTTAACAACATACTATGAACATGATCCAGATCACACCGTTTCATTGTTACTTCAATTTGTAATCTGGATGAACAGGCACTAAATCTAACTAAACTATATATGCATATATATCAAAAGAAGCTATGTATATATTAATAAGATTTGTCATTCAAGTCACATAATATTCACTTATAAATAACGATCTCCTGTATCAGTGAACCTAAATTAAGAGCCTACCTTTATCAAAGTAGCATAATTCAAGGAATGAGAGAGAATAATATCAGCAATTAATATTAAAAAAACAATAGCAGAAGTACCAAGTGAAACGAGATATAACCTCCCCAAAGCAAAAATTGCTATCTGATTCTAAAATCCGGCGAACCACTAAAGCGCCAATGTCACGGCCCCTCTGATAAGATAGCAGTTTAACTATCTATGAAAACAAGAAAGAAACTGAAAGATCTTGTAATCTTTTTATTATCAAGAAGCTGATCTCTCTTGAATTAGAGAGCAGTATTTATACAGTCAATAAGGAAAGTATATGCTGCTATAAAGAACGGTTAACAGCTCAACAAACTAACTGCTACAATCTAACAAACTATTCTAGAACAACATTATTCTAGAACTCACAACATATCCACAATCACAAGCACATGTTCACTAACATTCACCCTGCTTTATTAACTTCTTCAGCACTTCTTGACTTCAATATTCCCCCTGCCATTCCACTTTGTAAACCTGCAGGAAGCCCTCTTAGCTGTGTTACCAAGAGTTTTTGCCTATGCTTGAGAAATGAGGCAGAAGACAGTGGCTTTGTCAACACATCTGCCACCTGCTCATAGGCTGGAACCTCATTAACCTGTAAACGACCATCAGCAACCATTTCGCGTACAAAAAATAAGTCAAGCTCAACATGCTTGAACTTAGAATGCTGAACGGGATTGGAACAGACTGCAACAGTGCTGGAATTATCACACCACAAGGTAGCTTTACCATGTGGAACCACGCACAACTCCTGAAGCAATGACTCAATCCAAACAATCTCAGCAGCTGCAGCAGCAACACTCCTATATTCAGCTTCAGCCGTGGAACGAGAAACAACTTGTTGCTTGCGTGAGCTCCAGGAAATAAGATTCCCACCAAAGAAAATGCAGTAGCCAGTCGTGGAACGTCTATCATCAGGATCGGACCCCCAGTCTGCATCTGCAAAACCAGTCAGAGACATGCGAGAAGATGCTGTGAATCGAAGACCATAGTCAGTCGTCCCTTGAATATAACGTAAAATCCTCTTAACAGCCTGAAAATGGCTATTACGAGGTGACTGCATGAACTGGCAGACCTTGTTTACAGCAAACGCAATGTCTGGCCTAGTAACCACAATATACTGAAGAGCACCAACAATGCTCCTGTATTGAGCCATATCTTCAACAGGTTCCCCAGCATCAGCTGACAACTTACAATTAGAAACCATCGGAGTAGGGAGACTCTTTGCCTCATTAAAACCGTGCTTATGCAACAACTCATGAATATATTTTTGTTGAGTCAGGACAACACCATCAGCATCATGACACACCTCTATACCAAGAAAGAAATTAAGAGAACCAAGGTCCTTCAACGCAAAACGAGTGTTCAGTTTTTCAATAACACACTGAACCTCACTGGCATCACTCCCTGTCAAGATAATATCATCTACATATACAAGCATGTAGACAACACTATTTTCTGACTTTCTAACAAACAAAGAAGAATCAGATTTAGATAAACCGAACCTTTCAGAGACCAGATACTCTCGAAGGCTCTCAAACCAGGCCCGAGGAGCTTGCTTCAAGCCATAGATTGCTTTATGAAGCTTGCAAACTAAACTACCACCAGCTTGCACAAATCCAGGAGGTTGAGTCATGTAAACCTCTTCCATCAATGCCCCGTTTAAAAATGCATTATTAATATCCACTTGACGCAGCAACCAACCTCTTGTCAAAGCAAGAGTAAGAATCACTCGGACCGTTACAGGTTTCACAACCGGACTAAACACCTCATGATAATCAATTCCTGGTTGTTGGAGAAACCCCTTCGCAACAAGACGAGCCTTGTATCGAGACACCGAGCCATCAGCATTACGTTTCACCTTAAAGATCCATTTGCAGTTGACGGGTACACGATCTTTAGGAAGAGAGACCAGAGACCACGTCTTATTTGCAATCAAGGCATCAAATTCCTCTTGTGCAGCTTTCTTCCAATGAGGAATCTTCATAGCCTCTCTAATTGATCGAGGTTCTTCATCAAGACATTCAACATGCAGAACACGAGGTTTCCAAATACCATCTTTGGCCCTGGTAACCATAGGATGTATATTTTGAACCAGAACAGGCTCATGTGCACTGTCACCCGTTGAAGAAGTCCCACGCACATTGTCACGGTCGGCCATTGCTCCAAAAGACGTGACCCCATGCGCAACATCATGGTCGAGTGATGCATTATCAAACAAAACGGTCCCATGGCTATCATCATCATGCGCAAAAGATATGTCCCCAATAATATTATTTCTTGGATTATGAGTACCTGTCCCAACAATATTATAATTGGGTGTGGCTCCATGCGTATTATCACAAGTAGCACGCACATGCACATTATCTAAACCTTGACCCTCGACACTAGGCATCTCGGCAAAAGGTGTGGTCCCAAGCGTTGAAAACAAAGGCGCAGCACGTGGGCTGATTGTATGGAAAGGAGCAAATGTTGAATTCAATGGGCCATGCGTTGAATTCAAAGGAGGACCACGCATCGAAGTTAATGGAGAAGCACATGGACTGCTTTCACTTAGTGGAGTAGGCGTGACATGTGTTGGTGGAGCCGTTGGAGCATGCGCATTGTCACGACTTAGCAGCGTGGTCCCATGCGCGTTTTCAAAAGCTATAGCCCCATGCGCACCTGACCCAACTAAAATGCCTTCATTCGCATTACCAAAATCACGTTCACCCAACACTTGGTTCTCGACCATTTCAAAAGGTGTGGCCCCATACACATTATGCCTTTGACTATTTGATGAGTCATGTGTTGATGGAGAAGCACATGGTGGAACACACGTTGATGGAGCAGGCACTGGTGGAACGCACGTTGATGGGACTTGCAGTGTCTGTACAGGAGAGACAAGAGGAATAATACCCGTGGAGACACCATTATCTGGAGCAACACCTGAAACATTACAAACTTCATAAGGAAATACACTTTCATCAAAAACAACATGCCTCGAAATTATTACTCTGCCAGAGTCATCCAAACATTTATATCCCTTATGAGCAGTGCTATATCCCAGAAACACGCACTTCTTTGATCTGAAATCCAGCTTATGTCGATTAAACAAACGCAAGCAAGGATAGCAAGCACAGCCAAACACCCTGAGAAAAGAGTAATCTGGCAAGACATGATGCAGAGCTTCAAATGGAGACTTCCCATGTAAAACAGGTGTGGGCAATCTATTGATAAGATAAACGGCAGAAGCAAAAGCATAGCTCCAAAATTTCTGAGGTAAAGAAGCCTGAGCTAACATTGTCAATCCTGTTTCTACAATGTGTCTATGCTTCCTCTCAGCCTTACCATTCTGCTCCGAGGTGCCAGGGCACGAGAGACGATGTTGCACCCCATTGGCAGAGAACCACTTTCGAAGTGGTTGATATTCCCCACCACCATCAGTTTGGAGAGCTTTAATTTTGTATCCAAACTGCACTTCAACCAATTTCGCAAAGTCAAGAAAGCACTGAGTCACCTCAGATTTACGCTTCAAGAGATACATCCAGGTATAACGACTACAAACATCAACAAAAGAAACATAATAAAGAAATCCCTCAGTGGAGCACACAGGAGCTGGTCCCCAGACATCAGAGACAACAAGTTGAAAAGGCTCATTATATTGAGTGAAAGATTTACAAAAGGGCAACTTATGAGACTTCCCTTGCATACAAGCAGAACACACATTCACTGCTTCAGTTTTATTGAAAACAAGACTACACGACTTCAAAACATGCTGAACAATATCAAGAGATGGATGGCCAAGACGCTGATGCCACAACTTCAAGGACAGGTGATTTCGAGACATTATTCACCAAACAAGAAGACCTCTGATCCTCACAAGGCAGCAGCTGATACAGCCCGTCACCCGTGAGCCTCCCGCGAAGTAGAGTTGCTTGAGTCCGAGCATCCTTCACAAGACATTCAGAGGGATGAAACTCCATGAACACACCATTATCACGAGTGAACTGAGAAACAGATAGCAACTTTTTCTTTATGTTAGGCACATGCAACATATTCTGCAAAATCAAAGGTTTCTTACTAGAACTCAAAAAACCTTGGCCTACATGCATGATTGAAATTCCCTCACCATTACCCATGAGCAAGGAACTACCTCCAGTATAGGTGGTACCTGATTGAAAAACAGACAAATCATTCGTTACATGGTGAGTAGCTCCGGTGTCAGGGTACCACAAAGAATCCACAGGCACTGAGGAGCTAGAGCCCGAGGGAGTTGGGACAGTAGCAATATAGGCTGCTGAACCAGGTGTCAAAGAGGAATGCGATGCACCATGAGAGAAGTGAGAAGCATCTGGAGGAAAACCAGGAGAAGTACCAGGAAAGGGAAAGTGCACAGGAGCATACGGCGAAGGAAAATAAAACGGTGTGGGAACAAAGGATGAAGGTGGAGGCATGGAGGTTACGGTGTGAGCATAAGTTTGTCCACCAGATTGCTGATGTTTAGCAGAATTCCCAGCACCAGTGGGCTTTGAGCCATTCTCTTGCATCGACTCAGACCCGGACACACCAGTGTAGTCTCTATCAAACCGATGATAACACTTCTGGACCACATGTCCAAACCGGCCACACAACTGGCATTGAGGACGATTATTATTACGCCCTCGACCTCGACCACGATATCCATTCGACTGTCCACGAGACGAATGATCCTGTGATGAACCAGTATTAACATCCTGAGTTCCACAAGAGTCAGTTTCAACAGCAGCACCTTCCCGAGATTGAAGAACAAGATTTACAGAAAAGTTTTCACTCAAGAACATCTTCTGTCGAGCCTCACAATCTAACAACATCTCAGTAAGAATATCAAGAGAAAAATTTTCTCGTGATGCAATTGCAATAATAGACTCAAATTCCATTGTAAGTCCAGCTAACACAACATTAACATGTTCTTGCTCAGTAACCACACTACCTGAAGCATTCAACAAATCACATATGGATTTGACTTTGGCAAGATACTCCCTAATCGTCAAACCAGTCTTTCGCTGGGAATGAAGATTATGTCGAAGAGAAGAAATCTTGGCACTGGAACGAGCACCAAACAGACGAGATATAGTATTCCAGATTGACATCGCAGTTGTAAGTCCAGTCAAGTGAGGCAGAACCTCTGTACTCACAGTAGTTAAAAGCCAGGAAGCAAGCAGTTTATCTTGCTGACGATGAGCTGCAAACACTGGATTCTCTTCAAGTTGTCCAGACGCATTAGTGATGAACTCATCTGGTGCAACATATCCGACTGAGATGAACCTCAGCAACCCATAGCCATCAATTATCAACGCCACTTGATGCTTCCAAAGAAGGTATGTGGATTCAGTGAGTTTAACAGTATCATGCTTTGGTATGTGTTGAATGCCAAACATACGTTGAGATGTTCCCGGACTCAGGGAAGAAGCATTCGGAGACACATCCTCGGGATCAACCGTCAAATCAACCATGATGCCAAGAATCACACGAGACGTGAAAGCTTAATCTCGTGCAGCTACTGAAAAGGAGAAGACACAGCGGAAGAAACACACCCAGGTATTGGCGAAAGATACCATGATAAGATAGCAGTTTAACTATCTATGAAAACAAGAAAGAAACTGAAAGATCTTGTAATCTTTTTATTATCAAGAAGCTGATCTCTCTTGAATTAGAGAGCAGTATTTATACAGTCAATAAGGAAAGTATATGCTGCTATAAAGAACGGTTAACAGCTCAACAAACTAACTGCTACAATCTAACAAACTATTCTAGAACAACATTATTCTAGAACTCACAACATATCCACAATCACAAGCACATGTTCACTAACACCCTCCTCTCAACAGCTTGACCTCTTTCAAACAAAGTAACATCTGCACCAAATTCCGCAAGAACCAGAGAAGCAAACAAGCCCGATGAACCACTACCCACGACAGCAATTCTGGGTTTTCTAGCCGTGGGACATTTGCGCGATTCACCAGAGTCAATGTTATGCCCCTGTTCTCCCGGAAATGTACCATTGCTATCTTTAATATGACGTACTAGACCGGTCAAATCACGACTAACTTTTTCACTAGGCATATGTTCTATAAGCCCAACTTTCGGCTCCAGCCGATTAATGAAGTCCCACGTGCGAGGTTCTAGGTTCAGCAGCTTACAAACATCCATATCCACAGTATAAACAAACTTGGCCACCTTCAGTATCTGAAAGACCAATAAAATAGGCATACAACTTAATGTTTTAAACTCGCTTATTGTTAATGTTCCCCCTCTTCCAACAATCACTTAAAGCTAAATTGCAATAAAAACGGGGGGAGGGGGGGGGGGAAATACAACATTTAAAGAAATGAATAAAGGTTCAAACAATTACTTAAACTCGATTAATTTACCTTTCTTGCATCAAAAGACTTCCGAACCACTGAGAAAGCTTCTTCCGGCAACATGGAAGCAACCTGAAATAAACCAAAATTCGAACATAAAATATAGGGAAAAAAGAAATAAAAATTATAAGAAAATAGGTTAAAGAGAAGAGAAATTACCGGAAACTTTATGACTTTAGCGATTTCTTGGAGCAAGCCAATATGGATTTGGAGAAAGTCTTTTCCGGGGTCGTTTTGGACAGGAACAGAAAGCTTTGAGAGCCTCCAGATTCCATCGAACTTATTGGTGTCGGAGGAAAGAGCTTCCTTTTTCCTCAATTTCAGTTTCTTCTTCTCTGAAGGGTATCTCTGCTTGCCGGTTCTCTTGGCGGAGAGGATTCGGAGCGTTTGGAAACGAGGACGGAGGGGTCGTGGAGTGGAATAAGGGATAAGAGAGTTGGAGTAAGGGTGGTTGAGAGGGAAGAGAAGCTTGGAAGGACATTGAAGCTGCAGAGACGACATGGAGAGAGTGACCATTCCAAGAGCCACCTTCAGCTTGGGGATAAGAAACATTTATTAAATTATGAATTTTGGATTAATAAAAGAATTATGCGTTTTAGAAAATTTAATTACCAATAATTATTAAAACTCATAGATGATAGAAAAATTGTATATAAATTTAATTAAATGTGGATTTATTTTTTAAAAAATGTGATTTTAAATTATTAGTTTAAAATTTATTAACAATACACGTATTTTATAAATATAATTATAATAAGATCACTTGACGATTTTATTTTCAATTCATTTTGTAACACTTACGACCCGTATATATATACTAATATGAGTTATAGATGTCACATTAATTATTTAAAACATTTTCCAACTCAAAAATGATAAAAAAATTGTTTCTTCTAAATTACCAAATCGTAATCAATATTATAAAATATTAAATCACATAAAATCAACACATAATATTTAAAATATATTTTAATATAAAATGTCTCTTTATAATAATAATATTAGATAATACAAACCATGGTAAAGTAGTTTTAGTTTAATCATTACGAATCAGTTCTAAAATAGTTTAACGGAGTAACTGAGACATTTATAAGGTACATGCTATTAATAAAGTCAAAATCACATCAAATATGTCTTACTGATGCTGTAAATATACTCTCGATGCTTGAAGTTGCTTAGTACTCTTTACTCTTATGCTTACTCTTTACCTACGCGTGTAAATTATCACACGCTAAGTATATATTACCATAATCACATGCATGTAATTAAATGTTATTTTTAAATGCAATAAGATCATTGTATCTGCATGTCTAATATATTACCATAATCAACGTGATAATAATATAAATATAATCATTTTACTAATAAATCATAGCCCAAACGTGAACTTATAAAGATCTTGAGTATTCGAGTCATATATACACCGAAGTGTTTATACATAAGGTCGTGTCCGCTACTGTACCAAATGTCCTTGCACACTATAATACTGAATTAAACTTGCATAAATTGTCCTTGCAAACTATAGTACTATACTAAGTGTCATTGCACACTATAGTGCTAAATTAAATTTGTAGCTCCTAGACTCTATGGCATGCCAATTACAACTTATCCTTTAATGACTTACTTGGACACACAGTTTATTTTATTTCATCAATGGCAATGTATATTCATATAATTTGGCATTGAACAATTTATACTCGAATTAAATCATGTAAATTAGTGATCAATGCATCATATTCTTAACATTGACATATTATGGACATGTCAATAATATGATAAATGACATAAATATCGTGTCAACATAAATAAGGTAGACTTATCGCAAGTCTTCCTAATGATGTATAAAATATCCATGTATAATGTCATGCATACATTGCACTCACCTTGACACTTTATATATTTCAAAATATTAGCCTCATTAAATTGCAAACTTGATCCTTTATATATTAGATTCGCTTCGAGCACGAAGTCAATCACGATTTGGTCAAAGTCACAATTACATATCGAAACTTACGTTAGTATCATACAAACATAATTAAATTTCAATAACAACAATCCATAAGGTATATCTGAAGCTTATTCGCTATCAAAATACTCCAACATTTATGAATTCTTTTAATATTGGCACCAACTTTTTCCATTATATAAAATTGTCCTTCACCATTTTACCCACTTAAATTTCAATACTAAAATTTCAGCATTGAAATAATTACCAACCAAGTATATTTACAATTGCATAAACATCTTAAAAACCCCAAACTATTCGAATATTGCATACAAATCACCGAATTTGTTAAACTTCCAAATTGATCCAATTTCACATTCTAGCATAAATTTCAACACTCAAACAATAGTTCCAGTATAGTACAACAATTATTGAATAATTACACAATTAGCTATAACTTTTCCATAATTATTGATTAGGTCCCTCTACTTTTATGAAATTACAAAATTATCCCCAAATTTTTATAAGGCTTATAGAATACTTCTTACATCATTTCCATCCCCTACATAATTTTTCCAAAATTTTCTCACCCTCCTTAGCCTAGGTCGAATGCTTTGAAAATTCAAGACTATAGTTTCATGATTTTACTCGATTTTGATCCGATTCGAGCATGAAATCAACCTCTATTCAACCTTATAAAATCTCTAAAATCAAAGCCTTAATCTAATTTCATCATGATATAAACTTCCCCTAATTTTAGGGTTTGGCTAAAATTAACAAATGCATTTCTAGGAGGTTTGATCATGATTTAATCATCAAACAAGCTTGGAAATGATTCTACAACCTTAAAAACCTCAAAATTCAGCATCAATTCCACAAACCCTAACGTGAAACATAAATCTAAAATTTGGGATCTTTGAAATCAAGTAAGATTAGCATGCATAAGTGGTACCAAATGATAGCGTTTTTCGCATAGAACAATTTTATATTTCACTACTCGATCTAAAATCCAGAGAAAATTACTCAAAACTTGAAAAGAAAATTTCTTTTACCTAGGGTTGAAACTCACGACCAAGGGAGAGAAAAGATGAACAAGCTTCATGAAATTTTGAATAATTTCATGTTAATTTACCTTTATTTAAGCTTAAATGAATTTAAAATTCATTTAATTGGGAAAAATCATTTCACCATTAATGAAATTTTACAATTACCGTCATACCAAGCCACATAACCTTATCATCTTTCCAGAGTCAAAGATGGATAAAATATTTCACCCTTTACCATTTTATCCAAGTAACTTCCCAAAATTTTCAATCTTGCCACCTTAATCCAATGGTCCAAATTGAACATGGAAATAAATCCTCAAATCCAATGGTTTATATTATTTTCCATCATTTTAAAATTTGTAAAAAAAAATTTAAGCTTAATTTATCATCCTTTAAATTTTTTCAAAATTTCTATTCGATCCGATTTACTAAATTTTTACGGATTTTAACATTTTCTAGTTTTTAACATAAATTCCGAATCAAGAATCTGTTTTACATAAAACCCCACTCTCAAGAGTAAACTATCCGTTTATGGAATAAAAATTATTTTTGAGAAAATTACCACTTTGGTCTCTAAAATTTTCCCAATTTTATACTTTTGCTACTAAACTTTCTAAATATACGTTTTGGTCACTAACAAAAATTTGGGGTATCACACATTTCTAACAACATACAAAACATTAAAATTCATCACACCTTTTTCAAAATGTAATTAAAACAAAAATAAAAAAATTCAATATTGTAATTAATAAAATTAAAAAATTAATTATATAAATGATACAATACCTAAAATTTGATGATATCTAATATAATTTACACTTAATTTTAAATAAGGGTACAATACATAAATGGTCCATTGACTATATGATATTATTTTATTAAGTCTCTCGACTATTTAAAGTTATAAAATATTCACCTGACTATTCATTATGTTCCAAAATCATCCCTTTCCGTTAAAATTTGACAACATTCTAAGTTGAACGTTAACTTGATGAATGTGATATGATAAAATATGATCATAAAACCTCAAACAACTATCATATTTCAATCATCATGATAACACCTAACTCAGACAACCTCTAATTTTTTAACGAAAAAGATGGGGATTGGAACTTATTGAATAATTGGATGACCATTTTGTAACTTTTAATAGTTGAGAGACACGACAAAACAACATTCTATAATTAAGAGATCATTTTATAATTTTTAATAGTTGAAAGACTTAATAAAATAATACCTTATAGTTGAGGGACCGTTTGTATACTTTACCCTTTTAATAAATGGTTTCTTTCGGTAAATTAGTGTCCAACCCGACGGCCTAAGAAGGAAAGTGAGAGTGAAAGCTCCTACTCGTTACAATTTCTCTTGTTCTCGGTCAGCGTATTAACTTTCAGATAAACTACTACTAAACTACCCAATATTCAAACGCCAATAATACGCGCCTTTCATCCACGCGCTTACCACCCCACTACCCTCATTTACCTCCGCTTACTTCCCCTTCCACGTCTCTACTGCGAAGACAAACAAATCATTATTTGAATATTACTGAATCAAAACTCTCTTTCACCGGAAAAAATTCAATGGGCAACTCCTCGTCGATGCTGACTCAGTACGATATCGAAGAAGTACAACAACATTGTAACAACGCGTGTAAATGACTATCTTTCGCAGCCATTTTGCTTAGATTTTCTTTTCGAAGTTTGATCTTGTTATATGACTTAGTCGTTTCAGAGCCTTTGATTATGTGTTTGTGTGTGAGTTTTTCTGGTTGATCTGCAGTTCCGCAGCAGGAGATCGTTTCTCTGTACGAGAGATTCTGCCAGTTGGATCGAAAAGGCGGCGGTTTCGTCTCCTCCGAGGAGTTCTTGTCCGTGCCTGAGTTTGCTGTTAATCCTCTCTCTCAGGTTTTTTTTTTCTCTTCTTTTTTAAAAAGAAATCAATTAGTTCATTTATTGTCTTTATAATGCGAGTTGTTAGGGTGCTTTTATGGTGAAATTATGTTTTTGGAAAATTATGCAGAGATTGTTGAGGATGGTAGATGGATTGAATTTCAAGGATTTTGTAGCGTTTTTGTCTGCATTTAGTCCTCGTGCTACTTTGCAACAAAAAATCGAATGTAATGATTCCATAATTTTTTTACATAATATCAAATTTAGTTAATTGATTCTTTCAAAAACTGAAATTTGCAAATTTGTTTTGTAGTTATATTCAAGGTGTATGATTCAGATGGCAATGGGAAAGTTACCTTTAATGACATGTTGGATGTTTTGCATGATTTGACTGGCCAATTCATATCTGAAAAGCAGAGTAAGGTTAGTATAGTTCTTGATTGATTTTTCTTTCAATGTTCATCTTTGTTTAGTTAACTGGATGAATACTTTTTCTGTTTTGTGTCATTGTGTGTCACTCTATTTCTCTTTTAGTCGCAAAATATCAATAAGCTGAAGTTTCTAAGAATAAGTTTTGAGATAATTCACTTATTAAAGCAAATGGTCAGCTAAAGTATCGTGCCTTTTTACTAGCTCCTCACATTAACCACTCACCAAAGAAATCAATGTTGAAGAAAAGACTGGATGTAGATGGAGAAAACGGATGACAATCTCAGAATCACTTAAAAATCAATATTCTTTGCGATTTAATTAATTGTAAAGAGATAAGCTGTTAGTCTGTTACAGGTTTGCCAAAGTTTTTTTTGGATTATTAATGATGGGAAATTTGGAATGACATATATGAGTGTTTCTTTAGCCCATAGTTAGATTTGTTATTAGAAATTCCTCCTTTTACTAACTGCAAAGTGTTTTTGTTCTGCCGAGATACAAATTCTGTATGCAGTGTTATGGCATTAAATCTTTTTGTATCTAGAAATTAGAATATCTAGATCTGGTTGCTTTACACTCAATGTGCATTTTGTATTTGGCTATTGGCACAGCAAGTTTTGACTCAAGTTCTTGAGGAAGCGGGTTACGCTAAGGAGTCCCTGTTAGTTCTGTCAGACTTTGTAAAGGTAACATTGACTTTATATGTGATATTTTTGGTGTTTCAGCACTTGAATAGTTTCATCTTTCATTTTGTTTTAACTTAACAAGGGTAATAATGTGATATCAAGGCAAAAGGAGAGAGAAAAGAAGGGGTTGAAGGATAGAGTTGTTTCAAAATCTATTGTATGCGTAGTAGATAGTTCACTTGAAGAATTTATTGCTTGAAATTTTACCCTTTAATATTAGAACAAAGCCTAAAAACTGTTCATAAATTAAATGATTATGGACATATCTCTGTTGAAGCTCCAAAATAAATACACTCAGCTAGTAGACAACAGTATCCCCATTCTGAAATAGGAAAAATATCAGCTTCTTGTTAACTTTTGAGAGTATACAATTTAATGGAGGATACAGATGTTAAGAGCAGAGGAAGACCAAAGGAACTCAGCGGAAACTATAAAAGAGCATCTCAGTTTTACTAGCTGATTGAGAATATAGTGTTGAATTGAACTCAGTTGCACAATATGATGCATGTAGGTTATTCAATGTTGATGGGGAACAGTGTATACTGTAGTTGTATCATAAACGAGGATCTCAGGTTTACTAGCTTATTGAGAATATAGTGTTGAATTCAAGTTCAGTTGCACAATATGATGCATGCGGGTTATTCAATGGTGGTAAGGAATAGCTTAGTTATTGTTGGTAATGTATTGAGAATATACCAGATTCTTGGTAAACTTTGCTCATAGGGATGTTCAATAGAGTTGTCAGGCCAATCTCTATTTGAGCTACCATTACAGGTCATTTTGGAATGTAGTACTTAAACTTTGCTTTATAACTATGATCTAATTTGTTTACCAGTTGAAATCTAGTTTCTGGTTGACCAGACTGTGGAAAGCGGTTGAAATAGAAGCCAGCAGCATCCACTATTTTAGATTCTCTAGCAAGCAAAAGTATAAGAATAGAATGATAAGAGGAGAAGAGGTATCATGCATTAGTTACAGAACTTGTCTTATTACTTTAAACTATATTAGTTTCTCAAGATCTGCAAGTTTTTCCGTGCCATACAAGGAGTTTTTGAGAAGCTTTGAGAACACGGGGTTGGGGGTGGGGACGGCTGAAAAGGAGAAAAACCATCATGCTCTTAGATTTAAAGCACCATAATGAGCAATGAGGCAATTATATTTTTCCTACTCTATCGAAATCTCAAAACTAAGATTTAGACATTTCTTGGTCCGATTTAACTAAATCCTGATCAAGATATATATATATATATATATATATATATATATATATATATATATATTCATACTCTTCATGTGTTTATTGGTGAATAAAAGTGCATTTGAATTTTAGTCTGATCCAAAGGGCACATGAACAAAAATTGGAGTACCTTGCAAGAGAACAAGTTATCTTGAGGAGAGGACAACATGACATGACGCAAAATAGAGCAAATTTAGTCGCGTCTTAATTAGGTGTGCTCATGTTAAAGAGTGTACTTTATATAGCATGCCATGGTTACTTGCTTTTGTTCATTTGAGTTATTCCCTGAGAGCTCAAACTCTTGATCGGCTCGATTTTCCTAACTTCCATCGATCCAGTTTTTGTTGCTCTTCTAGCAAATTTTCTGTACACCTAGCTCTTAGCATTATATTCTCACCATTTTTGGAAGGGCATACTTGGCATAATCTGAGTTTCTGCATAAATGATCAGTGCTTCTAGGATTAGTCTGGTTGCGATTCACTTCGCTTCCTTTCAAGCCTTCTCATAATCAAGAAGATAACGCTAACATTGATTGCGTTTCTTGCAGATTCTCGGAAGCTCCGGTTTGAAGATGGAAGTTGAGGTTCCGGTGGACTAAACTGCTGGTAACCATTCTATACTACCGTGATTTCCTAGCATTGCCAACTCATCTCGAAAAATGGATGGCTAAACTGCTTCTGTTGTAATTTGCCTAGTTGACCAACCCGAATCTCTAAACATATCCTTTTTAGACGCCATCTAACCTGATACGGTTAAAAATGCTTTAAATTATTTCCTTAGGGCTTTTGTTTAAACGGGTGAAGTGGCAGTGACATATTTCTCCTTTGGTTGAAAAACCTTATCAGAATTCAAAAGGCTTTCCATCCAAGAATGCCGTGTATTTGAACATATAGTTTTTAGCTTAATATTAGTTATGAATATGGACGGATACAATATTTTATGTTAAGAGTCGAACTTTTAGAATTCTAATTGTCAAGATAAATAAATCTAATTTTCAAACAACAAATTTAGCTGGTAGATCACGTGGATGTGTCGGTGGTCATATCAATAGATCATAATTGATCGAAAGATATGGAATTTCGGAGATGGGAGAAAGTATAACAATATACGAGATAAAAGTCATGTTGCCACTGTTAAACCTGTTTTTATATTTAGGGTCCGTTTTGTTACTGAAAACGTTTTTCGGAAAATATTTTTTGTAAAATAAATTATATTTTCTGGAAAATATTTTCTGAAAAACGTTTTACGATGTTTGAAAGATGTTTAAATACTTTTTCCACTAGTTGGTGAATTGTTTAAAAATTATTTATTAAATATTAAATACAATAAATAATATTATTATTTATCATAAAACTTAATATTATTATTTTTAAAATAATTTATTTATTATTAAAATATTTTTTTTATAATTTTATTAATAAAAATATTAATATTGGTATATTTTATTGAAATAAAAATATTATAAATTATATTAATTATATATTAAAGTAATAGTGTTATATTATATTTTTAAAAATATTAATTAGTATATTTTAAATATCTTTATTAAAATATTATTATATTATTATATTAATATTAAATATATAAAAACTATTATTCATTATTAATAATTTAATAATATTATTTCTATGAAATTAATAAATAATATAAATTTTATTAATAATTTATTATATATTATTAAAATAAAAATATAAGATCTTATATTATATTATTATAATATAATTGATTATTTTATTATAATATTAAAAATATAATATTATATTATTAGAAATATTAATAAATATATTTTAAATATTTTAATAATTAATATTTTGATTAAAATGATATTAAAATATTTTATTAATATTAAATTTATAAAATAAAATTATTTTGATTATTTATTCTTTGAAGTGAAAAGTTCGGAAAATGACTTACGGAAAATCAGACCGTAGGTCATTTTTTAGAAAACACAAAGGAAATTCTGTTGACCATTAAAATGTTTTACGTAGACCAACCAATTTTCCTCCAACCAAACATTGAAAAATGAGGAAAATGTTTTACGTGAAACAAACAGAACCTTAAACTTCTTTCATTTTCAGAGCCTTGTGGCTTTACAAGTTGCAATTGGATGTTGATTTGCACATCAACCATTAATTATAAAAAGAAATTCTCTATTTTCCATCTTTTTCTTTTGCCTCAGACAATTTTGCCTACGGCAATAAGCTGCGATTTATTATTCTGAATGCTAGTGCAAGACTGAGTATTAACTGCAATATTGATTTTTGCTTATATATATATATATATATATATATATGTATATGTGTGTGTGTGTGTGTGTATGAATGGTGATGATCATATACTCAAGTGGGAATAAAATATAGGGTTAAAGGCATCCACTAACACCAAGTCGTTTTAGGCAATATTGCTATGTTAATGGTAGGCTAAAAGAGAAACCGACTGCAACTTCTATCATGGATATCATTAATGAAGGAAAAACGTCATCTTTGGTTGGTTGATCACTTGAAAAACGTTCTATGAAATGTTAAGGTTTATTTCGATATGATTTGGAGTTCAAATTCTGGCGTCTTAAACTTTTTTTTAATCTTGGAATAACTTTACCAACAAAGATAATGTTTAAGTGAAAGAAAAAATGATTACAATGATGTACTTCATTGAAAATTTGATGGGGAGTGACATTTTTCTGTCAAATGTGTGATCAGATGAGCAACATCCTTGGAAGAGGGTCCCCGGTGAACATCGAGGCCGGATTGGCGAGATACTGCTTTAGCCGCTCCATTTGGAGGGCGACGTCCAGCATGGTTGGTCTCGTTGAAGGGCTGTGTTGTGTGCACATGAGGCCAAGTTCAACCAGTTCCAATATAATATCACGCCATAGTTTATCATAACTTGTTGGCATTGCACCAGGGCTGCCCCTAGCCAGTGCTTGCTTTACTATCGGTTCGAGCTTAAGAGGATAGTGACTTTTCACCCATTCGTGCAAGCTCGAACCCGCTCGTCGTCAGTTGGATGCCGCCCCGAAACAATTACCAACAAAAGGATCCCGAAACTGTATACATTGCCTTGAGTCGATGCTCGTTTCCCCATTCCGTATTCTGCAATTAAATAAGTGCAAGATCAGTAACAGAGAGTATCAACTAATAAGTAATAACACAAGTGGTATAAATCGAGTCATGTTTCGATCGAAAATAGGAAATGCATATACCAGGAGCTATATAGCCAACGGATCCACATAACAAGCCATCTGCAGAGCTGTAGGAGATTGAATCATTTGCAGAAGTAGTCTCATCGACACCTCAAACCAGCCTTGCAATTCCGAAATCTGTTACCAAAGCAGTCATGTCTTCGTCGAGGAGAATATTACTCGGTTTAAGATTGCAGTGAACTACTTTAACCGGTGCGTAATGGTGCAGATAAGCAACACCTTCAGCTACATCGCTGCAGATGTTCACCAATTGAATCAAATCTAGGCCATGTCGTATTCCCTGGCTCGAGTATAGGTGTCTCTTGAGGCTCCCTTTCGGCATCAGAGGAAGCACCAGAGCCTTGAAATCTGGCTTGCTGCAAATAGTTATGATCCTGATCAAGTTTCTATGCCTTGCGCTTTGGGACTTCACATTCTCTTTTGAAAGTCCCTGAAATTTCCCCTGCTGTCTTTGTGTCCAAAACTTTGACGACTATTTTCATATTGTCCCCGAGAATTCCTTCATAGACATGACCAAAACTGCCCGAACCGATTAAGCTTGATGCACAGAACCCACCAGTTGCTTCAATGAGTTGTTCATATGAGATTCTGGGGTACTTGAGCTCTTTCCTTTTGTTTTCTTCTTCTTCGAAATCCTCTCCATCCGGTTCCCGAACTTCAATTTGTTCACCAGAGGGTACCCGAACATAAGCAACAAAGTTGTCACAAGCAATGAGGCAATGATAGGCAAGAATATAACCAAAGGAGAAGGACGTTTCTTTCCGCATTTTGGCAGGCCTTTAATCGAACCACAAAGACCATCATTCCCTACGAAAGAAACTATAGTCAGAGATGAAAATGCCCCCTTGTCTGATATATTTCCATGGAACTTGTTGAAAGAGAAGTTCATTGACATGAGCGTCATCGATGCCTGAAATGTCGCCGGTATGTCTCCGCTCAACCGGTTCAAACCGACATCGAGTTCTTTAAGGTAAGGCAACTGTCCTATGGAACCTAGAAGTTCACCTTCCAAGGCATTACTCGAAAGGTTGAGGTGCTCGAGGGCAATGCAGTCCCCGAGTTGCGACGGAATCGTGCTCGAGAGATTATTCGATGATAGATCGATGGCTAACACCATGTCCATTTTACTCAGCTCTAGTGGTAAGGGTCCATGAAGGTGATTGCAATAAAAATTCAGGTACAAGCTCCTCAGTCCAGCAACCTCACCAGGAATTATCCCGGAAAGCTTATTGTGAGAGAGGTCTAAAATCTCCAAGTTGACAAATTTGCCTAAACTCAAAGGAATTGTCCCTGAAAGCTGGTTTCCATAGAGTAGTAATCTTCTTAGCTGAGGGAGGTCGGCGAAACTATCCGGAATCAAACCCGAAAGTTTTTTCATCGACAAGTCCAACAACCCCAAATGCGTAATGTTTCCTATAGCAGCCGGAATCTCGCCGGAAGTGAATTATTCGACAGATAAACTCTCTCCAGTTTCTCCATTCTGCATAGCTCATGTGGGATGGAACCATTCAAAAGGTTGCTAGACAAGTTCAAGAGTGTGAGGTTCACAAGGTTCGAAATCCAAGGCGGAATCAGACCGCATATCAGATTATCATCAAGATGAATCTGTACAAGATTGGTAGAAAGATCACGGATAATAGGAGGTATCTGTCCACCAAGGTTATTTCCTGCCAATTCTAGTTCTTGAAAGTTAGAAGAATTGAGCAAAGCAGCAAAAAAAGGCTCTAGGTTAGTATTACCATCATGGCTAACGAAGTCATTATAGGACAAATAGAGGAACTGCAACTGTGGCATGTCACGTATGATATCAGAAGGCAACTCCCCACTTAGCCTGTTGGACTCCATATCAAGCCATTGAAGTTTTGACGAGTTTGAAAGTGCTGGAGGGACTAGACCGACTAGTCGATTCGACCAGAGCAACAGAAACCTCAACTCCCTAAGCGAACATTTACTCGTCAGAGGAATTTCACCACTAAGAGAATTGTTGGAAAGATCTATGTATTGTAATGAATAGGATCCATTACAGAAAAGTGAAGCTGGTATGTTCCCATCAAGCCGGTTGCTTCCGAATTCGAGTTATACTAACTAATGAAGAAATCCCAATTCAGAAGGGATATTTCTTTGAAGAAGGTTCCATGACAGGCTGAGTTGTTTGAGCAGAAAGAGCGAACCAAGCTCCGGTGGAATGTGACCATGGAACAAGTTCTTTGACAAATCAAGGACCAGCAGAGAAGAAAGATTGGCTAGACTAGGAGAAATTGTGCCTTTGAGTGACCTGCCACTAAGGTCAAGCTGCACCACTTGGTCTCGTTCATGGTTGCAACTGACACCCGACCAGTTGCAGACATGTACATTGGTGGAGTTCCATAGTTCCAGGGTGTTTCCGGGACCGAAACAACAACTGACATGAAGGAAAGCAAGGCGACTCGATTGTTTTCGAGTCGAGAATTC